GAAATGACACAACAAAACTCTGTAGCATGCACAGACTTGAGTTTGCCCGAACCCAATCATATACTCACTCCTTGCCCAAAAGTTTAGGAATCATCTAAACATCTACAGTTACAGAGAGATTTTAAAAATATCAAATTACCTAACCAGAGAGAATTTCTGCATAGAAGAAAACATGTACCTTATATATTACAACAAAGGAAGATATGGATGAAATGATTATTTAACACTAAACCAATCATTAAAGATATTTTTTCTAGTAGTAAGAAGTTCTAGGGGGCTGCCACTGTGGAATGGTGGGTGGAGCTTCCACCTGGGGCAGGGACATCCCATGTAAGTGCTGTTTTGGATCCAACCTGGGAAAGTAGCAAAATAAGGTCCAAGTCCTTGGGCTCCTGCAACCACGTGAAAGACCTTGAAAAAGTTCCTTTCAGCTTATCTTAGCTCCAGCCATTATGGCCATCTAGGGGAGTGAATCAACAGATTTTCCTCCCACTTCACTCTCTCTAACTCTTTCAAATAAATATACAATTTGTTCAAAAAAAACAAATTGTTGGAACAGGCCAGATGCAATAGCCTAGTGGCTAAATCCTTACTTTGTGCCAGGATCCCATATGGGTGCTGGTTGTATCCAAGACACTCCACACCCCATCCAACTCCCTGCTTGAGGCCTGGGAAAGCAGTCGAGGTTAGCCCAAAGCCTTGAGACCACCTGCTTGGGAAACCCAGAGGAAGCTCCTAGCTCCTGGCATCAGATCAGCTCAGTTCCAGCCATGACAGCCACTTGGAGAGCAAACTAGTGGATGGAAGATCTTTCTTTCTGTATATCCTTCTCTCTGTGTATCTGCCTTTACAATAAAAATAAACAAATCTTTTTTTTTTAAGTATTGGAACAAAAAAATCTGTATAAATGTTTTAAATAGAAATAAAAGAGTAAAATAAGTATTTTAATTAACTCAAAAGCTAAAGAGAGAGACAGTGATCTTCCACCCACTTATGAACTTCCTACATGCCTTCCACAGCTAAGACTAGACCAGACCAAAGCCACAATCCAGGAACTTCATCTAGATTTCCTATATGGGTGGCAGAGCCCCAAATAATGAAGCCATTATCTGCTGCCTCCCATGGTGTGCATTTTAGCAGCAGGTACAATTAGAAGCAGAACTAGGCCTTGAACTCAGACATTCAGATAGGGGATGTGGTAGCCAACACACATCCTTACCGAACATTCGTTGCTGTCAATGCTACATCTCCATAATGAACTGTCAGTAGGGCTCCAGACTATTGGAGAAGCCCTTATCTTACAAGTTGACAGCTGCAATTCCGTATCCAAATGAGAGGGCAGTGGGCCTGTGAGGGTATGGAGGTGCGGGCTTATGGATGGTCTGGGGGATGGAGCCAGCAGAGGCATGTGGAGACCTGGGGGCTCACACTCAGATGGATGGAGCAATCTGGGGCTTTCCTCACCTCCTTGGTCCCGGGTGGGGCAGAGAGGAGAGGAACGAAAATGTTAGGTCTCTCCAGTCCACTTGCCCTGTCCCACCCAGGACCGATGAGCAGAGAGATCTAGGACAGCATGCTGGTCTGGCGTGCTGGTGGATCAGGCCTGGGGAATTTTGATGAGGCCTGGGTTTTGGGTGTGTGCAGGAGTTGGTTCTAGACTCAGTACAGGAGCTTGGAACCTGGTCAGCAGGCAGAGCTCTAGGCCAGCATACTACCCCTCCAGAACATCGGGCTTATGAAGGCTGGGCTGGGGAACCCAAGTGCTTCCGGACTGAAGCACTGTGGATTGATTAGTGGAAGGAGTAAGGGGATGTGTGGGAAGGAGGAACACTGAAGGAGTGTATTGCAGGTGAGGAGCATCTTCTGAGGGACTTCCATCAATAAGGCCGCTATACTTGCAAGTAAGCAAGGGGGCTGAGACCCAGAAGTTTGGAAGAAGGAAACTGGAAGTCATTTAAGGGTCAAACCAATGCACCAGCCCATGTGGGAGACATGAGCTGGGCTTGATACCATGGATCATCACTGATCACCACTCTACAACCCACACTAAAGCTAGGGCTGGGGTCCTACCTGGCAGGGCTAGATCACATTACCTGTCAGTGAGAATCAGAACAGGGGATGGGTAGTGATAGGTCGGGCCATATCACTAAACAGGACGTGAGAGAACTACGTCTGGAAGCAGATTTGGTAGGGAATATGTAAGCCCACACCTGTGGAACTACAAACTGCACTGGTTTGCTTAAGAGCTGGGGTAGTGACGGGTGGAGCTTAGTATGACCATGGAGCCCTCTGACGTCAAAACCCTCAAGGGTGTTTGGGTTGGAAACAAGCAAGATTGGTCCAGGCTGCAGTACCTGCAGTTGCACACAAGACTAAGTAGGGTGTGAGATGGGCTGGGCCTTAACATCCAACAGCTCATACAAATGTCAGAATGGAGAAGGCAGACTATGCTGGCGGGGGTAGGGGGGTGGCTAGCACATGCCAGGACGTGTGAGATCTGGGTCTTGGAGTGAGCTCGGTGGCAGAACTTGAGAATTCACCTGGTGGGCTGTAGTTCCTGCAGGTGAATGTGTGACTCAGGCCTAGGTGTCGGTCAGACCAGGCAGGGTGCCTCCACCCTTTGGCAAGTGTGTGGGTTGGTTCTAGAGAAGGACACACACCTTAGCCCTCTGGCATGTGAAGGAGCCAGGCTGCAGTGCAGAGCAGGCCAGGTTAGGCTATCACACGTACCAGTTTGCAGGAACTAGGGAAGACAGGAGACTGGGCAGGCTAGGCTGCAGCACCCACCAGCCAGTGTTGGGACTGACAGCAGGCCAGGTCAAGCCAATCTGTAGCATCTGATGGCAAGGTCAATACAGGGGATGGGTTTTGCAGAGCTGGGTCACAGCATTCACTGGCATGTGGAAGACCTGTGGCTGGGAACAGGCCTGGTTGAGGAGTTAAAGGGACACCCTGGCTGGGTTGTGGTTCCTATTGGTGAACATGAGAGCCAGAATGAGGATGGCACAGGCTGGACATGACTGCAGTGTCCCTCGGCATGGGTGTGGACAGGGTCTGGGTTGTGCCAGACTGGGCTTGACTCCAGCATCTACTGGCGTTTGTGAGAGCCAGGGTGGATGTAGAACGGGCTGGGCTGTCTTGGCTTCCACTGAAACATGTGAGAGTTGGGTCTGGGCATGGAACAGGTGTGGCTGGGCTGTGAAACCCAATAGTAAGAACCAGAATGGGTATGGACCTCTTGGGCGAGGTCACTGTCCCTGCCAGGACAGGACCTGACAGGACAGATACATTCATGTGCACAAGATCTGCCTCTGTGAGGAGGCCTGATAGAGGATCATGGGGAACTTTTGGTCAGGATATAAGCCCTGCAGGTGAGTGCAGGAACCAAAGCTGGGAGAAGCCCAGACCAAGATAAGTTGTGGTACCTGCTACCATACATGTGGGTCAGGTATGAGGCAAGCCAGGCTGGGTAAGTTTGTAACACCCACTGGCAGATGTGAGAACCAGGATAGGTTACAGGACAGGCCGGGTCAGGCTGCAACACCAACCAGTTCACATTAGGGCCAGGACTGGGGGCTGGCTAACCTGGGATAGGCTGTACAGCCACTGGCAAATGCCGAGGTGAGATGGGCCTTATCAGACTGGGCTGCAGCACCCACCAACAACAGCCATGGTGAGATCCTTGGGAGGGAGATGTGTTTGCAACCCTGGTGGAGGGGGTTCTGAAGGACTCCTCCGCTAGGCTACTGATCCCACTGGTGATCATGAGAGCTCGGACCAGGGGCAGATCAGGCCAGGCAGGGACACAGCACCTGTTTGCCTGTAGGTGATCTGAGTTAGGAGGAGAGCCAGGCTGGGCTAACTGACTATACCCACAGGTATGTGCATGACCCAGAGTAAGTGTAGGCTGCAGCATCATCTGGCAAGTGCCAGCACTGGGGGAAAATCCTGTTTAGTCAGCCTGCAGGACCACCTGGAGAGAGCAAGATCAGGGACTGGAGTGGGTCCAGGAGGGAAATGGTGGGCACCTCTCTGATGGGCTATTACTCCTCCTGGTGAGCATGAGAACCAAGGCAGGGGTGCCACCACCCGCTGGCACCCGCTGATGTGAATGTGGACTAGATAGTGAGGTTAGTTGGGTTGAGATAGGTCTCAATGCCCACTGACATGCACAAGAGCTGAATGGGATGTAGGATGTAGCTGAATGGGTTGCCACATATACTAGCAACCAGAGGAACCAGGTCTGAGAGTGGGCCTGTTGGGGATTGTTGGAGGTCATTCCAACTAAGGTAAAGTTCCCACTGGTGTACGTGAGGGCTGAGTGTGTTGTGGGCAGGGCTGGGCTGGGCCGCAGCATCCACTAGTTTATGGAAGAAATGGGGTTGGAGAGAGAACTGAACCAGCAGTTGCAACTACCAGTGTGTGTGTGTAGGCTGATTTGAATGCTAAACTGGGCCGGACCCTCTTCTGCACACACAAGAATCAAGTCTGGGATCACAACAAATGAGGTTTCTTTGGGGATCCCCTAACTGAACTGCTGGACTCAGAACTCCAACCATGGGGAGAATGGCAGGAACTGTTATCTGACCACGGAGTGTGTGTGTCAGAACCAGGGCTCCTCAGTGGCTTAGGTGGAACAATGGATGGATAGCCAGATACAGAGAAGCTATGGCAGTCCACTTAGGCCTGCAGAGCACAGCTGGTGCCATAGCCGAGGGAGGACAGAAAAAAAATTGGTCAACTACCCCAGTCAAGCATTGAGAGCAAATATCTGGATGGAGACTCTAAGGTGGACTATATGAGCCAATGGACTTTGGAAGAATTTGCTCATCCTTGGATTGGCATGATTGACAGCATTTCAGAACCATTAAAACCACTAGAGCAGAACCCTCGGAACATGCTCCACCTCAGAGACCCTGAGATGACATCGGGTGGCCATTCCCCATACCCTGGTACTAAGGCAGTTGGAAGGCTGGCTGTGGTTCACCCCTTCTCCCAGACCCAGGATGAAGAAAACTAAAATTTAGAAACAATGGTCTCACTCAATTTCCCCTAATTCTTAACCCTTCCATAATATAGCAAATATGAATATGTATATATGAAACGAGTTACCAGCCGCCCTACTAAAGGGAGAGGAAATATAAAACATACCTGGACTCTTGCAGTTCTACCAAAAAGATTAAAAAGCATTTTCCAAGCGGCTCACATGGGCACTCTTTATCTTCCAGAAAGAGCTGAAAAATAAAATCATCCTATGAAAATCATTCTATGGGCCTAGGATGGGGAAATAAAGCACAGGAGAAAGTCTTAGTGAATATTGAGGGAAGAATAAACCTCAGGTCATCACAGCATGGCCAATCATCTCTGCTCTTGATTTTTGTGTGATGCAGAACTCATGGAATTTTAGTAAGGAGCCATTGTAAGTGATCATTTCAACAAAATCCTAAAAAAATATAGAAGAACGGTCATCTTTTAGGGCTGGTGCATTGGGTTCTGATCCCGGTGGCCCTGCTTCCCATCCAGCTCCCTGCTTGTGGCCTGGGAAAGCAGTCGAGGATGGCCCAAAGCCTTGGGACCCTGCACCTGTGTGGGAGACCTGGAAGAAGCTCCAGGCTCCTGGCTTCAGATTGGCTCAGCTCCAGCTGTTGCAGTCACTTGGGGTGTGAACCATCGGACGGAGGATCTTCCTCTCTGTCTCTCCTCTTCTCTGTATATCTGCCTTTCCAATAAAAATAAGTAAATCTTAAAAAAAAAAAAAAGAAAGAAAAAAGGATTTTTCTCCACTATTTTATAGAGGACTGTATTTATAATTTCTTTCTCAGCCATGGAGTTATTTGTGTTTATTAGTGCCATTGATTCATTAATTTTGTATCCTTGCCAAATTCTGAGTTCTCATAGTGTCTTGACTGAGTCTTTCAGTTCTCCTATATAAAGAATTATGTCATCTGCAAGGACTTAGTTTTAATTCCTTATTTCCAATTTTAATTTCTTTCATTTGTTTTTCTTGCCTAATTTGTTTTTCTTGTTTTTCTCTGACAAGGAATTCCCATGCCATATTGACTAGCAGTGGTGAAAGTGGATATTCTTGTCTAGCTCCAGATATTAGTGGAAAAGCTTCCCGTCTTTCCCCATTAAGTATGATGCTGACGTTGAATTTTGTATAGTGCTTTGATTTTGTTACAGAATGTTCCTTCATTGCTTATGTCACTTAAGGTTTTCAGCATGAAGTTGTGTTGAATTTTATTAAATTCCTTCTCTGCATCTATTGAGATAATCATGGTTTTTATTTTTATATATATTCATCAGGGATATTGGTCTGTGCTCTTATTCTGTTTTATCTCCATCTGGCCTCAGTATTAAGGTGATGTTGGCTTTATGGTAGGAGTTTGGAAGGACTGTCTCCCTTTCTGTTTGGAATAGTTTGTGGGGGATTGAGGTAATTTCCTCTTGAAACGTTTAGTAGAATTCTGCAGTGAAGCCATCTAGTCCAAGGCTAGTTGGGTTAGTGAGGAATCTATTTGTTGATTTTCTCAAAGATCCAGCTCTTGGATTCATTGATCATATGTATTGTTCTTTTGGTCTCCATTTAGTTTATTTCGTCCCTTATTTGGGTTATTTCTCTTTTCCTACCAACCTTGGAATTGCTTTGCTGTTGTTTTTCTAGCTCCTTCAATTGTGTGGTTAGCTCATTTACTTGGTACTTTTCTAATTTCTTGACACAAACATTGATTGAAGTGATCTTTCCTCTTAACACTGTTTTGATTGTGTCATATAACCATTGTTCATTTCATAGCATATTATTCAGTCTGCAAGTATTTGCATGTCCTCTGGAGTATTTTGACCTATTGATCTCCAGTTATACTCCCTGATGATCTGAGAACACGCATAGTATAATTTCAATTTTTTTTTAATTAATTGAGGCTTGGTTTGTAGCCTATACTATGGTCAATCCTGGAGAAAGTTCCATGTACTGGTGAAGGGAAAAAAAAAAAAGTGTATTCTCTGAAGGATGAAAGGTTCTGTAGATATCAATGAAGTCCATTTTCTCTAGTGTCTGAGTGAGTTCTGTTGTTTCCTTGCTAAGCTTCTGTCCTGTTGATCTCTCCATTGATGTTAACGGGATATTAAGGTCCCCGACTATTACTGTACTGGAGTCTATTTCTCCCTTTAAATCCATTAATATCTGCTCCATTTAGCTAAGTGCCCTGAGTTTTGGTGCATATACATTTATTATGTGATATCTTCTTGCTAAATGGATCACTTGGTAATTATGTGGTGCCCTTCATCTCTTCTAACATTTTTTCACGTCAAAGTCTATATTATGTGATGTAAGATTACAGTAGCTCATTTTTCCTTTCCATTAACCTGGAATATCTTTTTCATTCCTTCACTTTCAGTCTCTGCATTTTTTTGTTAGTGATATGTGTCTCTTGTAGACAACAGATGGGTTTTGTTTTTTGAATGTAAATTGTTTAAGCCATTTATATTCAGGATTAATATCTATAGCTAATAATTAAGTCCTGTCATTTTAGCAATAGATTATTCATTGTTTGATTTAATCTTCTTTAACATAGTTCTTGGATGTTCTTCATGTTTGTCTTTGGTTTGGGTAGGCGCTATTCCTTTTCTCTGTCGATAGGACATCTTCAACATTTGTAAGGAAGATCTAGTAGAGGGCAAGTCTTTGACCTTTTCTTCATTGTGGATGATTTTTTTGTTTTCATTTTGAAGTGCAAAGGAAAGCTTTTCTGGGCAAATTATTCTGGCCTGGCAATCTTTTGTTTTATAATCTGGAATATGTCATTCCAGTCTCTTCTGGCTGTTAGGGCTTCTTCTGAGAAATCCAGTGAGTCTGACTGGGGTTCCTCTATAAGTTAATTGATTTTGTCACATACGTATTTAAGGATCTTTTCCTTATGTTCAATTGATCATCTTATGTTCACTGAAGAAAGTTTTATTATCATGTGTCATGGAGAAAATTGCTTTTGGTCAACCCGATTTGGAGTTGTGTGCCCCTCCCATGTTTTGTTTCCCAATTCTTTCTCCAAATTAGGGAAGTTTTCCTTTATTATTTCATTGAATACATCTTTAAACCAGCTTCTCTTTCTGTGCTTTCTGGAACTCACATAGCTCTTATATTGGGCATTTTAATAGTCTCTTAATCTTTGAATACTTTTCTTAGCTTGACTCATTTCCACTTCCAGCTATTTGCTTTTTCCACCTCCCCCACCCTCTGCCACCGTTGTTGAAGGAAATATCTTCCGATTCTGAGATTCTTCTGCCTTGCTCATTCTATTATTGATGCTTTCCACTGGATCTCTAATTTGCTCCATTGTGTTCTTCATTTCTAATAACTCAGAATGATTTGTTTCAGTGTTGCTGTTTCCTGAATGACATTTCTTAAATTCCTTGAACTCTTGTATGTTCTTCTTGTTGTTGACAAGAACATTTATATTTTTTAAGTTCTTTATCCCCCATTTTCTCAATGTCTTCCTCAGTTAATTCTGAGGTTGGCGAAGACTTTTGCTCCTATGCAAGCAGTGCATCAGTAACATAATTTGTGGCTCTGTCTCTTCTCTATTGATCTTGCTCACCTCTATACTGGTTAGCAGATTCCTAATCTTAAGACAGGTCTCTTAAAAAAAAAAGATTTACTTATTTTTATTGGAAAGCCAGATTTATAGAGAGAAGAGACAGAGAGGAAGATCTTCTATCTGCTGGTTTACTCCCCAAGTAGCTGCAATGGCCAGAGTTGAATTGATCCAAAGCTAGGACCCTGGAGCTTCTTGCAGGTCTCCCACACAGGTGTGTGGTCCCAAAGCTTTGAGCTGTCAGTGACTGCTTTCCCAGGCCACAATCTGAGAGTTGAATGGGAAGTGTAGCAGCGTGGATACAAACTGGTGCCCATATGGGATCCTGGCACATGCAAGGCAAGGTCTTTAGCTACCACACCGCGTTCCTAGGGCAGGTTTCTTTCCTTTTTTTTTTAAGATTTATTTATTTATTACAAAGTCAGATATACAGAGACGAGGAGAGACAGAGAAGAAGATCTTCCATCCGATGATTCACTCCCCAAGTGAGTGCAACAGCCGGTGCTGTGCCGATCGGAAGCCAGGAAACAGGAACCTCTTCCAGGTGTCTCACACGGATGCAGAGTCCCAACACTTTGGGCCGTCCTCGACTGCTTTCCCAGGCCACAAGCAGGGAGCTGGATGGGAAGTGGAGCTGCCAGGATTAGAACCGTCGCCCATATGGGATCCTGGGGCGTTCAAGACGAGGACTTTAGCTGCTATGCCACGCCGCTGGGCCCCCTAGGGCAGGTTTCTAAGTTGTGTTGCTCACTGGTCTAAAGGTCAATTTTATTGATTGCATTTGGTACCCAGTTCTTTGTTTACAGTCATGTGTGCCTCTCCCTCCAGGAAGTTTCAGTCCCAGGCTCTTGTGCTAGACTTGTACCACTTAGCCCCAGCTCCTGGCCCACCACTCTCCACCCCCTATGATCCCATGCTGTGGCTGCATTATTACCTGCCCAGTCTTTCTTCCATTTCTGGTTCAAGCATTGCCCAGGATTATGGAAACACCAGCCATTCTAACTCACCAGGCTGTTGGTGGTGCTGGTCTTGCTGGAAACTGCTGTTACATCTGAGGGCCACCTGGACCTATTTGGGGGGGAATCCAAAGGATGCCAAGTCAATATTTTCTTTCCTGTTGTACCAGTGCAGCATGTCGAGCCAGAAGTGAATTCTCTCCCGCCTCAGTGAATGTACAACTTACTGTGTCTCCAGCCTTCCCCCAGCCTTTTGCATCAGTACACAAAATGGTGCTTGATGTGACAGTGGTGGAGATCTGGGCCTGCTGGCTGTTGGGGCCGATGGCAACCCAAACCTATCTTGGGTGACACCTGTATGATGCTAAGTCTATTTCCACTCTGGGACCAGCGCAATGCACTGAGCTAAAAGTGAGTTCGCTCCTGACTTAGTACACGTGTAACTGACTGTAGTTCCCACAGTCCCACAGCCTTTCCCCCTTACACAAAATGGTGCCCAATGTAACACTGGTGGGGGTCTGGGCCATTAATAGGCCCTGTTCCTGCACTGTTTACTTGGGGTCCGCTGCTCTTTCCTTGATCATGGTCAGATTAAACAAATCAGCACGAGGGACAGTTCTATGCCTTGGTTCACCTCCTGAGTGCCTGGTGAACTGCCCTTCACATTTGGCTGTGGAGCTCCAATTGCTGATCACTGACCCCTGCTGGAGAATCTGGTCACTGCAACATCTCTTTGCTGACTCCACTGCTTCCCAGGTGCCTCTCTGCCATCAGCCTGTTCTCTCCTATTTCCTGGAATCTATCCTCTGTGCTTCACCCTAATAATGATCCTCGGTTAGTTTAAACCTGTCCTCATCCTATACATCATCCTGGAGCTCTCCCCTCTACATATCTGTCAAAACAAAGGTTAAGCAACTGTGCTGGCACATTGATACAGTTTAATACAAATTTGGCATAGCAAGTCACAGAATCCCCACTGGATACTGGCTGCTTTTCTAAGCAGTGTTATACTCCCCTAGATAGAAGGCCACTTATCAGTTGTCTGCAGCTAATGATGAAGGAAAGATAGAGATTTGATTTAGTTGTGATACCTGGAAGCTGGGTTCAAGTGGGAGGTGCTGGAATCATCAGGGGTATGCACTTGAAAGAGAGTTCTCCAGTTGGCTTTTTATTATTTATTTTAATTGGTAAGTCAGATATACAGAGAGGAGGAGTCAGAAGGAAGAACTTCCGTCTGATGATTCACTCTTTTCATGTGGTTACAATGGCCAGTGCTGTGGCTATCCAAAGCCAGGAGCCCAGAGCCTCTTCCGGGTCTCCCACACAAGTGCAGGATTCCAAGGCTTTATGCCATCCTTGACTGCTTTCCCGGGCCACAAGCAGGGAGCTGGATGGGAAGCGGAGCTGCTAGAATTAGAAACAGTGCCCATATGGGATTCTGGCCCCCTGCAAGGTGAGGATTTTAGCCACTGGGTACTGTGCCAGGCCCTCCAGTTGGTTTTATAAGTAAATTGTGCTTCTCATCTCTCTGCTTCCTGGATTACCCTCCTACTCTCCATTGGCCAGCATTTTGCCATCCACAATATCCATCAGAGACCAGAGCAATGGGGCCAACCAATTCAAAATAAACCTCCTCCTTTCCTGTGGGGCTCCTCTCAGGCATTCTAGTTTATGGAAGGCTAGTTCATAAACAGCAAACTCTAACACCTGAAGAAACTTGATGATTCACTGTTCTAAGCCTACAATAGTCTAAGGCTGATTTAAATGAAATCAATTTACTTTATCCTACCACTAACTCAGAACAAACCCCCAGTACTCCCTGACCTCTGTTTCATGAATGACAAATTCTCATCAGCATATTCTATTGCCTCTAGCTTCAGGAACAGATCAGAAATCCATCCACTCCTCATGACCTCCACAACTACTAGTTCTAACCCAGCCAACATCATATCCTGCCTAGCTGTTGTAACAACTTCCATCTCTACTTTTCTATGTGTTCACCCAGAAGCCAGAATAGTCCCTTAAGAACTTAAGTCAAATTGTGCACTTCCTATGCTTGAAATTCACTAATGGTTTTGCATCTCACTCATAATAAAACCTAAACATCTTTGAAAAGTGTAGATCATCTTTTATTTTTTGAGGATTTATTTATATTTATTGGAAAGGCAGAATGACAGAAAAAGAGACAGAGAGAATGATGTTCTGTCTGCTGGTTCACTCTCCAAGGAGCCGCAATGGCCACAACTGAGCCCATCTGTAGCCAGGAGCTTCCACCCAGTCTTCCATGTGGATGTAGGATCCCAAGGCTTTGGGATATCCTTCATTGCTTTCCCAGGCCATGAGCAAGGAGCTGAATGGGAAGTAGAGCAGCTGAGACACAAACCAGCACCCATATGGAATCCTGGTCCATGCAAGGTGAGGATTTAGCCACCGAGTCATTGCATTGAGTCTTGTAGATAATGTTTTAAAAGAGTATGAAAAGTTGGTCCATTATTACCTCTCTTCTCGTTACCTCGCACTGGATTTATGACTGCTCCTGAAAGAAGCAAGTACCTTGCTATCTGACTGTTGGACTTGTTCTCTCTGACTGCAGCAACCCCTCTCCCACTCTTCCATATCTGTGTGGCTCACTCCCACATCCTTCATCCTACCCTCATATTATAGGAAAGCCTTATCACTCCTTTGGGAATAACAAACCCAATGACCTGGCATATCAGGTTCCATGATTTCTCCATGTACTATACACAGACGTCCTACATGAAATATGAATGGAATGCACATTACATGAAACATTTAAAGTTCACAGAAACTGGAGAAATCTTGACACAAAAGAAGACCTGTACAATTTCTTTGTATGAAACTCCATTACAGATGAAAATAAGTACGGTAATAAAATTAAAGTAAAAATTTACTCATATTCTAAATGGCTGGAAAGGGACAAAGAGAACTTACTGAGAAGACAGAAATCTCCTGAATCTCAAGATTGAGTTGCATGATTTCAGTCTGCCACAATTCATGAAACTGTATCTAACACATGTGCATTTCACTACACAAGTCACGTTTTAATTTTAAATGTTTCAAATCATAGGGGAAAAAAAAGTGTAGACCCAAAACCCAACTGAAAAAATAGCATCACCACTTTTAAGAGCATTTGGAAAACATAACAAATGCAGCAATGTAGCTCAGAAATCAAGCTTATCTTTAGTCTCTGTAGAGCCTCTTGGGACAATGGTGAAGCTTGAAAGGGAAGACTTGGGTTTATTCCCAATATATACCAGGCTTTCTTCCTCTGCACCATGTGGATAAAGAGAACATACGCACATCAAATAGCCAACCCGTATTTTATTCAAAGAAGCATCTTCATAGGAAATGACAGCAAATATAATAATCGTTGGAATCACCCTTGAAATATAGACTCATATGCAAAACTTATTTCATTGTATTTATATTTTACATGACATTTTAAATATATATTTAATTGTATCTTTATTGTAATAAATGAAACATGGACTTTGGGTTGTAACAGAGAGTGGGTTTTTTTTTAGTTTATTCTTGATTTTAGATGATCTTAACATAGCTGATCAGAGTGAATGGATCAAGGGTTAGGGAAAAGTGGGTGTTATCATTATTCCCAATATTTCTGTTTCTCCGTCTTGTTTCTGTGGGGAGGTGGGGGGAGATGGATAGGGGAGAAGCCATGCCCAGCTTCCCCACCACTCCAGTACCTAGGGATGGAGAATGGCCACCCACTATCAAGCCATGGTCCCAATGTGGTTCATACACTAATGGTTCTGCCCAGGTGGTTTTGATAGTTCTGAAATGTTGTCAATCTCGCCAATCCAAGGATGAAGGAACCCTCTTGATGTCCATTGGCTGACATAATCAGCCTCAGAGTCTCCATTTGCCGAGATATTTGCTGTCATCGTTTGGCTGGGGTAGTTGGTCCAATTTGTTCTGTCCTCCTTCTGGGATGGTACAGATGTCCCAGGCAGGGCTCAATGGGCTGCCATAGCCTCCATGTGGATCTGGGCCAGCTGTCTACTACTCTGGCTTTTCCACTGAGGAGGACCAGTAAAGAGAGTGAATTTTTTATTAGATAGCTACCATGACTTAGATTAAGTCACTTTAAATGAGCCCAATTTCATAAGCATTGGTGGTTCAGTGGTAGAATTCTTGCCTGCCACGTGGGAGGCCCGGGTTCGATTCCCAGCCAATGCACTAAATGAGCCCCATTTCAAACTAACATGCAAGCTTTAGCCACACTGTTATGTGGCCTATTTTTTTTTTTAAAGACTTGCTTATTTTTATTTGAAAGTAGGATTTAGAGAGAGAGAGAGAGAGAGATCCTCCATCTGCTCATTCACTTTACAAGTGAGGTGTGGGCTATATTAAAGCACCTTTTTATGCACAACAGCTTTTGTTAAGATCAAAGAAGATGAAAGAAAAAACAGGTCACCAAATACTAGGGATTCATATGTGACATTGTTTCCTAGTAGCCCCTTTATTTAATGCTTTATCTCTCCATCTTTCCTAATTGAGATAAAATGTCTTATTGTTTCAATCCATTTCTAAGCTACCCAATGGCTTCAAACAAAGGAAAAGATGCTTTAATACCTAAAGTCCTCTAATTAATAGTGTTATAGACAGACATGGATCATCACAGAATATAAACACCAATTTGCAATCACTCTTAGCCCTTTGAAAGTACAGGAATCTGTCATGAGGCCTGTAATGGATCACTTACTGGAGCAGTTTCTTAAAAAACTGATGTTCAGGATCCGGCAGGGTAGCCTAGTGGCTAAGGTCCTTGCTTTGCACACACTGGGATCCCACATGGGTACTGATTCTAATCCCGGCAGCCCAGCTTCCCATCTAGCTCCCTGCTTACGGCCTGAGAAAACAGTTGAGGATGTCCCAAAGCCTTGGCACCCTGGACTCTTGTGGGAGACCGAGAAGAGGCTCCGGGATCCTGGCTTCAGATTGGCTCAGCTCCAGCTCTTGTGTCTGCTTGGGGCGTGAATCATTGCATGGAAGATCATCCTCTTTGTCTCTCCTCCTCCTCTCTGTATATCTGACTTTCCAATAAAAAGAAAAATTCAAATACTCTCCTAGATTTAACCTGCAAAACAGTATTGTTTCGAAGAGTTACCTATGTGTTTGAATGTGTAGCCAAGAATGAGACTTACTGATTTAAATGTTAAATGTCAAAGAAAAATTTCAACATTTCTCCATGATTTGTTGTGTTCACTTACGTTAAACATTTAATGCATGCAAAAGATTCCAAGGCATACTTAAACTAGCCAATAATCATTGGTCCGAGTATCTTCAGTTTTGAAGTTTACATACTAAATATCATATTTCTTATTACACATTTTCCCCAAGATTTATTTATTTTTATTTGAAAGGCAGATTTACACAGAAAAGGAAAAAGTGAAACAGAGCAAAATCTTCTACCTGCTGATACGCTCCCCAAATGGCTGCAACAAGTGAAGCTGACCCAATCTGAAGCCAGGAGCCTGTGGGCCTGCCTCATGGGTGCAGAGGCTTAAGGACTTGGGGCATATTCCACTGCCTTTTCAGAAGCATCCACAGGGCCTAGGATCAGAAGAGAGGCCTGTGGGCCCGGTGCGACGGTGTAGTGGTTAAGGTCCTTGCCTTGCACGCCCGGGATCCCATCTGGGCGCCGGTTCTAATCCTGGCAGCCCCGCTTCCCCTCCAGCTCCCTGCCTGTGGCCTGGGAAAGCAGTCGAGGACGGCCCAAAGCCTTGGGACCCTGCACCTGTGCGGGAGACCTGGAAGAGGCTCCTGGCTTCGGATTGGCTCAGCTCCAGGCCGCTTGGGGAGTGAATCATCGGATGGAAGATCTTCCTCGCTGTATATCCACCTTTCCAGTAAAAAAATAAAAAAATAAATAAATAAATCTTTAAGAAAAAAAAAAAAAAGAAGAGAAGCCTGGACTTGGGCTGGCGTGGCACCACAGACAGAGCCTTAATCTACCACACCACCTCAGCAGCTGTATATATGAATACTCAAACACATTTATATACAATTCTCATCTGTTCACACTGTAATACATTGTCAAGTAGTTCTAGTCAGGAGATTCAGCAGCCCTCTTACAAGTTCTTTTTCACTTTCAACGCCATTACACTCACATCTCTAAACCACATGCTAACATTCTAATTTCTTGATTTTCGGAGGGTGGGGGGCTTTGAGGCACTTTTTTTTTTTTTAGAAAGTTTTTATTTCAAAAGCAGGCGGTGATGCTCCACCTGCTATTTAGCTCCCCAGCTACCGTTACCAGTTAGGGCAGGACAGAAAAAGTCAGGCGCCCAATGCCATCGCCTGCTGCCTGACAGGGTCTACACCTGCACCAAACTGAAACCTGGGCACTGCAATAGGGGCTGAGGGTGCCCACCACAGCTCCTAATGTCCACCCCTTGATTCTCGTTAGTAGAATTGAGGTTTCCGTCTTACCATCTCCAGCACGGACGCTAGTTCTGTTTCCAATACTTAAGCAGCTGCCAGGAAAGAAAATGCGACGCCTGAAGGGGAAGGCGGCAGAGACCCTGGACATGTCGGTCAAGAGTCCTGCGCCTCGGTTGTGGTCCTCCTCTTCCCTCCAGCCCTTATGGCGGTGGTAGGCAGTGCCTACAGTCCTGCTGTGCCAAGCCGTGGCATCACAAAGCGCTTCACGCAGTCTCCATTCGACCTCGGCCCTGCCGTGTGACTTTGCACACACATCGCTGAATTTTTTTCTCTGCTTTTGCCTCTGTGTGGTACCCGCCGTAGCGCCAGGGCACAGGTCCTCCACTAAAGGGCGCTCCCGGCCCAGGGTTCACCCCGAGGCATCCTCCCACGGTGCGCCCGCCCCATCGCCGGCCACGCCCCGCCCCAGGTCGCGGCTGCCCATGACATCACTTCCTCCGGAAGAGGCCGCCGTTCTGCGCCGGTGGCGCGAAAGTCGGTTCCCGGTCCCGGCGGCTTCCGGGTTGTCGACTGCTTTGGCCGCGGACGGGCGGCGCCGCTGTGCGGGAGGGGGCGCGGCGTTGGCCGGGCTGGCGCCCGACCCCAGCTGCCCGTCCAGCGGGCCACGCGCCCCCCGCCCGCTGCCCCAAGACCCCCAGGCTCAACCTGGGTGAGTGCGGGACCCGCCGCAGCCGGGCGGCGCGGAGATGGCGGCGGGGCCTCGGTGTGGGAGGAGCGGGCCGCAGTGCGGGAGCAGCAGTCCTGAGTGCGGGAGGAGCGGGCCGCAGTGCGGGAGCAGCAGTCCTGAGTGCGGGAGGAGCGGGCCGCGGTGCGGGAGGAGCAGTCCTAAGTGCGGGAGCAGCGGGCCTCGGTGCGGGAGGAGCGGGCCACCGGACCTCGGTGCGGGAGGAGCGGCCTCGCGGGCCACGGTACGGGAGGAACGGGCCGCCGGGCCTCGGTGCGGGAGGAGCAGGCCGCGGTGCGGGAGGAGCGGGCTGCCGGGCCTCGGTGCTGGCCGCGGTGTCCGTGCCCCCCGGGGCGCGCTCTTGCTTGGAGGGGTCCTCGCGTTCCCGGGGTCATCCCGCACGGGGCTTCCTGCCCACTGTGTCCTTAGGAAAACTTGACAGGACATCGGGAACCTCACACATGATCTGTTTTTGTTCTTGTTCGACAGTTCAAAAATGTCCAGCAATGACAAAGAACCGTTTTTTGTGAAGTTTTTAAAGTCCTCAGACAATTCTGAATGTTTTACCAAAGCTCTCGAGGTAACAACAAGATGTCCTGTTTGCTGTGAACTCGTTTTCTGGCTTCGTGTCTTAGAAATGGGTGTCTTTATTTTTAATGTGATGTGACTGCGATCCTTGGTGTCGCCGTATCATTGCCGTACATCTTTTGAATTGATCTCAGTGTGTCCTGTATTTTGGGAGGCGCAACATCTAATATAGCATTTCTCTTAAATATTCCTGTAGTTCTTAGAAATTTGGTTATTTTCTCCTGTCTGCTAAGCAGGGTCCTTCGTTTATTAAAATGTTTGAGTCACCATGTACTGGTGACACGTTAATGTTTTGGGGTTAGCTGGTGACAGTATGTTTTATTGTGTGCAGTGTGACCTGGCGTGATGCCGGGAGTGGCATGGTGTGGGAGTTTGTCAGAAGTGCAGTTTCAGGCCTTAACCCAGATTTACTGAATATAATCTTCACTCCTATGACTCATTAGTAAGAAGTTTGAGAAGTGGTTGTAGCGTTTTTTGGGTGTTTTGTTTTTGTTTTTTCCGTTAAGGTTCATTCATTTAGCAAGTATTTTTTGACTGTCCTTAATGCCAACTGTAGTACTTTTAGGTAAATCAGTGGTAAATGCAGGCAGGTGCTTCTGCTGTCACAGAGCTTGCATCCTGGCGCGAAGAAATAGACACTAATCAGACGTGACAGCTGAAAAAAACATGTCGTAGATGGTTAAAAATGTGAAGTGTTACGGAAAGAGGAAAAGCAGAATTGAATAAGAGGTTCCAGAGATGGTTGTCGGTGGAGAAAGAAAGCGGGGGTTGTACGTAGGTTTAAATCAGAGTGCCATCATGGGTAGAAGATGTTTGCATAATGTTGAAGGAGGTAAAAGCCAAGTGGAAATCTGAGGAACGTAACATTAGGCAGACTTTGCAAGCACAGGGCCCCGGAACGTGTTGCTGTGGTGTGTGTGACTGGCATGCTAAGTAAGGGATGGGGGAAGAGTGTTGAGTAAAGCTGGGAGGGCCGTTGGAAAAACGGATACGAAGAACCACTGGAAGCTGCATGAGCCAGCAGACGGGAAGATTTTTCTGTCTCACCTGCTCTGTGTATCTAGTTTTCTAATAAAAATAAATGATTTTTAATGTGGATTTTATTCTGGATGTGACAAGGCTCTTTAATAAGAGCTTGAAGCATAGTGGCATGACCTGACTGGTATTCTAAAAGGGTTAATAGCTGTTGTGTTGCAAATAGAGTTAGGGCCAGGGAGAGAGAGGGAGACCCCTGGCAGGCACCTGCGGGTGTCCACATGAGAGATTGTGGGAGTTTTCGGTAGGGAAAAAGCTGCGTTTGTGGTCATGTTGAAAGGAGGGTTGGTAAGACTTAAGTATGGGGAATAATTTTAGGTATGTTCTTTTTCTTTCAGTCAATGAAAGAATTTCAATCAGAAGAGTATCTTCAGGTTATTACAGAAGAAGAGGCATTGAAGATAAAAGAGAATGATAGATCACTTTATATCTGTGACCCTTTCAGTGGCACTGTCTTTGATCACCTTAGAAAGGTTTGTTAACTGACAGCGTGTCCTTACTATGTTCTTGTCATTTGTTTTTGCCGCAGTGGATGCAAGATTTGTTGATCATGACACTTCATGCGAATTATAAATGTGTTGGTCTAGGGGAGCAGAATGTAATTTTTTAAAAGACCGATTATGTTACAGTAAGATGCTATTCTGTCACTTCTGTGTCGGGGGTTGTGTCTTTGTGTAATTGAACCTACAGTAACGAAGCATTTTAGTGATGTAGTTTACCATATTCCTGATTGCAAGCTGTTTCCAGGAGAACTAGTGAGTACCTCAGCACGGTGCTTGGCAGCTGAGCCTTCCCTCTGTCCTCCATAGGGACCGGAGGAATCAACCCAGAATGAAATGATTTTGAAGATCAGTGAGACCTCTTACTTCCTTTTGTTGATTCTGGAGTCTACTAACTTACCCCTTCCTTGTGGTATTTGGACAAGAGAGAAACATTGAGATAAGAGCAAACTGGCTTTAATTTCATCCAGATTACAAAGAAACGATGCTTGTTGTGAGAAGAAAGTGCAAAAATGCCAGTAGATGCAGTGTCTGTACCAGCGATCTTGGTCTCCTGGAAACATGCTTATCAGGATCGGTGGCCTCGCAAAGTTGTTTTCTCCTGGCTAATCAGAAAGACAGTGATGCTCCTTTATGGGATAGTGTATAAATCAGTCATGCAGCAGAACTAGCAATTGTACGCTTTTTTTTTTTTCGAATATTTTATTTGTTTTTATTGCAAATATATAGAGAAAGGAGGAGAGACAGAGAGGAAGATCTGTCCGATAATTCACTCCCCAAGTGGCCGCAATGGCTAGTGCTGAGCCAATCCAAAGCCAGGAGCCTCTTCTAGGTCTCCCACACAGGTGCAGGGTCCTAAGGCTTTGTGCCATCCTCTACTGCTTTCCCAGCTCACAAGCAGGGAGCTGGATGGGAAGCAAGGATTAGAGCTGGCGCCCACATAGGATCCCAGCGCGGCGATTGTAGGCTTTTTTTCTGCCTTTAATATGTTGCTGTTGGACATCACCTTTTGTAACTCTAGCAATAAAAATGAAAAGTCTTTTAAAAAATTTTTTTTGGTAAGTTAACCCTACAATATCTTACAAACCTTTATGTGTCTTCCTTGGAGACGTGTTACAGTTAAAAGTATTTAAAACTTCAGTGTGCTTTCATTGTACTTTTTTTTTTTTTTGGTGCTGTGATAGATGTTGTGGAGGGGACTACTTGTTGTTTTTTTTTTGTTTGTTTGCTTGCTTGCTTTAAGATTTATGTATTCATTTTGAAAATAAGAGTAGCAGAAAAAGAAATTATCTATCTACTGGTTCACCACCCAGATGGCCACAGTGGAGAGTGATGGGCCAGGCTGAAGCATGGAACTGAATCCAGATCTCCCACTTGGCTGGCTCTCAGGCCTTCATTTTCCAGGCTTTCTCAGGCCATTAGCAGGTAGCCGTTAGCAGGGTCAGACGTGATGCATCTGGGACACCAGCCAGTGCCCGGATTGGATGTTGGCATCACAGGTGGCGATGTTAGCTGATGTGTCACAGCTCAGGACCCAATAACGTGCTTTCACACTGTATAATTTTTTTAAGATTGGTCTTTGCCTGGTAATTTTCTAAAATGTTTTCTTTTCTTACAGCTTGGCTGCAGAATTGTAGGTCCTCAGGTAGTCATATTTTGTATGCATCATCAACGATGTGTCCCAAGAGCTGAACATCCAGTTTATAATATGGTTATGTCTGATATAACTGTATCTTGTACAAGCCTGGAAAAAGACAAAAGGGTAGGTCTTAGGGATATCCTAATTTCTTTATTGCCATGCTTAGAAACATGGCTTTTCTTCCACAATTAGTGAATCATAGTTTCCCATCTTACATGAACAGTCTTTTAAGAGACCACTTTATAGGTATGCACATATATAATTTATATATATAAATAAATGGGCATCCCTAATTTGAAATATTTGCAGAAATCCCGCCGCACACTTTTTATTTGGGGGGGAGGATTCACAAGACACCACAAGCAGAAAATTCTGCACTTGACCTGGTTTAACAAGTCAAAGTCAAAACACACATACACTGGAAAGCATTGTATAAAATTAACTTTGATCTGTATGAATAAATGTGTATGACACACCCGTGCCCAAGATGTCTCATTTTATATATGCAAATAATTCAAAATTTGAAACCTGAAACACTTCTATACTCATTCTGTATATGCATGGTATAGTATATATGAATATAATCCCTTGTATAGAAGCAACATAGTTGAGTAAACTAGAATTGAAAGGAACAAATAGAGGGAAATGATTCATATGTATCTTCTAAAACTAATTTGGTTAACTTTTATAATAGTGAGAAACATGTATTCAGGCTATCAAAAACAGTATTCATGGTATAATATAAAAAAATGAAAAAAAGATTCTTAGACTCAGTATTAATTCATTTTCTTTTTGGGGCTGCAGGATGAAGTTCATAAATATGTACAAATGATGGGCGGACGAGTATTCAGAGACCTTAACGTATCAGTAACTCATCTTATTGCAGGAGAAGTTGGCAGTAAAAAATATTTAGTTGCTGCAAATCTAAAGAAACCCATTTTGCTTCCGTCTTGGATAGAAACACTTTGGGAGAAGTCACAACAGAAGTAAGAAAAAATGTTTTCTGGATTTGAAAAATGGTGCCTACTCTGGTTTTTCAAAGGGAAGCTCTATGCTGTCCCCTTTGGATTAGGTTATCCAAGGGCAGAATTGGGGCCTATTGAAGAACGTAGTGGAATCTACAAGCTCTTGTTCGTTTTGGTGTAAATTAACAGTTTAAAATGGGCTTTGAGTTTAGCATTAGCTGCAAGGTAAAAAAACCCTTTGATAATTATGTTTCACTAATAAATGCTTCTAAAATAATTCAAGAAATCCATATGGTAATTTTGTGTCTCCATTGTCAGGATGCTAAGATGGGGATTAAATACACATTTTGACTATAAATATATGTACTGTATCAGCTGAGTGGTGATCATTTAATAAATGTTAAACGGATCTATTATGCTCCTGGCCTTGACACGTGTTAGATGTATGTAGTAGGCAAAACAGCGCAGCCTCCCATCCTTGCGGAACTTAACAGCCTATTTTCAGTGTACACACTTTGAAATCGAGTAGTAACCCTAAATCTAGGTACCACAAAATTTTGTGTCAGCTTGTGAATTACAGCGTTACGTCTCTGAGCTTGTTTTCAACACCAGGCAGTGCGTCCTCAGTGTCTCCATGTTGCCCGGCCTAAGGACCTGATCAGCATGTCTGCTTAGCATGGCAATAAAACGATATTGGTATTTGCATTCAATTTTCTCCCTTTAGTGTATAAAATGTTGGAAAGGGTAAATGCTCACTTTTTCCTGCTACACAACAAAAACTCTAGATACTCTATGTAATAGAGTTTCAGACTTAGAAGTTTTGAAAAAATATACCACTTTGACAAATAAAAGACTTAACATGAATAAAGCATGTAGTTTTTTCCCCTTTAATTTTTTTTTTTTTGAGACTGTTTCTGAAACAATATATTAGAGACATGATATTGAGCTCACTAAATGTTCATCAGTGTCCTTAAAAATGATCTGGGGAAAAAAAAAAGGAGGAAAGACAATAGTGGTGTTTCTATTTATTGTCATTGTGGTCAATTTAAAACTATCTAATTTCATTTGTATTCCTTTGTACCATTTGCTTTTTCCCAGTCAAATAGCCAGATATACTGATATAAGCATGGAAGAATTCAAGTGTCCTATTTTTCTTGGTTGCATCATCTGTGTGACTGGCTTGTGTGGCTTGGACAGGCGGGCAGTTCAACAACTGACAGTTAAGCACGGAGGCCAGTACATGGGACAGTTGAAAATGAATGAATGTACACACCTCATTGTTCAAGAGCCAAAAGGTAAAGGTGTTTAACAAATGAATAGATGCATTTTAAAACCTTTACAGAACAAATTTTGCTTCTAAACCTGGTTTAATATTTTTTTCCCTGAAATCTTACAAAGGTAGGTTGGGTCACAAATTGTGTAAAGATCGTGTAACTGCCTTGTATATCCCGATCATTGACGAAATACTAATAGAGCCAACTGTGTGATCTTTCAATTTATAAAGAAAGAAAAGACGCCCGCAGCTTACAAGTATTTCAAGAAAATTTGAGCCAATAACAGGGAAACTCAGAGATACAGCCAAATGATGTTTCTTACGATTAAAAGACTTGATTTTGGTTTTAACTGAATGAGTCAACTTGGTTGAATGAACTGGGTTCTTTTGTTTTGGCTGTTTGTGTTGATGGAGTAGTATGTGAGGATTTGGCACACATATGCAATGTGTAGTGATCAAATCAGGGCAGTGAGCAGCTCCAGCTCCTTAGACAGTTATTTCCTTATGTTGGGAACCTCCAAGATTAAGCTCTGGTCACCCGTCTGCTGAAGAGACTAGAACCCCTTCTTCCTGTGGGGACTGCTCCCTCACTCCCCGCCCACTGCAGCCTTCACTAACCTCTCTTCTGCCCTAGCACACGCACATGGGGGAGAACATGCAGCATTTGTGTTTCTATCCTGGCTTATAACCTTAAGTGTTGCCCAGTTCTCTGTGTCGCTGCAGGTGATGCGTTCCGTGAACTAGCTGAGAGTTGAAAACCCGCCCTGCAGAACATGAAGCAAAGAAAGTAGAAACGCGTTACCCCAAATAAGAATTCTTTAACGTTACTATTTTGGCATTCTGTACACTTTTTATCTCTTTTGGAGAATTTTTACCAGTGATCTGTTTTAAGATGTGTGCATTTGTGTTTTGAATGTTGGGGGTTAGAGAGCTCTTCCGTTTGCTTGTTTACGTCCCAGATGACTGCCAGCTGCCAGTGCTGGACTGGACAGCACCAGAGGCCTCACCCAGGACTCCACGTGGGCATTCAGGGCCCACGCACTTGGGCCGTCTGCTGCTGCTTTTCCCAGGTCATTAGCAGGGAGCCAGGTCAGAAACAGGGCAGCTGGTACCCAAACCAGTGCCCCTGTCACGTGCCTGTATCTTGGATTGCAGCTTTTACCCCATGCCACAGTGCCAGCCTCTTTACCGGCACTCTTAAGAATACGTGACAGTCAATGGGCAGAGTTTTGTTCGCACTGGCTTAAGTCATTACTTTGTGTGTGGCAGGTTGGTTATGAGTAGAACGACAAAGACTGAAGAAGAACTCTTTCTGGTTACACCTTGGCCTCAGTTTCTCTGTGATGCTGTTTTAAACGCTACGTTAAACTTTTTAAAGGCAATAAAAAGATATATTTGTTATTTTTTAATTTGCTATCCTTGATTCTAAATCGACTCCTACTCCTGCTAAATTGGAGGTTTTTTTCTTCTTATTTGTTACACTTATTTGGTGAAGTAGTAAGCATTTTTACTGTACTGTAATTTTAAAATGTTATTTCAAAACAAAACAGAAAATAAAAGCAAGAACAGAAGAGGGAAGGAAGAAGAGAGGAACAGAATATCACTGCGTTCCTAGAACTGGATCTTTAACTCCTGTTGAGCCTGTTAAAAAGCTAATTAAAATTAGAAGATTTGTCCATAACCAGTCCGCTGTGATAATATGGATGACTTTTATCCTTTGATTTTGTATATGCAAAAAATTTTACATCTGAAATGTTTTAGATATATTTTTAAAATTCTATTGACATTGCAGTTCTCTTTCAAGTTGATATTATATTGCATATATTTACAATTTCACAGTTGTTATAAACCTTCCTTTTAAAATTCAAAGATAGAATTTGAGTTAATCCTCAGTTTATGGATTAAGAAACTGGTTTAAAGAAACGAAGTGATGGAAGCTATATAATTTAAGTTCAGTATTTCATTTACCTCCTAGTTGTTTTTTTTTTTTTAACAGTTGTGTATTTATATAACACATAGGAAGTACAATATCACGTCATGTAGTATACTTTTCAAAAGTAAAGGATAGGGCCCGGCGCAGTGGCGCAAGTGGTTAAGGTCCTCGCCTTGCATGCCCAGGATCCCATATGGGCACCGGTTCTATCCCGGCAGCCATGCTTCCCTTCCAGCTAGCTCCCTGCCTGTGGCCCAGGAAAGCAGTTGAGAACGGCCCAAAGCTTTGGGAACCTGCACCCGCATGGGAGACCCGGAAGGGGCTCCTGGCTTCGGATTGGCATAGCATCGACCGTTGCACTCACTTGGGGAGTGAGTCATCGGACAGAAGCTCTTCCTCTCTGTCTCTCCTCTCTGTATATCTGCCTTTCCAATAAAAATAAAATAAATCTTTAAAAAAAAAAAAAGTAAAGGATAATCATTGATAAGTTTTATTTTGTTCCAAACCTGGTATAATTTAGATATTTCTATAGATATTAGATTTTAATATTTTGCATTTTTCTCTCTTACCATGATAGGTCAGAAATATGAATGTGCTAAGAGATGGAATGTACACTGTATATCCACACAATGGTTTTTTGACAGTATTGAGAAAGGTTTTTGTCAGGATGAATCTATGTACAAAATGGAACCTAGACCGGAAGTGAAAACTGTACCTGATTCTTCAACTCCTACTGGCCACACCAACCAAATTGATAGTAAGTATCATTGAGATCAAAAAAATAATTTTGTGCTTCACTCCTAGGCAGGCAGTAAAATAACCAAGCTATACATTTGCGTAAAACAGGAACCAAAGTGTTCCTGATAGTTAGAATAAATGGTAATGATCTTCCATACCATGAAGTAATGTAAGAGTTAATCAGACAAATTAAGACCACTGATGAATAGACTTAAAAAGGACTACTTTCATTGATACATTTCTTCATTCGTTCATAGCAGTTGTTCTAGCTCGTTAGTGTTTGTATGGAAATTAAAGTTTTGGACTTGTCATATTTCCAAATGTTGGTAAAGGATTTTGAAGTATACTTGTCTTGATTAAAGCTAACAGCCTTAGGTTTTTATGGGAATAAGACACTATTACGAAAGTTTGTTTTATACATTTTACCTCCATGAACCTGGTTTCGGTTCCTTTTCCCTACTAAGGAAAGTTAATCTGTAAGAAAATGTATGGTATCAATTATTTTATTTCTAAACTTTTTTTTTTTACATGTAGATCGCACCCTTTCAGATGTCAGTCATATTTCTAACATAAACGCAAGTTGCGTAAATGAATCAATGTGTAATTCAGTTCTCAACAGCAAATTGGAGCCTACACTGGACAACCTGGATGTCAGTGCATTTCAGGCACCTGAGGATTTGTTAGACGGTTGTCGGGTATGTCTTTATTGTGTAATAAATGCTGGAAGTGGTGATGTTTGTTAAGTTTCCCGGCCTAGCTTTTGAGATCTTGAGATTTGCACTTGTAAATCCCCCGTACAAGCTAAGTGACTGCTCAGCAGACATATCTGTTCTTTGGCTTCAAAGGTCAACATTTCTGCCTGGGCTCCACCTTTATCTGTTGGCTTCCAAGAGTTTGTGGCAGTTTGCAGCGCCATTCATCTCGCCATGTACTTGTGTGTTTTTTTGTTTGTTTGTTTGTTTGTTTTTTAAGGTGTATTTATTTCAAAGAGTTAGGGGGCGAAACAGAGATCTTCCATCTACCCATCTGCTGATTCAATCCTCAGATGGCTGCAGCAGTTAGGGTTGGGCAAGGCTGAAGCCGGGAACTTCTTACAGTTCTCCCAGGTGGGTAGAGAGGCCACTTCCCCTGGTTTTCCCGGGCTATTCCCAGGGAGCTAGATCTGAGACAGAGCAGCTGGGATGTGAACCCGTGCCTTTATGGGATGCCAGCTTTGCCCATAAGGCACAACACCAGCCTTTATATTTTGTTTTAAGAATACATAGTTTCTGGTGGGTTTTCAGCCGTCATTAAGTTTTTACAATGTGTCAGACTTTGTTAGTTATTGCATGTATTTGAGAATACATGGGAAATTGAATGAAAAGATCAGTTTGGGTGCAGAAGGTAAAATCCGTGCATTATGAAGGAGCTTCAAACTGTGTATTGATTTCAAAGTTCGTTTACACCAACATAAACTTATGCCTTAGTTCTGTTTTTCATGAACTTTTTGAAACCTTGATGTAATGGTAATTTTATAATCTTAATTGTTACAGCAACTCTAAAATGGATGAGACTAAGGACTAAAATCCTTACAGAATTAAAATTCTTAACATAGTTGTTAATTGGTAATCATCTACTTCAAATTTGTATTACTAAGTATTAGAGCCACTACTTTGGTTAGTATCTCTTATTTAATTTTTATGCCAAATTCTTACTGTTTGTTTGTTTGTTTGTTTGTTTTTGAGAAGGAAACAGAGTTTCCACCTGTTAATTCACTTCCCACGTGCCTATAGTGGCTGGGACTAGGCTGAGGTCAAAGTTAGGAGTTGGAAACCCAATCTGCATCTCCCATGTGTGCGTCAAGGAACCTACTACTCGATCAGGCACCTGCTGCCTGCCGGGGAGTGCATTAACAGGGGGCTGGCATCAGCAGAGGCAGGACGTGAATCTAGGCATTCCCATAGCAGCTGCAGACACCCCAACAGGTGTGTTAGGCCAGATCTCCACCCAGGTGGTTACTTAACTTTTTAGTGTCTTAATACACCATCTCACAAATTCACTAACGAAAACATTGGGAGCTGTGCTTTCTCAGATTTCGTGGATCTTGATACTGACTCTCATGAATTTTACATATCTAAGTGTGTGGGGTGGGCGTTGTAGCATGATGAGTCAAGACACCGTTTGTGATGCTGGCGTTCCATTTGGTTCACATCTCATTGTTCCACCTGAATGGCCAGGGAAAAGCAGAGAATGATGGCCCACATGTTTGAGCTTCTGTCAGCCACAGAGGAAACGGCTCCTGGCTGTGTCCTGCTCCGTGTGGGCCTTTGCAGCCATCTGGGGAGTGATGATTCTCCCTCTTCTGTAACTTTGACTTTCAAAATAATTAATTACATGGGTTTTTTGTTGTTTTTTTTTAATGTGTGATTCCTAATTTTGCAAAAGCATATTCTAGTAATGGGAGCGATTTATTTTGGGATATGAAGATAGTTAAGGATACATTATTTTTAAAATTTTATTAAAAGATATATTTATCTTTGAAAAATATAAATATTTTTGTTCTTTGTTCTATAATATTTCTGTTCTTTGAAAGGCAAAGCTGCACAGGGAGAGACAGATCTTACGTCTGCTGGATTATTCCCCAAATGGCCACAGTGGTCTGAGTTGGGCTGGTCTGCAGCCAGGAGATGGGAGCTTTTTCCGGATCTCCTAGGGCAGGGTCCCAATTACTGGGCCATCTGCTGCTTCCCCAGGCACGTAGCAGGGATTAGAAGGAGAGAGGCTGAGATGCAAACTGGCACCCCTATGGGATGCTGGCCCCTCGGATTGAGGCTTCACTTGTTATGCCACAGTGCTGACACCAACTCTTAAAATTTTTAAACGTACTTCATGTATAGTAGAAATTTTTTTAAAAATTTATGTACTGAATAAATTTAAGTGTGTGCATTTTGATATTTGAAAGTAAGATAAATTATTACACGCATTCTTCTTCAAAGCATCATGCACACCTATTTGCCTTATTTTTCTTCCTTTTTTGTAAAAGATACATAATTTGTAGGTAGGAAAATTGGTTTTGAGAGCTTAAGGGAATGCCCTTAGGCATATGCGATCATTGACTGCTACAGATCAGAATTAAATAAACATAGATTTATTTTTTGGTTCAGATAATTAACTACAGTTTTCTTTCTACAATGACTTTAAAATAAGCTACTTTGATTTTTAGAAATACTGAGCAAAAATATTCCAAAGGTGTTGAATTCTAGCTTCTATTGCAACTAAAACCTCAAAATATTTGAAATGACTCTAATAATACATGTGCAGTTGTGTTTTGTATTTGTAAGTAATGAATTTTGAGCTACGTGGTGTGTTTCTTTTAGAAAAGATAGGCCTTAACTACACTGAAGTGAATGCTTGTGTTCTTTGCAGATATACGTTTGTGGCTTTAGTGGCAGAAAACTCGATAAACTCAGAAGGCTTATTAACAGTGGAGGTGGCGTTCGTTTTAATCAGCTTAATGAAGATGTAACTCATGTAATTGTGGGAGACCATGACGATGAGTTGAAGCACTTTTGGAATCAATCAGCCCACAGGTTTTGTCATTGTTGTTGTTGTTTCAAAGTCATTTCTGTGCGATGATTTTTTGTAGAATTGCATGCCCTAGCATCCTTGATAAATCTGTGACACTGGGACGACAGGCTTTGGAACTCACACTGATGGGCAGTCATGTGCTGTTTTGTAGGCCTCATGTGGTGGGAGCAAAATGGTTGCTCGAGTGTTTCAGTAAAGGTTACATGCTTCCTGAAGAACCATACGTCCTTGCTAACTACCAGCCAGTGGAAATGCCGATCTCGGATCAACCTGAAGGCAGAATCACTGTACAAAACAATAGCAGCGTTCCTAAAACAGACTTGGCCCCCAAGGAAAACCACAAGCAAGCCGATGATGATTTGCTCTCTCAATATGTAAATAATCACACCACAGTAGGTGAGAAATAATCGCTTAGTATCTGCCGTAGGCAAATCCTTGCCTACATAGACGAATTCTATTGTTTGAAGTTTTATGTGTGTGATTTTATTTTTTTTCTGAGTCGACTTAACTCTTGGGCTCTGAATTGTTTAGACCTCTCACGGTTAAATCAGTTCGGGTTTTTTTCTTCCCGTTTTACAGTTTTGTTGCAGGCGTAGGGCTAATCTGTTCGATTTGACTGTTACCTAGGTAGGCGTAGTGGGTTGGTTTGTGTGTGAATTTGTATTGTCATGAGCTCTTTATGTAAGCATTGTTAATAGCTGCCTGCAACAGCCTTGTTGTAATCTTATTCAGTGCGGCAAGATAAGTTACATTGAAGAGTTTTGAATAATACTTCTTTAAAATGAAATTTTGTAATAAACAGAATGTTTCAACTTTGCCACGTGCAAACGTAAATAGTATATATACAGATATTGTTTCATGTCTTGTGTATTTCAGCATCCATAAATGATAGCACAGCATTTTTCTGCTACTCATCCAATTCAAGTAACTGGTTAAGAATATACTATACTGACATGCGATATAGCCTCCTATTCCCCACATCCCTCCATCAGATCATGTGAGCCTTGACCTTTTTGCCCGTCTATGTGGGTATAGAGCAGATTCTTCTTGCTCTTTTTTTTTCTTACACTTACGTGAATGAGCACATTTGATGTGTTTCATATACACAGTTTAAGAGCCTAATGATGCTTTCCACCCCACCTTCCCTTCCTCCTTCCTCTCATAAATCTCTCTTAACTTGTGCAGTGGCTTATTTTCAGTTTACTTTATAGCGTTCGACGTACACCTAACTAAATAAAGAGTTCGGTGAATGGTAAGTGGAAAAACTTGTCCCTTAAGAGTATGGGCAAGATCCATGAGCAATGATTAAATCTCACAGATGTCAGTCTCACTCATAGTTAAGTTTTTGTGGTCTTGATGTCATGAACATTAAACCAAACTATTAGAGTAACTTGAGTGTTTAGACGTATTAAACTTTTGCTTTTTTCATGTTTATGTCTTCTTTCATCACTACTCCCCTCAAACTGCTTATTCATGTAACATAAAGTGTTCTGATTTTAATATTACTGACTAATTAGTTGTTTTCCAACACTTCTTATTCATTAATTTATTTTGTGTCTGTGCTAATGTTCACTGCTGCCTCTGACGTATAGTAAAGGTCTAAAAGGGATCTGTATCTAGAATGTTCCATTGAGATACTACCCTGAGCCACGGTCATTATCACAGACTGGTAAAATGATTTAACAAAGATGATTTACCTAAGATGTCTTGGATATATATATTTTTTAATTCTATCTGAATTTATTTACCATCTGATCGCATCTAACATGGTAATTGTGAACATCTTTAGTTCCAAGGGTACTCAAGCAACAAAAACATTCCCAGGCACCTAAACAGATACTGCATTGAAGTCAGGGGTCAGAAAGAGCAAAGCAAAACTTAGAGAAAAAAGAACAGGGGGAAATAAAGGAGTAAAAAAAATAGATCATGTGCATGTTCTTGCCTCTGTGCTTCCATACAAATTTTTTTTAGTTAGTTTGTCAATTCTGCAAAAAGAACCCAGAAATTTGATTCAGATTACAATGAATTTGAAATTTGAAATTGGCATCGGTACAATTAAAAACTTCCTATCTACAAACATAGAATACCATATAGTTTTACCTTCTTAAGCATCATTGAAAATAGTGTAATTAAATTCATAAGGTCATGGATAGATTGGATTTGTTCCTGATTTCTATTCTATCTTGCTTTTTTTAATTGATACTGTTTCTTAAAGCCACATTTTCAACTGCTGATAGAAATGTGTAAGATGGAAATTTTGACTATAATTTTTTTTTTATTGACTGGAAATTTTTAGGTATCATTCTAATGTCTTTATAGTTCTAATTCTCATCTTTAGGTCTGGGTGTTAACGTGTTATTAAGTGCTTCTTACATTTTCGTAAAGATTTATTTATTATTTATCTACTTATTTTGAAAATCACAAGAGAGAAAGCGAGAGAGAAAGGCCTTCAGTCGATGGTTCACCCTCCCGATAGCCACGGTGGTCAGGCTGCAGCCAGAGGCCAGATCTTCCACGTGGGTACGGGGCCCAAACGCTTGGCCTCTCTTCTGCTATGTTTTGGGTTCATTGGCAAGGAGCTAGATCAGCGGTGGAACAGCTGGGACATGACCTGGTGCCCTGGCAGGATGTGAGCTTCACAGACGGCAGTTTTACTGGCTGTGCCACCAACGGACCAATCCCTTATCAAGTACTTTTGCTACATTTAGTAGCAAACTGTATTAATAGCTCTAATATAACCAAATCACTTTTACATTATTCCAGGGCCTGGTACCAGAATACTGGTGGACAGATGACTACCGCCCTGTCTTGAGGTCTTGAAATGTGATTCCTCTAGCTTTATTTTTATTCTTCAGGTTATCCTTAGCTCTTTGTGGGCTCTTCTGTTTCCAGTTGAACTTTCCTATCATCTATTCCAACTCTGAGAATAAATTTGTTCTGATAATAAGGCAGCATTCATGCCAGAACAAAGAGAAACACAGGAGAACAAGTACTTACAGATATTCTCATGCATGAACTGCATAACGGAGACTAGCATAGCAGAAAGTCAAGATTTTTTTGCAGCAGCATGAACCGGCACCCATAATATGGGATACCGGGATACCGGCACTTGCAAGGCGAGGATTTAGCCTGTAGGCTACCACTCAGCCCTTACTGTTTGTTTTGGATTTCCTTTGTACTTGTGATAGGAGATTTTTCTGCCTTCAAATTTTTTTGTATTGATCACTGTCTTTCTGTTTTGGGGGTGTATTAATATTCTTGAGGGGGAAGTAAGTTTAAGTTAAATTGTGATAGAAAGGTTTGTTTTTTTCTTCTCTCGTCACCATGGTGTAACCCCATCTAAACTGAGCAGCACCTGCACTGATTTTTCTTGGTTATCTGAAGATGGGATGGATCACATCCATTCTTGTTTGTGTAAGTTTTAATTTTGTAAGCATGGCCAAATTCTAAGACTTTACTATGTTAATATTTTTGAGAGGAAGTAGATTTTAAGTTAAATTACTTTAGAAAAACGTTTCTTCTTTTTTTATTCTTCCAGTTGAGGCTGAGAAGGCTAAAGCTGCCAAGTCTGAGGTTGGGCCGTGTCATGATTCTACCCACGTTGAACCCTTTAATGATTCCACTCACATTTCATTACAAGAAGAAAACCAGTCTTCTGTCAGCCTTTGCCTCCCTGATGCTTCCACAATTACTGAAGAAGGCTTGTTTAGTCAAAAGAGTTTCCTTGTTTTGGGTTTTAGCAATGAAAATGAAAACAACATTGCAAAGATTATAAGAGATAATGCTGGAAAAATCTTAACTCCTCAAAGCAGAACTGTTGCTGACTACGCTGTGGTTCCTCTGCTGGGGTGCGAAGTGGAAGCAACTGTTGGAGAAGTTGTTACAAATACGTGGCTGGTAAGAAAGTACTATAGCTGATGAAATAAAGCCTTGAAGGGTATCTGAATGCCAGGAGTTGCTGTTTATTATGCAGTTGGGTTTGTAAGTGAATGACATTTGGATTTTAACCTGGATTTTGCTTTTTACCTAGGAAATTCTCCAAAATGTTTCCACTTTGGTCCTATTCCTGTTAATACTACAGGTTACTATTTTCCAAAGACTGCAGTGGTAACATTCTTTCTTAGTAGGTCACTCAGACCTCATTACCTCCTATTTTCTCACAAATGAAGTGTGAGATTCACTTTTGTATTATATCAACTTGTTAACTGGTCACTGGTAATTTCACAATTAGATTTTTTCGTTCTAACTTGCTAAAAAGTGGGGGAGGCCAAAACAAGCTAGTTTTGTTGGAAGAAATTAAAGCATCATTCAGTAAGATTAACTGTCCTACGATTCTAATGCCTTAGTGTGATGAATTATTGTTTATGTTTCTTTAAGTATTATAATTTAAAATAAGCTGAAAGTAAACAGTTATTTTAAGACTTGTTTTTCATGAAAGTGGTTCAGCTATTGTAACTGAAGCAGTGTTAATAACTGGTTGCTTATTTCAAGCTGGCTTTTTCGCTTTTTCTTTCTGAAAGGTTGTTTGTATAGACTGTCAGACCTTAGTTGAGCCAAGCTCGAATCCCCTCTTCACACCAGTCCCAGTAAGGACAGGAGCGACTCCTTTAGTGGATTGTGTTCTTTCCTTTAGCCAGTGTGCTGGAGCAGAAAAAGATTCTCTGACATTTTTAGCAAATCTCCTAGGAGCAAGGTAGGTCATATTTTAAGTTGCATCTGTTTTGCTGTGCCTTCCTGTTTGTTTTGACTTAACTAAAGAGCATTCAGATAAGGGCTTGGCTGGGTCTTGAGTGATACTGGATGGATGCCTACCCAACCAGCTGCTGCTGGTGCCTTATTTATTTAGCTATCAGAAGGGGAATATTCACTAGTATTATGTGGGTCACTATTTAATAGTGCTTCTGTAAGCATTACTACTCTTCCGTGTACCGTAAATACAGTGTTTTCTTTTTTAGTAATCCATCACTTTTTTGGGTTTCAGCCAGGAATACGAATGTTAAGTGGTAGGAGCAACTACTTGGGGGAGGAGGAAATTAATTTGAAACTTAGTTGATATTTGTATTAGCCCAACGCCTGAGTAGTGCAGGGGTGCCTGTTTCAACAAAAGTGGAAAACTGCTGTTAGTAATGTAAATGAGCCCGGGGAGGAGGAAAGATGGCCAGGTGAAAGTCAACTTAAGGAGAAGGATGTTATAGTTTGACAAGTTTGAGTTCAAACAGAACTGCACTGTAGAGAGTGTTCTCCCTGAAGGTTTGTGTCAAATATTATTATTCATAACAGCTATGGGAGATATAGGGGAAAAATTAATACAACTGTTAGCAGGAAAATTAATTTCCATTTGCTTCGTGGGCAGTCATAAAAGCGGAAAGGAAGTGAGGCCAGCATTGCAGTACAGCGGGTTAAGCCACTGCTTGCGATGTTTTAAGTCCCAGCTGCTCCACTGCTGATTTAGGGTCCTTCGTAGGACACTTTGTATGGGTCTGGGAAGGTTGCAGAGCAGGACCCACGTATTTGCCCTCTTGGCACACGTGAGAGTGAGCCAGCAACAGCGCAACACTCGCCTAGGTACAAGGCAGCCTAGGCGTTTGCCTGTAGCTGGGAAATTTGCACGTTTCTATGAAACAATTATTGCAACAATACTTTTATCCTAGAAAGGGGACTGTAGAAGAGTGTTAATTGAGGGGCTGACATCATGACCTAATAGGCAAAGCCTCTGCCTGCAGCATTGACATCCCATGTGGGTGCTAGTTTGTATCCCAAAAAGGAGTTAACTTAGTTCAGGATGAAACAACTTCTAATCTGTATTCGCTTAGGCTTACATGAACTCTAACCCTGCTGTTGTGTGAGAAGCTTTGTGTTTGCTGACTTACTATGTATTTGACCATTTGCTTTGTGTATGTGTGTGTGTGTTTAGTGTTCAAGAGTTCTTTGTACGCAAAGCCAATGTCAAGAAAGGAATGTTTGCCAGTACGCATCTTGTGTTGAAAGAGCCTGGTGGTTCTAAATATGAAGCTGCAAAGAAGTGGAACGTACCTGCAGTCTCTGTAGCGTGGCTCTTGGAATCTGCTAGAACGGGAGAGAAAGCAGACGAAAACCGTTTTCTTATTGAAACTTCATTTAAAAAAGGTTAATACTTGGTGTTTTTTGGTCTTTTGGGGTTTTTTTTTCTTGCCTTGTGTGTATTTTAACAACTTGGTATTTCTTGGGCTGTGAATGTGCCAAAGCTAGAGTGATCCTGGTGTTTTAGAATCTAAAGATGTGAGCCTGGACCCCATTTACTGTTAGGTCCTCACACTGACAAGATAATGTAATTAATATGCTGTCTCTTCCTTTCATCTTTGACAATCCTGCTTGCCTGCTCTTCCTTGCTAAACTGTAAGCTGCGTAGCAACAGGGAATACACACATCTTTTCAGTTCTGTATTTCCAGTGTCAGGCATTGGTTTTCACATGGAATAATCTAATAATAACATGATGTAGTAGTAATCTAATAAGTGTTTTGCTCAGTGTTGAAAAAAGTAGGGAGGGGATGGGAGAACAACAATTCAGTGATGTGGCATTCCCAGCAGACTTAGGGGACGAATCATCAGTTTGGTGAGCACTTTTCATGGCCAGTACTCATTTAGCCAGATACATGGGAAGCTTTGAAACAAAAGTGATTTAGGGCATATTAAAGTGTCATTAAGAACTTTTTAGTAGATTAAGGCCATTTTAACATATAACCAGGTAAAAATGAAATCATTTTATTAATTGCCAGTATACTTATCTCACTTACATGGCATTTTAAAACATCATCTGGTTCACTTTGGAAAAGTAGGCATATGATACAGTTTAGAGGGTACCTAGGAATCAACAGGAAAAGTAACAGTAACATAAACACACCTTTTACTTGCCCCTTGACTAGACAAAGAGACTTGGTGTTAGAAAGAATTCAGCTTCATGGTTAAGGTGCCTGTGACCCACTTCAGAGTGCTGAAGTTTGATGTTCTAGGTCCAGCTCTTGACTACAGCTTCCTGCTAACACTAGGAAGGAGCAGCAATGCTTCAGATGTCTGTGCCTCTGCCATTTATCACTAAAGTGAAAGTGATATCATTTGGGGCTTTGTAAGACTTTGTACCCAGGAAGCCTTGGCTCCCTTGCAGTCATTGAGTCAGCCAGTGAATGGGAGCACCGGCCCATCTGGTTTTCTGTGTTTCTCAGGGCCGTTCAAGGAAAAATAAATACACAGACACACGGTCTACCCCCACAGTGTATGCCTTGCATCTAGCAGAAAAAAAAAAAAGAGAAAAAGTGGGTATTAACAGCTCGTATTTATTTTTCATATCAAATCTCTAGAACAAAGTTTAGAAACTGAAATAACAAATGGAGTGAATCCAAATCCAGAACTACTAGAGCATCCTGGCAGACACCTGGAGACCCACAGGAAAACAGCTGTTACACCCTTGGATATGAACCGCTTTAAGAGTAAAGCTTTCCAGGCTGTGATCTCCCAACATGTCGGCCAGGGGCCCGCACCTCCAGCCGCAGCACAGCCACTTCAGAAAGAACCTTCGTTACACCTGGACACACCATCAAAATTTCTATCTAAAGACAAACTTTTTAAGCCTTCTTTTGATGTGAAGGTAAGACTTGTAGAAAAATGGTGTTTGGTTTATAAAGCCTGAAATTTTGCCTTACCTCTAAAGTGTGTAGTCGTAAGGTTTCCAGTTATTGGCAAGTAGATTCATGCTTAGTCTCAGCATTCGTATTGCTGAGCCCAGCCAACTGTAGATAACTGTGGCATGAAATTAGAAATCTGAGTTTGAGTCCTAAATCATTCATGTCCCCTATGACTCTAAGCTTATCTAAGCATTAGTTTCTTCTTATTTTTTAAAGTTTCATTTATTTTTGTTAGAAAGGCATATTTACAGAGAGGAGAACCAGAAAGAAAAATATTCCATTTGCTGGTTTACTCCCCAACTGGCCACAACCACCAGAGCAGAGCTGATCAAGAGCCATGAGCCTGGATCCTCCTCTGGGTCTCCAACTTGGGTGCAGGGTCCCAAGGTTTTGGGGCATCCTTTACCATTTTCCCAGTCCACAAGCAATCAAGGAACTAGATGGGAAATGGAGCAGCCCACACATGAATTGACTCCCACAAGGGATCCTAATTTTTGAAGGGGGAGGAATAGCCACTTGAGCTATTGCACCAGGCCCTAGGTTCTTTTGTACAAAGAAGGTACTTACACTTGCTCTGAAACTTGATGGATTTTTAATGATCAAGTCAAATGATAATGATTTTTATCAAGAGTATGCTAATGCAGACACTTTGCTGCTCATATATTGCTTTTACAACCTAGGATTCATTGTCTTATAAAAATTGTAATCATCTTTTCATTCATTTCCACTAAAGAATATTAGTTAAACATGTTTTATGGTTTGATCTTGAGTGGTTGATATAGTATAGCACATTTCTGACAAAGTCGTTTGTACATGATGGCCTGATTTTTTTAGGACTTTTCCTTTTATTTCTCAAAGACTATCTTCTTAACCATTCTTTCAGTAGTTGTTGGTCTCTCAAAAACCTATTTTAATCATTGTCTATGATTTCCTTATCCGTGAACTTTGGAAAAATTATTATACCCACTCATCTGTTACTTTTTTTGCTCAAGGTGTACCAAGAAGCAGCATGGTTTTTTTTTTTTCTGTAAAGATTTATTTATTTTTATTGGAAAGTCACAAGTACAGAGAGAGGAAGCTACAGAGAGGAAGGTCTTCCATCCGCTGATTCACTCCTCAAGTGGCCACAACGGCTGGAGCTGAGCTGATCCAGTACGCATTTCTACTGCTGAATAAAAGGATTCCAATGAAACTGTTAGATGTATCTTGACAACAGGACAAGAGACTCTCTGCTATAGTCCACACCTACAATGCTGTAATACACTTAAATTCCAGAATGATGGACTTGTGACTGTTAATGAAGGTCTATACTGTTGTAATAATATGGAGGAAATCATAGGTGTGGAGAGAGGGAGATTAAGCAGGATGAAAGGGGAAATTCTTGAGCCCATGGAACTGTATCGTGAGGTGGGAGAAAAAACTATGGTGGTACCTACTTGGGTTGTTTATTTGAAAGGCAGACAAAGAGTACCTAGCAGCTGTTCCTTCCCCGAGTGTCGGGAACAGCTAAGTCTGGGCCAGAGCCAGGACACAGGGACTCAGTTCCCACATGGGTGATGCCACATTTTTGCATATAAAAAAAGTAGCAACATGGCTAGAGGCCTGTGGACATTAGTATTTTATCCAGTGATACATTTACTGTGCTATCCTATGTGTGTCAGTTAAAACTAAATTCAGGAAGGCCCCAGAACGTCAAATTTCTGATTATTCCATGGGTTCCATTATGTTAAAAGAATCTGGAATATTCACTAAGTCTGAAGAACCACTTTGAACGGAAACTTTAAAATGTACTACCAAAAAAAGAGAAAAACACTGCTAGGCAGAAATTAATATTAAATAGTGAAATATGCTTTTGGGTATTGAGACCTCAGAACAACTATAAAACTCTTATTACTGTAAGGTGTCTAATAAAAAATACTGAGTGATTGAAAATATTGAAACTGTTTCCTTGTCTACCAGTAAAGCTTCATTTACCATTCAGAGTCTGTGAACAAAAACCTCAGACATTATCTGACCTGATTGCTTGATTTTACCAACAGAAATGATGACGCCCACAGAGGCTGACAGGAGGACTGGTTCTAGAGCTTAGTTTAATGAAAACTTAGAATTCTCAGTATAATATGTTTGACCCTGGAATTAATCAAAGACAAAGACTTAATTTAAGTTGCAGAAAATTGCCCTGGGTATCAATTAATATTTTCTTGCTGAAGATGCCCTACCTATAAGCTTTGGTATCTACGCCAAAACATACTAGCAAGAATCATTAAAATGCTACTTTGGTGCACCAGGATCCCATATGGGCACTGGTTCTAGTCCCGGCAGCCCTGCTTTCCATCCATCTCCCTCTTGTGGCCTGGGAAAGCAGTCGAGGATGGTTTTTATTTAAAGCAGTAGAAATGCGTACTGCAACGTATGTTCACTTCTCTGTATGCAAATCTCCATTATAAAACTATTTATCTATTGATCTTGTATTTTGCATGAAGGTTGTCAGTTAGAACATTTAATATTTGTCTTTTTGTGATTGGCTTATTTCAGTGAGCATAACATTTCCTGGTTAGGACCGTCTTACTGCACATGCAGAATTTTATTCTTTTTAGTGGCTGAGTAGTATTCCACAGAACACATGTACCTTGCTTTCTTTATCCGTTCCTCTTTCAGTGGGCATCTGGCTTGTTTCCTTGTCTTTGCTACAGTTAATTGTGCTGCTGTAAATATAAGGTTACAGCTCACTCTCTCATACACAGATCTCATTTCCTTTGGGTCAGTGGGATCATACAGTAGATCAGGTTTCAGTTGTCTTTGAGAGGCTGTCCTGGCCTAGATTCCCACCAAGAGTAAAGAAGATACCTACGCCCTGACCTTCACACCAGCAGGTAGTAGAGTTCTGAATGCAGGCCAGTCTCACTGAAGTTAGGCGGAATCTCCATGTGGAGTTATTTGCATTTCCCTAATGGCTAGAGAGCCTCAGCATTTTTCTCACGTCTATTAGCGATTTCAATTTGTACTTATGAAAAGTTTTGCACAGTTTCTTCTCATTTCATCTCAAGAAATGTCTCTTCACAAGGTTGTTTTGCTGTCACTGAGTTTCTGCAGCCTTTTGTACATCTTGGATAGGAGTCCCCTCTATGGTCTACTGCATAGAGATTTCCTCCCATTGTGTTGGCTGCCTCTTCATTTTGTTGAGTGCTTCCTTGGCTATGCAGAAGATCCTGAGTTTGAGGTAGACTCCTTTGCTTATTTTGGCTTTTGGTGATTTTTCTAAAGTCTTTACCAATGCCTGCATCTTCAAGAGTGCTTCCTGTGTCGTCCCCTAACTGTTTGATGGTTTCTAGGTGGAGATTTTGGTCCCTGATCCATTTTTGCATGAGGTGACACGAGGGGGGATCTTGCTTCTGACTTCTGCAGGCTACAGGCTGCTGTCTAACTGTCCCAGCAGCATTTCTTGAAGAGACCGACATTTTTCCCTGAATTCTTTTCAGGAAATATCTTGTGGGAGACCAGTTAGTTGCACATGCGTGGACTCCTTTGTGGGGTTTCTGTTCTGTTCCATCAATCTTCTTTATTTCGATACCAGAACACACTGTTTTGAAGACTACCGCCCTGTCTCCAGGTCTGCAATTGTGATTCCTCTAGCTTTATTTTTATTCTTCAGGTTATCCTTGGCTCTTTGTGGTCTCTTGTGTTTCCAGATGGACTTCTTTTTTTTTTAAAGATTTATTTTTTATTATGTTTTATTGGAAAGGAGGATATACATAGAAGAGAGACAGAGAGGAAGATCTTCCGTCCGATGACTCACTCCCCAAGTGAGCGCAACGGTCGATGCTATGCCGATCCAAAGCCAGGAGCCCCTTCCGGGTCTCCCATGCAGGTGCAGGGTCCCAAAGCCTTGGGCCGTCCTCAAATGCTTTCCCGGGCCACAGGCAGGGAGCTGGATGGGAAGCAGGGCTGCCGGGATTAGAACCGGCGCCCATATGAGATCCTGGGTGTGCAAGGCAAGGACCTTAACCACTGCGCCATCACACCAGGCCCTCCAGATGGACTTTTGTATCATCTTTTCTATTTCTGAGAATGTTGTTGGGATTTTGATTGTGAGTACTTTGAGTCTTTACAAGTTCTTGGTAATACTGACATTTTGAAGATGATTCTGATGATCCAGGAAATGTTATATTTCTCTATCTTTCAATGTCTTCCTTTTTTTCCCCGATGGTTTGTAATTTCCATCATGGTGGTCTTTAACACCTCTGCTTGGACTCATTGCACAGTATTTAAAATTCTTCTGCACTGTTGTGAAGAGGACTGTACTTAGAGGTTCTTTCTCAGCCATGGAGTTATTTGTGTATCCTAGAGTCATTGCTTTATGTTTCATTATTTTGAAACATACTATCCTGCCAAACTCTCATATGTTTCCAGTGGTCTGTTGATGCCTTTGGTTCTCCAGTGTATAGAATCATATTCTTTGTAAACAGGGATAATTTGAATTCCTCACATTCTATTGAATTGCTTTAATTTGTATTTCTTGCCTAATGGCTCTAGCAAAGACTTCCCATACTCTGTTCCATAACAATAGTGAAAGTGGACTTCCTTATCTAGATCCAGATCTTAGAATCTTCCAGTCCTTCCCCATTTATTTTGATGTGGAATTGGGTTTTGGATATCAGAATACTTCTGTACCTGTCTCGCTTAGGGAGCATCTGTGTCCTTGGAGACTCTGTTTTGTTATTATTCGTCCTACATTTAGGATATCTGTCCCATTTGCTTTGAATAGCTCGAGTCTATTACTTGTTACATGAAACTATAGAAAATACATTTCTTGTCTGCTGCAGGTGGGTATTCACAAGATACTCACTAGGGTATGTGAAGATCTGGGGCCCGGCACAGTGGCCTAGTGGCTAACACCCTTACCTTACACGTGTTGAGATCCCATATCAGCGCCGGTTCTATCCCTGTGGCCCAACTTCCCATCCAGCTCCCTACTGGTAACCTGGGAAAACAATCACAGATGGCCCAAGACCTTGGAACGCTGCACAATGTGGGGGACACAGAGGAGGCTTCTGGCTCCTGGCTTCAGATTGGCTCTGCTCCAGCTATTGTGGCCACCTCGGGATGAGCCAGGGGAAGGAGGATCTTGCTGTCTCCTCTCTCTGTGTATCAGCAATTATATTTAAACCATAACTTAAAAAACTTTTTTTAAGATTGATTTATTTGGAGAGTTAGATTTACAGAGAGAAAGATCTTCCACCTGTTAGTTCACTCCCCCAGTAGCCACAATGGCTAGAGCTGAGCCAATCTGAAGCTAGGAGCCTCTTCTGGGTCCCCAATGTGAGTGCCAGGAGCCCAAAACTTTTTGCCATCCTCCACTGCTTTCGCAGGCCATAAGCAGGGAGCTGGATGGGAAGTGAGGCTGCTGGGACAAGAACCGACACCCATATGGGATCCCAGCATGTACAGCTCAAGGGTTTAGCCACTGACTGAACCATAGCTCCGAGCACAGAAATATGGCTTTTAACATTATACAGTATCCGTATTTATTGCTCTTGTGGTTCAGATCCTCTTATTTTGAATTTTAATCTGTGTTCTGTTGGTTTTGTTCGCCTCATGAATCTCTTTTCCTTCACTTGTGGCCTTTTGGGTTGCTTGTGCTTCCAATGCCTCCTCTGCACAGCACAGAATTTGGCTTGGTTTTACACGTCAACTTGAGAATGTTTTTCTGGGAATTGGGTGAATTAGGCTCCATCATGTTACACTTGGTCCCAGTTCAGTCATATAGTGCTGTAATTTACAGTCTTATGGTTATGCTGTGTGTCATTTGTTTTAAAATTTTTACTTTTAGAATTTAAGGGTTTTCAGGCCCGGCATAGTAGCCTAGTGGCTCGGCTGCTCACTGTGTGTGTTCCTGAATCCCATATAGGCACCAATTTATGTCCCAGCTGCTCCACTTCCTTTCTAGATGCTTGCTTGTGGCCTGGGAAGGTGGTTGAGGACCATCCACGGCCTTGGGAGGACCCTGCACCTGCATGGGAGACCTGGAAGAGGCTCCTGGCTCATGGCTCCCGGCTTCAGATCAGTTTTGCTCTGGACATTGCTACCACTGGGGGAATGAACCAGCAGATCTTTTCTGCCTCTCCTTTTCTCTATAAATCTTTATTTTCAGTTAAAGAAAGTTAAGTTTTATTGTTGTTGTTCTTCTTCTTGCATTTATATAGTTCCCTTAATTACCATCCTTAATTTTTCCTATTTTGCTTTTCAAATTACATTTTTGGCTCCTCTTTACTGCCTCAATAATCTTACTCTACAAATCTTACTCTCCAAGTGACTGTCATGGCCAGGAGGCCAGGCCAAAGCCAAAGCCTGGACCCCAAGGTCTCACCATGGGTCGTGGGGCCCAAGCACTTGAACCGCCTTGCAGTAATTTCTCTGCTTACTAGTAAGGCCAGTTCTGTTTTCAGTTCCGGCTTCCTGCTAACACCACAGGAAGGCAGCAGATGATGGGGTTCTCAGGGGTTGTGCTCCTAGCCCCTGGCCTTGGTCTAGCACTGGATGATGCAATCATTTGGAAGGTGAACCAGTCAACAGAACGTCTCTGTCTCTCTCTCTCTGCCTTCCAAATAAATTTGTGGGGAAAATTAAAGAAAAAATGGATATCTTTTCACTCTTGCATATGCAAAGGGATACGGGTACAAAGCGGTTGTGTTGTTATGCCAGTGAAATTTTATTCACTTAAATATTTATCAGTTGGGTGCAAATTAAATATAATCTGACATATGAATGGAGTACTGAACAGATGCAGAAGAGAATGAACAAGTCACTTGGACTGTAATAGCTTCCTCTTGTGAGGGAACTGTAGGTAGTGTGAGAACAGGAATCTAGCCCTTCATTTGCGCTGGTGAGTTCTGCTTCCGGTGGTTCAGCCAGCCATGGCTCAGAAACGCAAAGAAATTTACATCTGTGCTGGAGAGTGCTTTCTCTTATCATCATCCCCTAGATAGTATATTACAACAGATACTATATACGTAACATTTACGTTGTATTAGGCCTTGTAAGTAGATTGGAGATGATTTAAAAGTGCAATAAAGATGTGTAGAAGATACGGAAAGCTCCCTCACCCTTTGATTTCAGCACTTGCAGATGGTGTCACAATACGGAGTGTCCTGCAACCCCGCCCTTGAGTGCTGTTAGCTCTGCTTTCTGATTTTAATTTTCAGCTCATTCTTTTTAACCTTCCTTATTTGTCACTTTGTTTATATTTATTCTTGAGATTTGGGTAAATGATAAGCAGTGTTGAAATGCAGGCTTGTTATCAACTGAACCAGTCTCCTGGAAAATGTAAAATAGTTTTCTTCAAAGTATGCACGCATGGATTAGAGCTCATACTTTTATGAATGTTTCTAGAAGAACTATTAACTTGGGATATTGTCTCTATTTTCTTACTTTACCCATTTCTCCTTTTTTCTCTTCTATTTATTTCTTTTCTCTTTCTCTTTATTCCTTTCCCTTCCCCTTCCTTCCCATATATATATAGGATGCACTTGCTATCCTGGAAACTCCAGAAGGTTCCAGCCAAGGAACCAAGAAACTGAATACCCCTCTCTCAGAAGTCATTGTCAAAAACTTGAAACTTGCTTTGGCAAATAGTTCTCGCCATGCAGCTGCTGTCTCTGCCAGCCCTCAACTGAAGGATGTGCAAGCAAAGAAGGTAAAAGCAGTTCTCTTACTGAAGTTAATGTTTAAATAAAAAAACATTCCAAACGATAGTGGCTGGTGGATCCTTTTGTTTTCCAGGGACAGGAGGATGCACCAAAGCCACTTCACAAAACCGTGGTTTGTGTCAGTAAAAAGCTCAGCAAGAAGCAGAGTGAACTGAATGGGATTGCGACCGCTCTGGGAGCAGAATGCAGGTAGCGGCACATCTCTGGTGATTGGGCTAGATCTGTACAGACATCTAACGGCTGCTGTGAGCATGTATAAGGAAACATTTACTTTTGTCCTGTGGCGTGTCATATAAAATCTCTGGTTCATTTTTATTTACCCATTCTTGGAAAATGCCCTCCCACACGTCAGCTTACTTGTGTATTTTTTTTTTTAACAGTACATTTGACAAATACTTGAGAGCCTATTTGCTGCCACTCTGTATTCTAGAAGCTCAAGCAGGATGAATATTCAGTACAGTCTCAAAGAAGCCTTGTCTTCAAAGCTAGAGTAATATAAACGTACTTCAGAGCTTCATGGGAAATCAAGTTAAGATCGCTTGTTTTGGTGTAAAAATTGTTTGAAATGTGCATATAAGATGTCTTTAGAAGATCTTGGGGAAAAAAACATTATAATAGCAACATGCATGCACTTCATGTTTTTGTTCCAAAATTCACTTTTATTTTTCAAGCACCTTCACGAGTTTAGCTGTACTATTAAGCACATTTTTACTTGAATGCTTTTCAGACGGAGCCTCTCTGTGAGCAGCACTGAGAGGGCTACTTCCCCTCCAGAGTTTAAGTGACCCTCGTCTTCCTCACTAGACTTATTACAGACCAAAATGTAAAAACTATAGAACTATAAAAGTCTTTCAAAATGAGATATAGAGAAACCATAAATCTTTAAAAGAAAAAAAAAAGGAAGAATGGGACAGGCATTTGGCACAGTGGTTCAAATGTCACTTGGGGCCTGAGCAGCCCATGGCTAAGTGCCTCGGCCCAGGCCTGCAGCTTCTCGCAGGTGCAGTTCCTGTGGACCTCGGAAGCAGCAGGAGGTGGTTCGTGTAGCCTGGTTCATTGCACCCTTATGGGAGACGTAACTGGCTCCTGACGTAGACGTGAACTCATGGATGAAATTCCTAACTAGAATTTTACATTGCATTACTTCAGTTCACTTTCAATATCTTCCCATGGAGTTTTTAAGCTTGGAGATAGATAAAAGCAAAGAATCCTTTGGTTTTTACATGTTGCAGTATTTATGCATCCATAGAGTAATCAGTTGTCAAGGGAAAATGTCCCGATGTTCCCTTCAATAATCTATCTTAAAACAGCTTATAACGTCTCCCACCTTGAGACAGTTAAACATCTAGGGCAGATTTCAGCACATCAGAAGGAGCACCACACTTTATGGTAAATATTCGTGCTAATAACAATAACAAGGGCAGTGGAGTACAGTATGTTTGCATAGCTAGGTAAACTCAGATACAGCAGTCACAAGCTGAGACCAGTTATGGATGCCATTTTTACTTGATCCTGTGACTTCAGCAGTTCTTCGTTTTGTCATATTCCCAATTAAGCAAAGCGTGACCTCCCAACGGCTCACGTAATAGTAAAATGTATGCAATGTTACTATGTATTAAAACTGCAGAGGCTAGCTTTGTGGCTCAGAAAGTGAAGCAACAGCCTGCAGTACCAGCATCCCATAGGCGTGCCAGTTCAAGTCATGGGTACCCCATTACCAGCCCAGCTTCCTGTTACTCTGCAGAGGAAAACGGCTCAGATCTTGGAACCTGCATCCGCATCGGAGGTCCAGACCTGGACCTGGACCACCCCTGCTGTTAGGGTAATTTCAGGAAGGAACCAACAAAATGAAAGAAATATCTCTCTTTCTGCCTGTCTGTGTCTCTCTCCGACTTTGTCTTTCAAATAAAATAACTGTAAAAAAAAAAAAACTACACAGGGCCTGGGGCAGTAGCCTAGTGGCTAAAGTCCTCACCTTGAACAAACCAGGATCCCATATGGGCACTGTTTCTAATCCTGCCAGACCTGCTTACCGTCCAGCTCCCTGCTTGTGGCCTGGGGAAGCAGTCGAGGACGGCCCAAAGCCTTGGGACCCTGCACCTGTGTGGCAGACCTGGAAGAGGCTCTGGGCTCCTGGCTTCAGATTGGATTGGCTCCGGCCATTGTGCTCACTTGGGGAGTGAATCAGCAGATGGAAGATCTTCCTCTCTGTCTCCTCCTCTCTGTATATCTGACTTTCCAGTAAAAATAAATAAATCTTAACTGCACAAATGTATTTTTCGGCAAAACAGGTACTAGCTCCATCATAAACTCCCCCACCCATGTGAATTTCTTGGGCCATTAGAAAAGATCCATACTAAGCTTAAAATTTGTTTACTTGGCTGTTGCCAGAATCGTTACCTTCCCTGGGCCTCACCCACACTGTGCTAACACAATCATTCCCCCAGTTTCTAAAGTAGCACCTGAATTGGCACATTTTGAAAACATTGATCTAGACCAAGGTTCGGGAAACTGATCAATTTTTTTTTTTTTAATCAAGTTTTATTTAAACTTACTTGAGGATCGGGGGATATGGTCTAATATTATAACAGACAAGATCCAGTAGTCATCGAAGAGCTTGACCTGCACGGCCTCCAGTATTTGCCATGTCTGATTGAAAGATAAACTGCTGCCTGGTGATGGGCCTCAGTGGCAGAAGCGCTCAGATCTCACAGTCGGTCTGTTAGCGCAGTGGGGTTGAATGGAGAACCAGACTGATTGAGGGGAAACGGTGGTCTTCTTGAATAATCTGTGTGAACTTAACGCTTCAATGCTTTCAGTGTTTTTATGACACCAGCAAAAATAGACATTCTAGGACAACTAACAGCTGGATTAGGCAAGGTGTATTTTTAATGTTTTTAAGAAAATGTAGATGATAGGAAATATGTATAATGCTAATAGTTTAGAGATGCATGTTTGGGGAGTGTTTATAAGAGGTTTTTATTTATAGTGACTAAATTTAGATATGCAGATTTTTGCCTTTGTTTTTCTTGATGTCTGAGGTGTGACATGTTTTATATATTTTAGATTGCTTTTCCAGGCCAAGAGTTTTTGTTTGTTTGTTTGTTTTAAGGTTTATTTTTATTGGAAAGTCAGATGTACAGAGAGGAAAATCTTCCGTCCAATGGTTCACTCCCCAAGTGGCCGCAACGGCCAGTGCTGCTCTGATCCAAAGCCAGGAGCCAGGAAACTACTGCAGGTCTCCCACACGGGTGCAGGGTCCCAAGGCTTTGGGCCGTCTTCGACTGCTTTCCCAAGGCCACAGGCAGGGAGCTGGATGGGAAGTGGAGCTGCCGGGATTGGAACCGGTGTCCATATAAGATCCCGGTGCTTTCAAGGCGAGGACTTTAGCTGTTACGCCACTGTGCCGGGCCCAGGCCAAGAACTTTTTGTATGGAAAAAAAAAAATCAAAAGATAATTTACCTTTAGAGTGTGGACTTCGGAGTCAAATCCTGTCCCGGATTTTCTTACCTTGTAAGGAATGAAGTATGAACTCTGTATTGTGGGGCGTAGAACACATGTGCAGGGAACAGTGAGCCAACTACTGCGTGCCGGCATTGCAACATTGTATTAGCGTAAAAATGTTGCTGCTAAAAGGAAATAAATTATTCTAGAAGAACATGGGAACAGTTCAGAGATTTACAGAAGAAAGCATGCTTCTGAGCATTGTATTTACATACCTAGGAATGAGGCACAAAATGTGTAAAAATGTCATTTTTTAACACCATGGTTTTTTTTTCCCCCACTGTGGTTGTGAAGGTCTGTTCTGCTCACAGTGCGTAATTATCTTGATGAGGATATTTCTCGGAGTTTTCATTTGGTTGTATTTTGGTTGTTCCAGGTGGAATTTTGATGAAACAGTGACTCATTTCATCTATCAAGGGCGGCCCAATGATAATAATCGAGAGTATAAATCTGTGAAAGAAAGAGGGATACACATTGTTTCAGAGCACTGGCTGCTGGAGGTATGTTCCCTCTCCCCCTGTCGGAACAAAATGCTGAGAGATTATATATAAATATTTGAATACGCACCAGTTTCAGTGAATGCTAATAAATTTGATAATATTAGTCGACTGCATATTCATTTCTTTGCCATCAAACAGATCTTTGTTTTGTAAGTATTTGTTCACAAAAGAATTATTTACTTGCAAATCTTTAATGGGTATTCTATTATTTCCTGAATCCTCTCACCGAGTGAGAAGTTCACTGTAAAGAATTTATGCAGTAGTTTGGCAGTGTGCTCTGCCGGGTTCCTGTGGCAGTCAGTGCTTGGGCAGAGATGAGGCAGCAGAGTAAGATTGATTTTGTTAGCATGATAGTTTTGTGGGTATAAGCGTTTCTCCCTTTCCTTCCCCTTTACCTCACCATGCCCTCCTCCCACCACTTTCCCCCGTGTTACAGTTACAGTCACAGGCTTAGCAGGCTGCTAGTCAAGGGCATCGTGTCATTGTAGATGTAGACAAAGGCAGAAGGTCTAGTGTCATTGTCAAGGCACATGTAACTCTTGGACTGGGAGTCTGTCTGTCATTCAGCAGTAGAGGTGCCCACTGCAGCGTATTTCCAGGGTGCTGGTCTCCTGAAGTCCAGCATCCTGTTGACAAGAAGTGTTTGACATTGTCACCGGAGTCCATCTTTGATTCAGCTGGAGAGATGCATTCTGCAATGTATTTTTACTATTGGTCTTGTATTTTGCATAAGGTTGCCAGATACCAAAGAAAATGTGATATTTGTCATTTGGGGATTTGGCTTATTGCACTAAATATAATCTTCTCTAGTTGGGACTGTGCCTTATGGCTGTGTAGGATTTCCGTGGAGTAGATGTACGTCAGTGTTTTAGCCATTCCTCTGTCTGGTTTGTTACCATGTCTTTACTATTGTGAATTGTGCTGCTACAAATAAAGTTGTGTGTCACTCTGTCATTTGGAGATTTCACTTCATTGGAAACTGTGGAACACTTCACAGATTTGCATTTCATCATTGTATGGGGTCCATGCTAATCTGCGTTTGGTCCAATGATAGTGTATGTGCTGTCGAAGCAAGCACTGGAATGAGACTCCTTAATGGCCTGAATGGACTTATTTAGATTTAGTTTTTATTATTTTTTCATTGGAAAGGCGGATATACAGAGAGGAGAGACAGAGAGGAAGATCTTCCGTCCGATGATTCACTCCCCAAGTGAGCGCAACGGGCCGATACTATGCCGATCCGAAGCCAGGAGCCTCTTCCGGGTCTCCCACGCGGGTGCAGGGTCCCAAAGCTTTGGGCCGTCCTCGACTGCTTTCCCAGGCCACAGCTGGAAGGGAAGCGGGGCTGCCGGGATTAGAACCGGCGCCCATATGGGATCCCAGGCGTGCGAGGCGGGGACCTTTAACCACTTGCGCCACCGCGCCGGGCCCGAATGGACTTATTTAGAAAGTGAAGGCAGTTTGTCATTGTAGAATGGGACTTCCCAGTGTAAACCAGTTTGAAACTCATTTTTCACTTTTTACCGTCCTACAACATAATATATTGGTTATTCTTTTCCAACTTCATACGTTATAGTCACTAAGGTTTTGCAGTACTGTTTTAAAACACACCATTTTATTGCAGTGTGCTCAGGAGCAAAAGCGTCTTCCGGAATCTCTTTATCCGCATACGTATAATCCCAAGATGAGCCTGGATATCAGTGCGGTACAGGATGGCAGAGCCTGTAATAGCCGGCAGGCCTCGGTTGTCTCGATGACAGAGGATGAAGAGGTAGGTGAAGCGGATGCTTCATTCCCCCTTCAAAAGCCAGATGCAAAACCGTATGTTCCTCGGAAATCCTACACTATGGCTTGGTTTGAGAATTTGTACTTTTTCTTCTTTAATAGACAGACCATTTGCCTTTAGAAGAAGGTGATACAGATAACACGATCACTGATAACAAAGAATCAGCACCATCAATTGAAAATGGAACAAATGACTGTAAAGGAGGTAAAATGCTTGCAATTAGAAAGAAAAATACTTCACAGTATGTGCCTTTTCTTATAGAATGCTTCCTTTTATATCAGACATAAAACAAAATGATCTTTGTTGCTAACTACTAGCAAAACGATTTTCAGGATGCAATTCAAGATTCCGTGATAATCATTAAGAAAGAATTTGCAAAGCTTCAGTTCAAGTATGAAATTTGTGAGTTGGGTATTTTCCAAAGTTAGAGTGCTATAGCTATTCCATTAAATAGTTTAGCAGAGTGAGGACATTTTTTAAAATTTGTTCTTTGTACAGGGGTTTTTTTCCCCCCTCGGGGATTTCTTATTTATTTATATTAACATTCATTTTATTTTTATCTTAAAATCAGATTTAAAAGTTACTGCACAATAGTGTAATGTTAGAGGTCCTTGCCTTGCATGCACTGGAATCCCATGTAGTCACCGGTTCTAGTCTCAGCAGTCCTGCTTCCCATCAAGCTCCCTGCTTGTGGCCTGGAAAAGCAGTCCAGAACGACCCAAAGTCTTGGGACCCTGCACCTGCGTGGGACACCCGGAGGAGCTCCCAGTTCCCGGCTTCGGATTGGCACAGTAACTAGGCCGTTGCGCTCACTTGGGGAGTGAACCATCAGATGGAAGATCTTCCTCTCTGAATCTCCTCCTCTCTGTATATCTGCCTTTCCAATAAAAAATAAATGTCTTTTTTAAAAAATCAGATTTAAAGAGAGAAAGAGAGGCAGAGATGAAGATCTTACCCACTGGTTCACAAGACAGAACTGCACTGATCCAAAGCCAGGAGCTTCCACTGGGTCTCCCACAACACAGTCACATGCTTTAAAAGGGCCTTATTTTCCAATGTTAGTAGTGTCATATATGTTCTCCTAGAGCTGCTTTAGCCGTACAATCAAATATATCTTCTCATTCCCTTAAAAAAAAATGAGTTGCCAGTGAGCATTTAGTGCATGAGTTAATGTCACCGCTTGGGCCACCTGCATCCCATTTTGGAGTGCCTGGTTCGAGGTCCAGCTACTGTACCTCTGATCCAGTTCTCTGCTTGTGTGCTTGGGTGCCTGCCACACCTGTGGAAGACCTAGATTGAGTTTCAGGCCTGTCTCTGTCCAGGCCTTGACCTAGCTGTTGGGGGCATGTAATGAGTTGACCACCAGATGAAAGATGAAAGATCTCTCCCTCTCTTCCCAAAAGCACCACTGTGTGTATGTGCTGTGTTGGACTGCTTACTATACCTGCTGTTTTATACACCACTCTTTTATTTAACAGCTTGGGCAATGTTTCATACGAGAGCTTCTTCATGTTTCTTTAGAAATATTTTTGGAGGACCTGGCATAGTGGGTTAAGCCTCAGGCTGTGATATCTGCAGCCCGTATGCTTGCCAGTTTGAGTCCCAGCTGCTCCACTTCCCATCCAGTTTCCTGCTTGTCCTAGGGAAAAAGCAAAGGATGGCTCGAGTCCTTAGGCCCCTGCACCCACGTAGTGGAAGAAGCTCCTAACTCCTGACTGTGGACTGACTGGGCTCTGTACGTTGTGGCCAGATGGGGAGTAAACCAGCAAATGGAAGATCTCCCTCTCCTTCTCTCTATATAATTCTACCTTTCAAGTAAAAATGAATTTATCTAATATATGCACACACATATTTCTGCACTGTGTAATATTTTTGGTATGGGTGGCCCTACTTTATTTGGTGATTCTTTTTCTGGGCAATCTGATTTTTATTATTACAAAAAGTGCTATACCGAATGACCTTGTATATGCAAGTGTCTGCTTTTTACTACGTTAATATTTTTCTATTTTTCTTATACGTGCTGCCCAACCAGATTTTCCCTGCGAGTTACTTGTTTAGTTACTACCATTCTGTTTGTTCCACATATATTTATTATTTAACATCTACATCAGTATCCAATCTTACAAAAATTCCAAGATAAATATGTTGGGTCTGTATTTTCAGAAACCATTGGGGGGAAATAGATGCGTAAAGGAGAGGACTGTAATGCCTGCATGTCATAACATGCAACGCAGCGGAAGAGCAGACCAGGCCGAGAGCTCCCCAGGAGGAGCGTGTCATCACTGCAGCTCTTCGCAGGCCACCCCGGGGAGGGGTGATCATTTTAGGGACTTGCGTGTTCGTCGCAGGCTGCCTCTGCATTCTGCATTACTCCCAGCCCGGCTGCTTACCACTGCAGGGTATATTCAGTAGTCACTGAACGCCAACTAAATTACATTCAACCTGACCTATACAAAATAGCTAACGTAAGATGAAATTTTAAAAAAGAAATCCTTCCTAATGGGTACATTGGCGTTTATTTCCAGCTCTGACGCAGACGTTGGAGATGAGGCAAAACTTCCAAAAGCAGCTGCAGGAGATCATGTCGGCCACATCCATCGTGAGGGCTCCGGGCCAGAGGTCCTCCCTCTGCAGAAGTGCTTCTAACAGTGCCTCGTCGACGCCCGACAGCATTCGCTCCGCTCGAAGTGGACGCAGCAGAGTGCTGGAGGCACTGAGGTGTGTGCGTGTTCCTCAGAGCAGAAGTAGCTCTTGATTTCGGTCCCCAGTGTGAAGCTTAATTCTGATTATTTTTTTAGCATAGCAGAGGAGCATTCTGGGTATGGTGGGAGGGAACCAGTGATGTACTGAAAGGTAAGCTTACTTTGGTGCTAAATTTTGAAATCTGTGCATACTTACATAAATAGTTGGAATTCTATTTAATATTTTTTTGTGGCAGGGATTCTATTTTCAAGTGAAGTCAGTATAGTTATACACCATAAAATGTGTTTCACTGGAATTCATTTCAGTATATAGTTGTTTTAGATGTTAAAGTTTGGTCATCATAAACCAAAAGACATTTTCATAAGATAGCCTTATATTAAGCAAACTTTCCAGGTAATTATAGTTGCAACTTGTAGTTAAAACTATAAGTTATAGTTATAGTTGCAAGCAATAAAAATATACTAGCCATGGGCCTGGCGTAGTGGCTCAGTTGGCTAATCCTCCCTTTGCAAGCACCCATATGGATGCTGATTGATGTCCCAGGGGCTCCACTTGCCATTCTCAGCTCCTTGCTTATGGCCTGGGAAAGCAGCAAAGGAGGGCCCAAGTTCTTGGGACCCTGGAGCCACATAGGAAATCTGCAAGAGGCTCCTGGCTTCATATTACCTCAGCTCAGCTCAGCTCTGAAAGTTGTGGCCACTGGGAAGTGAACCGGTGGATGGAAGATCTCTTTGTCTCTCTTTCTCTGCAAATCTACCTTTCCAATATATATATATTTTAAAGATTTATTTATTTTTATTACAAAGTCAGATATACAGAGAGGAGGAGAGACAGAGAGGAAGATCTTCCGTCCGATGATTCACTCCCCAAGTGAGCGCAACAGTCAACGCTATGCCGATCCGAAGCCAAGATCCAGGAACCTCTTCTGGGTCTCCCATGTGGGTGCAGGGTCCCAAAGCTTTGGGCCGTTCTCGACTGCTTTCCCGGGCCACAAGCAGGAGCTGGATGGGAAGTGGAGCTGCCGGGATTAGAACTGGCACCCATATGGGATCCTGGTGCGTTCAAGGCGAGGACTTTAGCTGCTAAACCATGCCACCAGGCCCAGCCAATATATATATATATTTTAACCATGAGAGCGAAGTAACCAGTTTCCTAAATGTACCATATTTCCCTAGTCAGAGAAATCCAGAGTGGGTTTTTTCCCCCCAGATTCATTGTTGTGGATTTGAAAGACAGCTGCAGAGAAAGCAGAGACAGATCTGCCAGCCATGTTACTTTCCACAGAAGGCAGGACTGGACCTTGCAGTACCTGGGATACCAGCATTGCAAGTAGTGGCTTAACCCACAATGCTATTATACCAGTCCCAATAAGTTCCTTTTTTTTTTTTTAAAGAAATATTTATTTTTATTGGAAAGTCAGATACACAGAGAGGAAAATCTTCCTTCCATTGATTCATTCCCTAAGTGGCAGCAAAAGCTGGCGCTGAGCTAATCCAAAGTCAGGAGTTTGCTCTGGGTCTCCCACATGGGTGCTGCTTTTCCCAGGCCACAAGTAGGGAGCTGGGTGGGAAGTGGAGCAGCCAGGGTAAGAACTGGTGCCTATATGCAATCCCAGTGCATCGAAGGCAAGGACTTGAGCTGCTAGGCTACCATGCCGGACCCATAAAGTCCATTTTTTTTTAATGCAGCTGTCATTTTAGAGCTGTTTTTAAAAATTTAACCATGTTGAACTTTCCCCTTTCAAGTTTTAAATATATAGACATCTTAGGCAAAATACGTATTCCATATTTAAGTTACATTCTGTGGGGGAAACTTTAGGCAGAAAATGTTTTGGGGTCCTGCAGTGACTCGATGGTGGGCATTTGCAGGCAAAGCACTTTCTCAGGGTACTTACGGATTTGGATTTTGTACAGTATTTGCCAGTGTTTCAAACTGTTCCTTTCACTCCTCAGGCAGTCTCGTCAAGCAGCACCTGATATGAACACTGAACCCTCTCAGAGCGAACAAATCATTTGGGATGACCCCACGGCAAGGGAGGAGAGAGCGAGACTCGCCAGCAATTTGCAGTGGCCTAGTTGTCCCACACAGCTCTCCGAGCTTCAGGTTGACGTTAAGGCACTGGAGGATTCTCCTTTCCAGGAACCCTTACGTGATTCAGAGATCGCCGAGCACGGTAACAAGAGAGAAATCTCTGTAACTGCTTTATTAGGTATAGGTTAACCTCTGAGACACTAAGCTGTGGCTCTCTGAATAGTACATGCAGTTGCTAGACACTTCTAATTTTGGTTGAAAGAGTCAGAAAAATGATTGTTAATTGAGATACTTCCCAGTACATTGGAAAATATGTCTGAGTTGGCTTATTTTTGAAAGAGTTACGGGCCTAGCGCGGTGGCCTAGTGGCTAAAGTCCTCACCTTGAACGCGCCGGCAGCCCCGCTTCCCGTCCAGCTCCCTGCCTGTGACCTGGGAAAGCAGTCGAGGACGGCCCAAAGCCCTGGGACCTGCACCCGCGTGGGAGACCTGAAGAAGATCTGGCTCCTGGCTTCGGATCAGCACAGCTTCAGCCGTTGCAGTCACTTGGAGAGTGACAGCGGACGGGAGATCTTCCTCTCTGTCTCTTCTCTCTGTATATCTGAATTTGCAATAAAAATAAAAGAGGGAAAGAAGGGAGAGAGGAAGGGAGGGTTGGTTACGTGGAAACAATCTTTCATGTGCGGGGTCACTCCCGCGGATGGCCTTGATAGCCTGTGGCTGGCTGAAGTCCAGAGCTTCATTTGTGTCTGCTGTTTGGGTACAGGGCCCAGGCACTTGGGCATCTTCTGTTGCTCTCCTGGTAGCATTAATGGAGAGTGGGATCGGAAATGAAGCCGTCTGGGACTTGCTCTCCCTATGGTGCCAGTGTCACAGCACGGATGTTTAACCACACTGATCTCCAGTTTTTTGTTCTTTTCTCTTGAACTTTGCTTCAAGAAAATGGTCGGGGACCAACATTGTGGCATGAGAGTTAAGCTGCCGCCTTAATTAGCATGTGTGGACAGCAAGTCCCAGCTGCCTTCCCGCTGCCCCTTACTCTGCAATGGGAGACCCCGATGAAGCACCTGATGGCCTCGGCCTGACGTGGTGCTGGCTGTTGCAGCCAGCTGGGAGGTGAACCAGTGGTAGAAAATTTTGTCTCTTTTTCTCTCTGTAACTCATTCCAACAGTCTTTTCTTTTTAGATTTTTTTTTTTTTTTTTTAAGATTTATTTATTGGAAAGGCAGATTTACAGAGAGGAGGAGAGACAGAGAGGAAGATCTTCTGTCCGATGGTTCACCCCCCCAAGTGGCCATAAAGCTGGAGCTGAGCCAGCCAGGAGCTTCCTCTGGGTCTCCCACATGGGTGCAGGGTCCCAAGGCTTTGGGCCATCCTCAATTGTTTTCCCAGGCCACAAGCAGGGAGCTGGATGGGAAGCAGGGCTGCTGGGATTAGAACCGGCTCCCATATGGGATCCCGACGCATTCAAGGCAAGGACTTTAGCTGCTATGCTGTTGTGCCAGGCCCTGGCTTTTTCACATTATATGTTTCTATCACATTACAGCAGATATATAGGTGGATTTTTCTACTAATTTCTCTCCTCCAAGTGTAGAAATGCTTGAATTTTACAGATCTGAGCTAAGCTTTAAGTCCTTTTAACATGTACCCATTTAAAATTCATTGCATTTATGAAAAGCTCCAGATAGCCTCTTTCTAGACTGTTCTTGGTTGTTTGTGAATATCTTTTGATTGCCTTCAGCTGACTGTGATCCTGGGCACAAGTGTGTGACTGAAGCTACAACAACGCTCCCCGTCTCAGAAGAAACAGAAACTCCAGCTAAAGAGAGCCCCTTCATCCCAACGCCTCAAGCCCCCAGCATCGCCTTCCCGCTGGCCAACCCGCCTGTGGCTCCGCCCCCGAAAGAAAAGGTCTGTTGGTCCTTGCTCTGGTGACTGGCTTTTCGATATTGTTCTCTATTGCTAAAATAGAAGCTTTTTAATTTCAATAACGAGGGGTCATCAGATATTGAAAATTGCATTTTATTTATTTATTTATTGCATTGTGTGATTATTTGTATATTTGAAACTCAGTGGGCTGAGCAAAATGTCACTGTAAAATAACTGGATGCCTGATAATATAATAAATAATATAGTATAGTCGATACATTATAATAATATAGCATGTTAATAGAAATGTCTCCTAAAATAAAATTCTTCCATTGCAGGTTATAATGAGAGAAGAGGCTCAAGAAGAATTTAAAAAACAGTACATATTTCAGTTGTCCTCTCTGAATCCTCAAGAACGTATTGATTATTGTCATCTGATTGAAAAATTAGGTACCGTTGTGTTACTTTAAAATGTCAGGCATTTCACCTACTGGTTAAAATTTCCAGTGAAGACACCATGCCCCACACTGGAGTACCTGGTTTTCGTTTTCAGAATTTGCCCTCGCCTGCAGCCACCTATGAATGCAGTTCTAGGAGCTTGCAGATGGTAGCGCAGGGGACTGGGTCCTTGACAGCCATGGAGGAGGTCTGGACGGACGTCCTGGCTCACTGCTTTGGCTCAGGTGTTGGTGAGCATTGGGGGCGAGGCACTAGGTAGGAAAGTAGGAATGCTCTCTTGTCTCTTGGGGGAGGGGAGTTTCTTTTGCTTTTTAAAAATTTTACTGTATTTGAAAGGCAGCTAGAGGCTGAGGGAGACGAGGACATAGATAGATCTTCACATCTGCTGGTTCATTCCCCAAATGGCTGCAAGTGGCTGGAGCTGGTCAGACTGAAGTCAAGTGCCAGGAATTTCTTCCCGGTCTCTCACAGTTCCTGGGCTATCTTCTATTGCTTTCTCAGACACGTTAGTAGGGATCTGGGTCAGAAGTGAAGCAGTGAGCCAGCAGATACATGGCTTGCTTGCATTGCAGGCAATAACTTAACCTGTTATACCACAAGTTTTTAAAAATATGTATATAGAAGAATGTGTTATTGAGAAAAGAAAAGGTTGCATACTCGAGTAACTTTTTTTGGAAGTGAGTTAGTCAATATCAATAACTTGTTGTTGTTGTTGTTTTTGTTTGAAGATTTATTTATTTTAATTGGAAAGGTAGATAGATATATAGAGAAGGACATGCAGAGAGAAAGATGTTCCATCTGTGGGTTCACTCCCCAGGTGGCCGCAATGGAGCTGGACCCATCTGAAGCAGGAGACAGAAGCTTCTTCAGGTCTCCCATGCAGGTGCAGGGTCCCAAGGCTTTGGGCCTTGCTCTATTGCTTTCCAAGGTCATAAGCAGAGAATTGGTTGGGAAGTGGAGCAGCTGGGACTCGAACCAGCACCTGTATGGGATCCTGGTGCATTCAAGGCGAGCATTTAGCCACTAGGCTACTGTGCCTGGGCCCTATTAATAACATTTTTGAGGTATAAACTGAGAAAAAGAAAAAGTAATTCATCTAGGGCTATAACAAGTCAGCCTTAGAGATTTGTGTCTTAATCTGAAGTCAGGGCCCAGTGCGATGTTGTAATAGTTAAAGTCCTCGCCTTAAAAGTGCCGGGGTCCCATATGGGCACTGGTTCTAATCCTGGCAGCTCCACTTCCCATCCAGCTCTCTGCTTGTGGCCTGGGAAAATAGTCGAGGAGGGCCTTGGGACCCTGCACCCACATGGGAGACCCGGAAGAAGTTCCTGGTTCCTGGCTTTGGATCAGCGCAGCACCAGCCATTGCGGTCACTTGGGGGAGTGAATCAGTGGACAGAAGATCTTCTTCTCTGTCTCTCCTTTTCTCTATACATCTGCTTTTCCAATAAAATAAATCAATCTTTTAAAAAAAAATAAATCTGAAGTCAGTCATGGAAGTTAGTCAATATTTAGATGGAAACCAGCAATGAGGTGTCAGAATCCTCTGTATTATTTTTGAGGGTTTGTTCATTATTGAGAAGTGTGTAATTGTATACCTATGGAGTAAATAAAACCACACTTTTAGTGAACTTAAAAGTATAGTGCATATAGACAGGAGTGCTTTTTCTTGTAACACCTTCTTCCATCTGATCTCTCTCTGCAGTCATTCTAGAAACATTGTAGCACTGGGAAAGTAACCCAGTGCTGTAGCAATTCTGTTCTATAAAATTAGACTCTCTGCTACACGTGTCTTTCTAAATTTTGTAAAAGCCACATTTTAAAATACATAAAAGGGCTAGTGTTTGGTATATTGGTTAAAATATAGCTTGGGAAATCATCCCAATTGGAACACCTATTTCTGGTCCGGTTTTCTAAGGTCCATCCTGGGAGACCCCACGTGATAGGTCAGAGTTTTGGGTCTCTGGTCACTCACGTGGAAAATCCACACAGGGTTCTTGGGCTTCTGACCTCAGCCTGGCTCGGCCCTGACTGTGGTAGGCATTGTGAAGTAAATGGAGAAAAGAACTCACTTTTGACTTTTTTCTTTTTTAAGATTTTTTTTGGAAAGGCAAATTTAAAGAGAGAGAGACAGACCTTCCATCCACTGGTCTTCTCCCCAAATGGCCACAACAGCCAGAGCCAAGCTGAGCTGAGCCAATCCAGCATTGGGATCCTCTTCCGGGTCTCCCAGGTTGGGTTCAGGGTCCCAAGGACTTGGCCTCTCCTCTGCAGTTTCCCAGGCCGAAAGCAGGGAGCTGGGTGGGAATTGGAGCAGCTGGGATCGCACCAGGCCCAGGTTACTTTTTTTTTTTTTTTTTTTTTTATCCTAGTTTGGGCAAAATACTGTCATTGCTAAGTCAGTATAAAATATCAGTGGCAGGGCTTTTAGGTAGGTGTTTGAAATCAGTATGCATTTTACACTCTATGTTGACTCCTGCAGATTTTTCCATCTCTGTCGACTCTGAGCAAGCGTAGCAGTAACGAGCACAGAACTGACTTAGAGTGGCAGACAGATGCTATAGAATATACTAGAACTGAGATTCTGTGACTCTGCGGGGTACCTGATGGGAGAGGGCAGAAACATTGAGGCAGATGTTGAATCTAGCCTCTTTTGTTTTCTGTCTGGTGATCCTGGTTGTTTCGAGGGTGTTTTTACTGTTTTAAGTGCAGCAGTAGTGACCTAGCTTCATAGGGTTGTGTGACTGTCCTGATGTGTACCAGCAAGTGCCTGGAAAATGGTGCTGTTAATTAGCATTATCTGTAAATCGTGAATAGAGCTTAAATAAACATTTTGTTAAATATCTTGTTTATTTTGTTAAATATCTTGACTACAGCTCTGCCTAGCTAGCAGTAAGGTTTACCTCTAAATTCTACATTCATAGCAACGCTTTCCTTATGCTGTCCTCCTGAATCCTTGGTTAAGCTTTGAGGGACAGGCTCAGCGCAGTAGCCTAGTGGCTCAAGTCCTGGCCTTATATACACCAGGATCCCATATGGGCGCCAGTTTGTATTCCAGCTGCTCCATTTCCATTCTAGCTCCCTGCTTGTGGTCTGGGAAAGCAGTAGAGGACAGCCCGGAGCCTTGGGACCCTGTACCTCTGTGGGAGACCAGAAAGGGGTTCCTGGCTCCTGCCTTCAGATGGCCTCAGCTCTGACCGTTGTGGTCACTTGCAGAGTGAACCAGTGAACAGAGGATCTTTCTCTTTTTGCTTCATTCTGTAAATGTACCTTTCCAGTAAAAATAAATAAATCTTTTTTTAGATGTGTGTGTTTGTTTTTTATTTGTTTTTATTTTTATGTATTTTGAATTTTATTGTACAATTCCATAGGGTCTGGGATTTCCCTATTCCTCCCCAAATTTCCACCCCCCACCCCAGACTGATAAATCTTTTAAAAAAAAATTTGAGAGGACAGTGGAAGGTTGTTTTGAGTCTCTCCCACTCCCATCACATGTACTGCATTAGTGGGGACAGCAGTCAGAGGTGGAACAACCAGAAGTCAGATTTGGAATCTTGCACTGCAAGCAGTGGCTTTTTTTTTTTTTTTTTTCTTCAATTGTTGATGTAGTATATCACATTTTTCTACTTGTATGTGTTAAACCATCCCTGCATGCCAGGGCTAAGCCCCACCTGGGCTGTGCGAATGACCTGTCTGATGTGTTGCTGGGTTCTGTTGGCTGGTATTGTGTTGAGGATTTTTGGCATCTGTGTTCGTCAGGGGTATCAGTCTGTAGTTCTCTTTCTCTGTGGCATCTTTATGTGACTTTATTAAGGTGATGTTGGCTTCAATGAAAGGATTTGGAAGAATTTGCCTCCCTCTGTTGTTGGCTAGCTGGCGGAGGGTTGGGGTAAGTTCTTGAAATGTTTGGTAGGATCTGGTGGCAAAGCCGTCCAGTCCAGAGCTTTTCTTGGTTGAGAGGGATTTGATTACTGATTCTGTCTCCATCCTGGTTATAAGTCTGTTAGGATTATTGCCTCTTGATTCAATTTTGGTAGATTGTATGTGTGTGACAATCCATTTCTTCTAGATCTTCTGATTTTTTTTTTGGCATCTAGTTGCTTGCAATGGTTTCTGATTATTCTGTGTATATCTGAGGCACCATCGCTATATTTCCTTCTGCATCTCTAATTTTGTTGATTCATACCTCCTGCCTATTTTTTTTTTTTTTGAATAGTTGGTCTAGTGGAGAACCTATTTTGGTTCTTTGCCAGCCTCAGTGGGCAGGCAGTGAATATTGTTCCCATCCAGTGGATAGATGATCCTTCTCTCTGTACATCTGACTTCAATTCCAAAAAGTTTGGGGCTGTCATTGTGGCATAGTGTCTAAGGAGACTGCCTGCGAGGCTCGCATCCCAGCTGGAGCTCCTGAGAAAGGTGGTTGTAAATGGTCCCAGTGCTTGGTCTCCTTCATGCACGTGAGAGACCTGGCTGGAACGCGAAGCCCTCTGCCACTCTTTCTTTCAAATGAATAAAATAACAATTATTTTTTTAAGGGGGGCACCTAAGTAAAAAAATAATGTTTATAATTGTCGGCCAAATATTTTTGGTTTGGATGGTTTGGTGCAATTTGTTTACAAATAATTTCTATGGTGGTTGATTACATTTTTCTGTACAAAGAAGTTCAGACCCAGTTATGTCAGTAAATAAAGCAACAACCAAATTTTCTCTCCATAAGGTGGATTAGTGATAGAGAAGCAGTGCTTTGACCCCAAATGCACACACATTGTGGTGGGCCATCCGCTGAGAAACGAGAAGTACTTAGCCTCTGTGGCCGCCGGCAAGTGGGTGCTCCATCGCTCCTACCTGGAAGCGTGCAGAACCGCAGGCTGCTTCGTACAGGTATGTGTTCACGTCTGGCTAGGGGTGTTTCCGCAGAGACTGCTGCATCCCCTGAGCACTCACGGGACTCAGATTTCCAGATGTGACCAGTAGATTAGGCTAGTTTTATGAGGTTTTCCGGAACTATTAAAGCAATAAAAGAAAGCCCGGAGCCAAACTCACTTTTACACACTTTTTTTTTAAATCAGTACCTTGCATGTATTTTTCTAAATTGAACTAACAGCCTCAGAATTGCCTGTGATTGTGTTATTGTAAGCTTTTATCCTGACTCCTGGCACTTTGAATATTAAGCTAATTATCTAGGATATTTTTGGTAGCTGTGACAGTAGTGTACACCATGTGGACTTTTGATATATTCAGCTAGGATTCCGTAGGATTATCTCCTGGTCGAACTGTCAGTGCCCCGTCTGCCATGGGTGCTTCTGTGAAGCTAGAAGTAGACAGTGTAACCTGGTAACCCAAATATTACCAGTTGCCAAGGTGTAGTTTCATATTACTTAGAAATGATTTCAAGTTGAAAGTCAGATACATGTAATAAATATATGAAACCAAGTCGTCCGTCTACATTTCCCCTATGCTCATAAAATGACGCTTGCCTGATACTCTGTTTTCCATCAGTTGAATGTATGAACTAAGCATTTAGAGATTTTGAGTTCCTTAAGCAGACTATAGAAACTCAAATGCTTGTTGACTGCGTTCTCTAGGAAGAAGACTATGAATGGGGCAGTAGTTCCATACTGGATGTTCTGACTGGAATCACGGAGCAGCAAAAAAAACTAGCGATTGCAGCCATGCGGTGGAGGAAGCAAATCCAGCAAAGACAAGAGTCGGGCGTTGTGGAGGTAGTCATGTGCATGAATAAAGATAATTCCAGTAGCATTCAGGAGTGACTGTTCCAAGGTGTTGGTTTTTTGTTTTAAAAGAATGTGCTTCGTTAAGTAAAAATAACTCTGCCACTTATCCTTTGACCTGATCTGGTTAGTTAAGGCATTCTAAATCGGCCTTAATGTTATATCCTAATTTTTCTAATTGTGTTTAGCAATGATGTTGATGGCTTTTAAAAAATAGTTTCTGTGTGTGATGTAGCTCTAGGCAGTGTTTGTTTCTAAGTATCTTTATAGCACCTAGCTTCAGGGATTTTTAACCTGGGTTCAGACTTCCATAAAGCATAAAATGATGCTTACTTGATAGTCTGTTTTCCTATCAGTTGAACGTATGAACTAAGCATTTAGAGACTTTAGAGTTCCTTAAGCAGACTATAGAAACTCACCTGTTTCAGTATTATTGGCATAGATTTGTTTTTACTATTTTAATATCTTCCAGCAAATTAGTCCTTAATTAATTAATTTCAATGGCAAAATTACAGAGAGTGGGAGTGGAGAGAAAGATCTTCTGCTTACTGATTTGCTCCGGAGAGTACGTGGGGCCGGGCTAGGCTGAAGCCAGGAGCCTAGAGCTCGTCCCGCCTCTCCCAGAGTGGTAAGGCTTCAGGTATCTGTGCCAACTGCCCCCACTACGCAGGCACATTAGTAGGGAGCTGGATTGTAAGCGGAACAGCTGGAACTCAAGATGCCAGCATCACAGGCAGGGCTTGGAGGTCTGCAACACAAGGCCAGCTCAGATACGTTACTTTGATCATAAAGAAAAATAAAATATTACTCAGTAAGTACGGGGATTGTATCTCCATAAGCCTTTAGTGTAAGTGATTTAGAAGGGCCAGACTGCCAGAGGAACTCATTCCTCACAACAGAGGTCGCAAACTCTTGTGTCAAATTCTCTCACGTGTATTCCACGGTCTCTAAGAACCTCAAACATTTTCAATTTGCAAATATTTTCAGGAGAACTGTAGTCAAGACTTCATGTAAGCTAAGAGACAGCGTTGATGCACTACTGACTGTTATTAAAAAAAAAAAAACTAAGCATAAATCAAGCTACGTTGTTATAAGAAAATAGATGTGAAACTTATTCTACAGATAGAAGCTTGCATTATCTGTATGTGCATTTTCTCTAGATGGTTTCAGCATTGACCATTTTTTCTCACAGGGGGCATTTAGCGGGTGGAAGGTGATCTTACATGTTGATCGTACCCGAGAAGCCGGGTTCAGACGCCTTCTTCAGTCCGGAGGAGCGAAGGTTGGTACCTCAGTCACATTGCTGACTGTTTGACCATGCGATCAGCTCAGTGTCCTGGCCTTTGGAAGTGGCTGTCTTTAGTGTATTTTGTACAGTTGAGCCACTTTAGGCCATGTGTAGATTGTTAATTAATTTTTGTGTCTGCCACAGGTGCTACGTGGTCATTCTGTTCATTTATTCAAAGAAGCCACACATCTCTTTTATGACTTTAATAAGCTGAAGCCAGACGACACAGGAATTAACATGGCAGATGCTGCTGCACAGAACGTGCACTGCTTGAAAACAGAATACATTGCCGATTACCTGATGCAGGTTTGTGACACTCCCTGAACTTCCTCACGACGTATATGCTTGTGTGCGCAGAGAAGTCGCTGTCCAAGAGCATAGAGCATTTGTCTCTGGAGGTGGGTCATTTGGCCTGCATTCAAGCCTCTGGGTGGGATCCTTGGGTTGCACACTAGAATGTCTGGGTCCCACTCCAGACTCCACCTTCCTGCTAGGAGGCAGCAGGATATGACGCAAATACTTCCATCCCTAATACCCACATGGAGACCCAGATGGAGATGCCATTCCCAGCACTGGCATGACATGGCACAGCCATTGCATTCCTTTAGGGCATAACTCAGCAGGTGGGCACTGTGTTGTCTGCCATTCTGATTTTTCTATCATAATGATCGTGTTTGTAAATATTTAGAAGTTAAATATAGGGAAGGTATAGAAACCTACGTATGTCTAAAACCTTTTTTTTTTTTTTTTTATTTATTTTTATTGAAAAGTTGGATATATATAAGAGAGGAGGAAAGACAGAAAGATCTTCCATCCAATGATTCACACCCCAAGTGACTGCAATGGCCAGTGCTGCGCCGATCCAAAGCCAGGAGCCCAGATCCTCTTCCAGGTCTTGCATGTGGGTGCAGGGTCCCAAGGCTTTGGGCCATCCCTGACTGCTTTCCCAGGCCACAAGCAGGGAGCTGGATGGGAAGCAGGGCTGCTGGGATTATTCCAGTATTTGATCCCAGTGCATTCAAGGCGAGGACTTTAGTTGCTAGGCCTCTGTGCTGAGTCTTTTTTTTTTTATATATGACACAGTTTTATAGGCACTGGGATTCCCACCACCCCTCCCAAGACCCTTCCCCCCCCATTGGTGGATTCCTCCACCGTGTTGCGTGACTCAGTTCAAGTTCAGTTGAAATTCCTTCATTGCTAGCATATACCAAGCATTGTGATCCTCATATTATTGCCCAGATAAGTTCAACGGCTTTTTGGAGAGACCTTCTCTGGTCTGAAGGTAGAGCCAACAGAGTAAACGCAATCAATCAAAAGCCCCAACATTGACATTTCCCCATATAAGGTACATAACCATTATAGGAGGGGTAAGCAGAGAAATCTTCAGCATCTTGGTGAGGAGTCCTTGTTCTGTGTCCTACCTAGCAAAGTATGTTTGAGTCTATACTGACCAAGCTTTCCTTGTTGTTCTCTGTCTATTCAAATGTGTGTGTGTGTGTGTGTGTGTTTGGAGGGGGGCTCTGGAGCAACCCTGACAGTCATTGCATAGAGGGTGGAGACCCAACGTTGGAATTAAGTAAGGACAAGAGAAAGTTTCTTTCCTTAGTCCTGAAGGGAGTTTACTGTTCTTTTGATTCTGAGGACCACTCTGGGTTCCTGGCTGTTGTTCCGACGTCCTTGGATCCCCCGAGGAAGATTTCGGGCTTCTTTTGGGATGCAGTCCTTGGTGCCCGTATTGATAGTCCTTGGTGGAGTTTATGGAGTCTCCAGGTGTGGGATACAGGCCTCTTCCTGTCCTCGTGTTCCACTCTGGGGTCAATCCTTGCTCTGTGCATATGTCATCCTGTTGGTAGGTTGTCAGAATTGCTCTTAATTCCCTCTGTATGTCTTTGCAGTTTAAATGTTGTCTAATGTTGTTTTGAGCCTATTACCAATAAGTTACCTTTCATTTTCCTGGTGGGTTACCCTATATGTCTTCCTCACACTTTCTAAGTCTATGGAAGATTTCTTTGCTCTCTGCCCCATTCTTGATGAGCACAAGGTTTTGAACGTGTAAAAGGTTTTAAAATTGATCAATACACTTGGGTTGGGACAGTATTATTCACAGGTTTATCTGAGGAAGATTTACTGTCTTTGGGAATCTTTACGATTAATTCACGTTCCTGAAACACTGTAGGTTCAGCTAGGAGTTGTCTAACCATCATATCTACTAACGAAAATCCTAGAGTTCCCTGGCTGGGCGGCCAGCAGGCGAAGCCTAGCGCCAAATGGCGCACTAGCCGCCCTGTGGCTGCAGCTGTGGCTCGTGTGTGGTGGGCATGGGGTGGCCATCCCATCCGGCATCCTCCGCGTCCAGGCCCGCTCGCGAAGGTTTAGGTTGCTGGACTCCCAGTCTGCCCTCCCCCCCCAGACCCCACCCCAGCTCGACCCCCAGGGGAGCAGTAGGCGGAGTCCAACGTGCCTAGCAAAGGCAGCAGGCGTGCACCTATGAGGTCATAGGTGCTACTGCTAGGGCCCGCCACCCTGCTAGGCCCGCACACCACATGGCTGCAGCTGTGGCTCGTGTGTGGTGGGCATGGGTGTGCTGAGTCTTAAAAGCTTTATTTTTAAGATTTTATTTGAGAGATAAGGTTACAGAGAGAAGAGACAGAATCTTCAATCTGGTAGTTCACTCCCCAAGTGACTGCTGCTGCTGGAGCCTGGCCCATCTGAAGCCAGGAGTCGAGCTGCTGGTACAATATCAGTCAGTCCATCATCCCATTGTCTGGATATATCCAGCACTTTCATTGGGAGTCCATCTTTTGTTTGGAAGTAGGGATGCAGGTTGCAGTGTGTCTTCACATCTGGATATGGGAGTCTCCATTACTCCATCACTGTACATTCCCATTTGCATGATGGTTTCCTTATGTTAGAGCATAAAATATTTGTCTTTCTGTGATCGACCTATTTCACTGAGCATAATGGTCTCTAATTGGGACCATCTAGTTGCAAATGGTAGAATGTCATTCTTTCTAATGGCTGGGTAATATTCCATGGAGTAGATGTACCACAATTTCCTTAACCAGTCCTGTTTGGATGCACATCTGGATTGTTTCAAAGACACAAGTTGCTTTGTTCAAGAACCCAGGAACAAATATATTTTTACTTTTTAAATTTTTTTGACAAAGCTGTAGCCCTAAAAGGGGGGCGGGGTGTGGAATTAAATGTCGTTGAAATCTGAAAAGAACAACCATGCCATTCTCATTTCCTTTTCCAGGAGTCTCCTCCTCCTTTTGAGAAGTACCACCTCCCAGGAGCAGCCGCCTTTGACAAGAGTGAGGGGCCTGAGCCTGACTTGTCACAGAAGAGGAAGGCTCCTGCCGAGAAGAACAAGCTCAAGCGACCCAGGGTGCAGTGACCACGTGCACAGTTTGGTTGGCACTGACCCACATGGGCATCAGAACAGCTGCGTGTTCCTAGGTGGATGTGTGTGCAAAAATGAGATCCTGACGGATTGCACTGCGGGGCAGTAGTGACTCCATGTGAAGTTTTTAACACCTGAAATTTCAATCACTGAATACTTAATGAAAAGTTACCTGAAATAAAACAGGAAAATACAACTCCCCAATTAGATTTTTGTGAAAACTATAGTGTGCAAAAGGCTGTTTATTTTTCTTGTAAATATCTGAGGCTGTAACTTAAAGTTTTAAGCAAAGTGATGGATTCTGCTCTAAAATACCTGCCTTAATTCATAACGAAGCGTGTCATTTGGAATTTATATATGTTTTCCCTGCTTTACCTTCTTTCCTGTTGTACCTTTTTATCAGGAGCCTGAGCACACTGAGAAAACTGGAGCTTTAAACTTAGATGTGTGTGTATATATGTATATATGTGTTTGTACAAACCTCCATGATGTTTACCAAGTTTGGGTGTCAAAACTTGGAAAATGTGACAATAAAGATTACCAGTAGTGACTCAGATTAGTACTTAATGTGCGTTCAGATAGAAATTTCCAGAAGAAAACATCCTAGTCCATTCTGTTGAAACAATAAATTTGTAAAACACAGGTTTTTAAAAGGACTGTGTTTGGAACTGCTAAATTGCATTAACCTTTATTACACTAATTCAAAACATCAAACGTTACACACATTACAACAGTCATTATAGAAATACTTTCTCTTGGCCTGGTGCAGTAGCTTAGTGGCTAAAGTCCTCACCTTGCATGTGCCAGAATCCCGTATGGATGCCAGTTCTAATCCTAGCTGCTCCATTTCCCATCCAGCTCCCTGCCTGTGGCCTGGGAAAGCAGTGGAGAACGGCCAAAAGCCTGGGGACCTTGCGCCTGTGTGGGAGACCTAGAAGAAACTCCTGGCTCCTGGCTTCGAATCGGCTCAGCTCCGGCCATTGCAGCCACTTGGGGGGGGCGGAGTGAGCAGATGGAAGATCCTTCTCTTTTCTCTGTCTCTCCTTCTGTCTGTAAATCTGACTTTCCAATAAAAATGAATCTTAACAAAAATACCTCATCTTGTGTAAGGAATAAAATAGAATCAGGACGGTGGTGCTCACCTGGGCGGCACATACGCTGGACTCGGGATGGTGTTAAACTTCACTTCTTAATGACTGAAAGGCAGCCACCACCTGCACAGGGAGGGGGCCTCAAGTTTTTGTCAGATTCTCTTCAATATGGAGTAGAGGCTTTCAGGAGAGTACGGGGTTTTCCGTTTTGAACTGCTTCATAGTTTAGGACAATACAAATCCCACAGAAAAACAAGAAACATTATCCTACAGCCTGTATCTCTCCCCAAACAAAAACCACATTGATTTTGTTTTGTCAGCCATTTCATGTTTGGCTGAATCATCGGCAGAATTTTTACCTGAAATTTACTACTTAAAAAATTATTTGGGGCCCGGCGCAGTGGCACAGTGGTTAAGGTGCTCGCCTTGCATGCCCAGGATCCCATATGGGCACCGGTTCTAATCCCGGCGGCCTCTCTTTCCATCCAGCTCCCAGCTTGTGGCCTGGGAAAGCAGTCGAGGACGGCCCAAAGCTTTGGGACCCTGCACTCGCATGGGAGACCTAGAGGAGCTCCTGGCTCCTGACTACGGATTGGCGCAGCTCAAGCCATTGTGGCCACTTGGGGAGTGAATCATCGAATGCAAGATTTTCCTCTCTGTCTCTGTACATCTGAGTTTGCAATAAAAAAAAAAAAAAGAATAATAAATCTTTAAATAAATAAAAAGGGAAAATGTCCCTTAGTTATTCTTACCTTCTTGGAAGTGCTATAACATCTTTAAAATTTTTATTTTTATTAGAAAGATTTAGAGAAGGAGACACGGTCTTCTATCCGCTGATTCACTCCCCAGGTGACCGCAACGGAGCTGAGCTGATCAGGAGCTTCTTCCGGTCTGCCACGTGGGTGCAGTATAGCTTTGGGCCATCCTCGACTGCTTTCCTAGGCCACAGGCACGGAGCTGGATAGAAAACAGCAGCTGGGATACAAACCAGCGCCCTTATGGGATCCCAGCACATGCAAGGTGAGAACTTTATCCACTAGGCTACTGCGCCGGGCCCCAGAAGTCCTGTAATATCTTAACCCATGATTTTTTTTTTTGAAATAATTATTTTATTTTTATACTCTTTACATAGTTGATTAGGGCACAGAGGGTCAAGGGCCGCAGGAATAACGGGGGGAGATAAAAGAAGAAGCCATACCCATCCCAGGTCTCCAATGTGGGGCACACTCCCAGGATCCTGCTCAAGTTTAACCCACGATTCTCAGCGGTTCTCTTGTGCATTAAATCTCACCAACGTTCGCGAATGAAGTTTAGCAGCAAACCAGCTGAACACATCAGGTCTCTGAGCTTGCAGAGTTAGCAATCAGTCAATGGCTGTGGCTTTTACACTGTGAGTGACTGAACTTCCTGGCAAAGCCTAAACCCCAATATGAGTGTAGAGACCTTAGGGAGATTTTTTTAAGTAATAGTGTTATAATAGTTACTTTTCTGCATAGTTTTTTTTTTTTTTAATATACAGTTCCATAGGCTCTGCGATTTCCTCTCCACGTTTCCATTTCCCCAACCTTAAGGGGAGGTTAAGGTGCGGCAAGGACTAGATGTGGCACAGACTAGGCTAGGTCTCAACCCCTACTGAGCCATGTGTGAGCCGTATGTGGGTATGGACGAGCCGTGGCTGGGCTGAAACATCCAACAGCAAGAACCAGCCTGGGTTGAAGCCAGTCAGGAAGAGCCACTGTTCCTGCTAAGACAGGAGGTGAACTGAGTAGGACTGGCTCATTGACCCCCTGGTATGCGCGAATTCTGGCATTGGGAGAGGTTCTGATGGAGGAGCCTGGGCAACTCCTCTGGCAGGACACAGACCCTGCGTGCAAGCGCAAGAATCATGATAGGAAACAGAACAGGCCATGGGAAGGTATCCACCAACATACATTTGACATGGGTCGGGAGCAGACCAGGCTGAACCAGTTCACATCACCCACTGGCAAATCCAAGCACCAGAACAGTGTGGGTCGAGCCAGGTTCGGTCACGACAAAAACCAGTGCACAATATGGAATGCCAAGGTGAGGTTACCTGTACCGGATGTGACTGCAACACCCCACCAGCACGCGTGAGAACCAGGAAGGGAGGGGGCAGAGCCAGCAGGAGGAATAAAGGAGGGTTCCCCTGCTGGACAGCCACTCCCACTGCAGAGCGTGAGCTGGGGTGGGGGCAGACCAGACTAAACAGGGCTACCACACCTGTGCGCCTCATGTGGACCAATCAGGGAAAAGCCAGGCTGGGCCGATTGTTCCTACTGGTGCGAACTAAAATTAGAGTGGGTGAGGGTTGGTTGGGCTTGGCGGTAGCCTCAGCTGGCTGAGGCTGGCACTGGGGGCTAGTTCTGTCAAGTCAAACCGCAGAACTACCTGGAGAGTGCATAATCCGGGAGTGGGAGTGGCCTAGATGGGAAACAGCGGGCTCCTCCCTCTTGGGTTACCACGCCCACCGGAGGGCAGAAAGGCACCCAGCAGCATGTGTGTGGGCTGCATAGTGGAGCTGGTTAGATGCAACTAGACTTCAATGCCCATTGACATGTATGAGAGCCAAATGGGATGTGGGACAGACTGGACTAGTCTGCTACACATACTGGCAAACCAGGGTAGGGGGGCGGGCCTGGTGAGGGTTATTGCAGGTCGCTCCAACTAGGCTGCAGCTCCCACTGATTTATGTGAGGGCAGAGAATGTGCTGGGCAGCACCAGGCTGGACTGCAAACACCCATTGGTTCCAGTTGAAGACAGGGATGGAAACAGAACCAACCCAGCAACTGCAGCCACCAGCTGGTGGGGCGATGGACTGTGCTGGGCCCTGTACTTGCTAGTACATACAAGAATCTGGTCTGGGAACACCTCAGACAAAGTTTCTTTGGGGATTCCTTCAATCAAACTGCCGGACTCAGAACCCTAAACATGAAAATACAGAAGACAGGTCAATCAACCACCTCAGCTATATGTTGGCAGCGAAAAACTGGGCAAACGGAGACTCTATGATGGACTATGTCAATCAGTGGATTCTCCAACAACCTCATTGTACTTGGAGTGGTGAGACTGGCAGCAATTCCTAACTGCTGAACTACCAAAACCGCTTGAGCAAGACCCTCGGAGCATGCCCCACATCAGGGACCTGGGGCGGGTGGGAGACTGGTGGGGCTTCTCCCTTAATATCCATCCCCCTTTACCTCAGATACATGAAGGAGACGATGTGGAAATAATAGTCTTACCCACTTTCCTATAGTCCTTGAACCTTTTTACCCCAATTAACTATGTAAAGATTGTCAAAATATAATTTTAAAAATGGGGAAAAAATTTTTTTAAATGGGGCCCTTATCCAACAGGATCAGAGTTGGAAGACAAAGGTCTGTGCTGCAGATGTGGAACCTAGAGGACAGCCGTACACACGGCAGGAGGCAAGGCTCCTGGGTTTGTGTCTGGTCGCACAGTCTGCCATTCAGTGTGGTGACCAGAAGCACGACAGTGCGGAGAATGCCTGAGGTGCACGGGTGCAGCTTTGTATGTGTACATTTTGTTTTTTTTTTTTAAGATCTTTATTGGGGCCCCAGCGCGGTGGCCTGGCGGACAAGTCCTCACCTTGAACGTGCCAGGATCCCATAAGGGCTCCAGTTCTAATCCCAGCAGCTCAGCTTCCCATCCAGCTCCCTGCTTGTGGCCTGGGAAAGTAGTCGAGGACAGCCCAAGGCGTTGGGACCCTGCACCCGCGTAGGAGATCTGGAGGAAGTTCCCGGCTCCTGGCTTCGGATCAGTGCAGCTCTGGCCATTGCAGTCCCTTGGAAGCAAATTGTGGACAGAAAGATCTTTCTCTCTGTCTCTCCTCCTCTTTGTATATCTGACTTTGCAAAAAAAAAAAAAAAAAATCTTTAAAACAGAACAAGAACTTTATTGGGAAGAAAGATATACATACAGAGAAGACAAAAAAAAAAAGACCTTCCATCTGTTGATTCACACCCCAAGTGGCCGTACGGGTCAGAGTTGAGCCTATCTGAAGCCAGGAGCTTCTTTTGGGTCTCCCCCACATGGGTGCAGGGTCATAAGGCTTTGGGTCGTCCTCGACTGCTTTCCTAGGCCACAAGCAGGGAGCTGGATGGGAAGCAGAGCTGCCAGGACACGAACCAGTGCCCATATGGGATCCCAGCACTTGCAAGAGAGGACTTCCTCTCTGTCTCTCCCCCTCTCTGTATATCTGACTTTGCAATAAAAATAAAAACTGTAATTAATAAAAATTTCCAAATGAGATAAAACTGCAGAAATTTTATCCTAGCCTTGAGGAAGAGCCCAAGGGCAGGAACATAGCTATTAGACCCTGCTCCTCCTGGTATTCACACCCAGCAAAGGGGATAAACACTTGGTTACTAGAGCCTCAGTGGCCTGCAGGCCTCCTGCTCTGGGGAGAATTCAGCCAGGACAGGCACAGTGGTGCCACAGTGCCAGGCTCCGTCACGCCTCCCAGTGACCACCTTAGGAGTTCCTGCCCAGCCTCTCGGCGCCTGCCAAGCATGCCCTGCACGGACATCACTTACCTCCTCACTCATGCATGGCACTGCTCCACCTGGACTAGAACCTTCGTTGAGAGTTCCAGATGCAGGCACTCCCTTCGCTAATGTGTCACTCAGCATCTTTACCAAGGGAGTGTTGAGAAGGGTGATTGGCTGGCGTGTGCTGCACCTGACCTACTTCAATGCTCCCATCTCCACATCACACTCAATGGCATTAGTCTGCACAGAGCTCACAGTGCACCCTCACGCAGTAAGCCGTTACCACACTGAATGGGCCAAAGCTTTACGGCCAAACTTGGGCAAGTCCTCCCCGTCGATGGATTCCACTTGATCCAGCATCAGTACTAACTGGCACACTGCACAGAAGGCAAAGAGAAGCAGAGATAACTCCACAATGTGGAAAATTTAACCAAATGACCAGGTCGCCTCAACAGCTAAATATGGAATTAGTATGCAATGAATGGGTAATCCATCAGGATCCCCAAACACCAACTGTGAGCCAAACAGGACAGGGAGGATTTCTGATGGTACAGAAGTGTTTCCAGGTCTGACAAGGGTTTTTATGTTGTGGTCAAATACCAGTATTTGTGGATGGAACAAACGCCTGATTAGCTTTGAGATATTTCAGGAAATGGACTGTGTTCACCGAAGTCATCGTTAAAGCTGGGTTAAGGGTTCCAAGATACATATTATTCTTTGTACCGTTGTGTTTGGAATGTCTCATCATAGGCACTACAAAATGAAGTTCCACTCTCAGCCATCCAAAAACAGCACAGCTCTCAACAGCACCAACTTGTTTATTGAAAAGTCAGATCAGATTTACAGAGAGGAGAGACAGAGACCGTCCCCTCTGCTGCTTCACTCCCCAAATGGCCACAACAGCCAGAGCTGAGCCGATCTGAAGCCAGGAGCTTGCTTTACGTGCAGGTCCCGTGCAGGTGCAGGGAGAAAGGAAGACAAGATCTTCCATCCACAAAGCTTCTTCTGGGTCTCCCACATGGGAGCAAGGGCCCATGTACTGGGGCTATCCACTGCTCTCCCAAGCACACCCACAGCGAGCTGGGTCAGAAATGAAGTCAGGTTTTGAACCACTGGCGCCCAGACTGGGACACTATTTGCTCTGCCACAGTGCCAACCCCAACTGGGTGAAAGACTGAGCCGAAGCCAGGCTGTACTATATCCTATGCAGCCCAGGAGTGAAATCACCCAAGGATCACAGGCAAAATCCTAAGATCTAAAGCAAGATACTGCCCTGACGATTGTCTGGCAGCCAACTGTGTTCCACTGTCACCAGAAAGAACTCAGAATTGTAAAGAAACTTAGAATCGGGAGTTGTTAACTGAGCAACGTAGTTGGGTGCGGATGAAGTGGCAGCTGAACTGGCTGCACAACACCGGCCCCTGCCATCAAACGTCATTTTCTGGTCAGTATGCTGCCTTTAGTGCATAAATGACTTCCTCTCATTAGGTAGTCCAACTTATTAGACACCAAGTCAGCTCAAGCTCAAGCCTGAGGACAGCACGAAGCTGTGGGAGCCTGCACCTGGAAGAGGCTCCAGGTTCCTGGCTTCGGATTGACTCAGCTCTACCCACTGCTGCCACTAGGGTAGTGAATCAATGGATGGAATATCATCCTTTCTGTATATCTACCTTTGCAATAAAAATAAATCTTAAAAGTGTCCCATCACAAGTTGAGACAAGTAACCTCATCCTCACCTTAGAATTTTTTAAAACTTTTTTAACTTCAGAAACTTTAAAGTGCTTAAGATTGAAAAGTTCCAGCAATCTTGTATTAGCCTATTATCTACCATTATTTAGAATTTTAGTTCATACTTGAGCTGTACTTAACTTTTCTGGAGCGAACACTGTGGGCAAGCCCAACACGGTTCCCCATCAACGCAGCTGGAAAGGCAGGCGACAGCCCTAGTGCTCGAGCCTCTGTCAGCCAAGTGAGACCCACGTTAAATTCCTGCTTCCTGGGCTTGGTCCAGCTCTGGACGTTGAGGGCATCCAGGGAATGAGCAAGTGGATGACAGAGCTCTCTGCTTTCAAAGAAACTATCTTTTTTTCCTTCTTCCTTCTCAAAGAGAATGGCAGTGCTCCAACCCACTGGTTTGGGAGCTTTCCCATGTGGGACAAGAGCCCAAGTGTTTCACCCATCACAGCTGCTTTCCAGGCCCTGCACCAGCAGTAAGTTGTTCAGGTCCAGGTGTTTCAAATTGGGATGCAGGTTCCTCAACCACTTAGCCAGTGCCCACCCAGGGGCAGAGCTGGGAGAGAAAGTAGCTTAAAGTACTAAAGTAAAAACAAACATTTTGAACTTATTACCCCAAATCTCCTGAAATGTTCTTCCATGGGTGCAGGGTTGCAAGGCTTTGGGCCGTCCTCCACTGCTTCCCAGGCCACAAGCAGGGAGCTAGATGGGAAGTGGGGCTACTGGAATTAGAACCGGTGCCCATATGGGATCCTGGCACATTCAAGGCGAGGACTTCGGCTGCTAGGCCACAGCACCGGGCCCCAAATCTTCAAATGCAGCCATGCCGCCCTTTTGAGATATATTCAAAAGTTACAAACTTCTGAACTCTGACCTTGTACCTGTGAGGGAGACCTGCTCAAATGTGGGAGACCCAGAGGCTCAGGGCTTCAGATCAGCTCAGCTCTGGCCACTTGGGCCACTTGCAAGGGGAGTGAACCAGCAGACAAAATCTCAGTTTACCAACTCTCCAAGACAGAGGGGAAACTTTTTAAATAATAAAGTAAAACATTGCAACAATTCATATATTTAGTTTTTATTGAATTTGTTAATGTTACAGAGTTCTTGCACTGCGAAACCATGCCTGAGAATCCAAAGAAATGGTCAAATGGACAGCCTCATCCACCCACCATACAGTAATGAAAACTTGATTCATGAGCATTTGGATCATTTCACATTCCTTTAAAAATTTATGAGTTGGAATTTAAATCTGCTGCAGGTCTTCAGATATCTAACACAGTAAATAAAACCTCACATATACATCTCAGTTCATTTCTCTGTCATAGATCCAACAAAAATTTTGCTGGAAAAAAAATGTATATGTCTCAGGGGAAATATGTGGCTCATGGTCCAAGGGATAATTTACTAAGCTTTCCGGGTCCCAAATGATGTCCTTAGTTTTAGCCTCTTGTTTCCTGTTTCACCATCCAGCTCCACTGTGGCTGGCTCACACACACACATACACACGCACGTGGGCGTGCACGCAGTCCTACCCTTCGGCAACATCATTACCCAGAGCAGCTGGCCGACCGTCGGACGCTGCTGCAGCCCGGCTAGGGGTCCGTCCTTGCACCACACTGGCGCAGAGGAAGATGTCAGCACACCGCATGGCGTCGCCCGCCCATTTGCTTCATTCTCTGCAGCTCCCGCACTTAGCTAAGAGATTAGAGAAACCTAGACTCTGCATCAAGCGGTTCCATACCACTGTGCAGTTTCTACTGAACCCAAGATACAAAATCAGAAAACTGCCAGAATATCTCACGTGGTGGGAGGCATCTCTCAGTAAGCCTGGCTGGCTTCCTCCAGTCCCTCTCAAGGACTAAAGACGACTGGATGTCTTAGGCTGTTAACGATTACAAGCAGAAGTGCTACACCGCCTTTACCCTTGACTCTCCAAATGAGCAGTGACCAGATGCACCAAACGGTGGATCATGGAACCCACGGAGCCAACGGGCACCTGTTGTGTCCACCACCTTAAAAATCTGGACAGATGTCTAGGTGATGCAAGAAGCATGAATGGTTTCAGGGGGAGTTTTGCTCTTGTTTCTCTGAATGTGTAAGGACAGAGCAGCACCTCTCTTCACCCGAGCAGGTACCACTCTCCCAGCCATGGACACCGCAATTCAGACCTGATCAGAGGCTGTAGCAGCACCTGGGGGAGAGCCTCCAGCAGCCACTCCCCTCCACACAGGCAATTTGGTTCTGCTCTGGGGATTGGCAAAGTCATGACACATTTTACAATTCTAATGCATATTTCAGGTTATTTACTTAGAATAAGCTCTATCAAAGAACTTACTCTAAGTCAAAGCAAGAAAGGCCTTAATGTGGAGCACTATGCAAATTGAAAAAAAAAAAATTACTTAGAAAAAATCATTCTCATCCCCATCCTCTTTCCCATTTTGTGGACCCAAGTTGGATTACCAAATCTGGTTACCTTTGAAATACAACCTTGGTTGAAAGGATGAACCACAGCCCTAAAGATGATGGGAACAAGCAGGTCTTTTGAGAGCAGTATGTTCCAGGAAGTGTATGTGGCCACAGCCTACTGCAGAGTATTTCTTACGGGTGGGGCCCAGGACAGGTCAGTTAAGGTCACTTCAATCTTCATCTTTTACAGCAGATCAGAACCCAGGCGGCTGACTTTCTCGTAGGAACCCAGCAGGGCTAGTTTCATTGTTTGCTTCAACACCCAACAGCTGTAACCTTCTTATCCAGAGCTGGGATCCACAGGAAGTCCACAAGGAGGGCAGCAAGTCTGAGGTAGTCAACCCTGATGGAGGCTCAGTATCTGAACATAAAAAGATTTGGAAATGACCACTAGCTGTGGGGGATTGAATTTTGAATTTGCAGAGTAATTATGAAAGCACTCCTAAATCTAGCACACCCCCTCTTTTTTTTTTTTTGGTAACAAATGAAAACTCCCCTACATCCCACACAGAGAGCAGTTGTGGCACTTTAACTTGCAGAGGGCAATAGGGCCAGGTCACTTTTTGCATCGGGCGCTGCAGATCCAGTAGAGCTCAGGTGATGAAGGGCTGCTCGTGGCGCTCAGCTGTGGGCTCACGACCTTAGGAGGGCTAGCAAAGACCATCCCTCAATTGCACTGCATGCGGCTGCTTTTCTGGTTCTCCAGCACAGCATACTGGTTGTCTAGCTGGAGCTTAAGGGCCTGGTTTTTGGAAACCTCATCTCTACCTCTATTTTTGTGCCTTACTACTTCATAGCTCTTCTCCATTTCTTTATCCCTAAGGGAAAAGAAATGTAATCAGTAATTATTTCTTCGTTAGGGTTTTTTGAAATTATTTTTCCTTGCAAAAAAAAAAAAAGAAAGAAAAAAAAAAACACAATTTAGATGAATCATGAGGGACAGTCAGGGGAAACTAATATGTAGAATCCTTCTCAATTAAGGGCTGCAGTGTAACAGAACACAGAATTCTGCACTGAAGCCCCACGGTCCCATCCTCCACTGAACAGCAACTATGTTAGGACCAATGATTTAATCCTCCCAAGACTCAGTTTTACCTTTAGCCAACAGACAATACATCTCGATGCATAACTAAGAGCACCAGCCTTCTATTTCAAGCAGGAAGGTGTAGGCATTGTTCTGTTGGGACAGACTGACAGACGAGTGCTGGGCCACTGCCTCCCCCAAGTCCCCCAACACTGTGTCTGCACACAGGACACAGCAGAGAGCATGAGCAAACCGCACTCGGAGGCAGCAGGCTCGGAGTCCCTGCTGTCACTCACATGTCTGTTCCACTTTTATGTTTATAAAAATTCATGTCCCTAAAGAAGAGATAGGATTAAGTGTGGTCATTTGACTCCAGGTAGTGTTTAAGTACCTGCTGAAGCCGCATGATTTTAATACCAGATTTATAAATGCCACCGTCTGGGAACACGGTACAATGCTGCCGTTTCATGTCTAGCTTCCACGTTACAAGGAACATGGCTGTCATGTTAAAAGACCAGGGAGAGACCTCGCAGACAGCACTGTCCTCAGTGCTCTTTCCCCCGGCTTGCCAAGGGTTCCAGACAGCCCACAGAACCCTGCTAAGAGCCTGCACCTCATCAACAAGCAGCTGCCCCAACAGTGAGTGTTAGCGCCCAGCCCAGCCCCTGGCCAAGGCATAAAGGCTGCATCGCCAGATGCCGTCACCGCACTTACTTCCGGCTTTCTGCGTGCTTGGCAGTGGACTGCAAGGATGGGAACTGTGTGTCACTGTAGATCTCCGGTGGCCCCTGTGGCGTTCTCCTGGTTGTGGTTAGCCTGGCTCCAGGTGGCCTATACACACCGCTGGACATCGCTGGTTCTGGAGTTTCTGTAACTAAATGTTTAACAATTTTGGAGAAACCGTTCAAGCACTCGACACTTAAATCCACACCTCCTGCCAACACTTAGTAACTGAGGAACCATGATCTGTACCAAGGGCCCAAGTCAGACTTCCTGTCATTGGGATGCTCTTTGCAAGGGCGGTGGTCAAACTCCTCCAGGTATTCCTCTCCAAGAACACCTATCCCTCATCCTTCATTATTTACATACGGAAGCTCTGTAAGCCAAATTCTTTCACGAGTGGAACCTGATGGTCCCACCCAGAGGTTGCCTTCCACAACAGGACCCACTGCAGTTCTCAGTCAGCCAGTGAGTGGATCAATGTGCTTCTCAAACTGTTTTCATTACAGCCTTAACTTCCACCATTTGATGAAAAATTTCTTACCAATTGCATGTATCTACTTGTACTGGACTCCAAATAACTTTTTAAAAGATTTAATATTTCTTCATCCTTAAAAGACTTAGTTTTACCCTTTGGAATCAGCCCTACTGAGAATCTGAGCTTTGACACGAGAGGGAAACATGAAATGATATAAACACAAACCAAACACAGGCATCCCACAACATATCCCTGACATGGATTATCTACCTAACTCTTCAGCAGCCAATTAAAAAACAGCATGTGTCTAAACTTAAAAGCTGCTCTCCCGTAAGAGGTGAAGTCTTTAAGCAGCCCACGGGCTCTCACTCCAGCACAGCACGCACCTGGCTGAAAAGCTGACGTGTGTAATTTCCCGATTTCACATAAACTAGACATCTTTTTGAAACAGAAATATTAAGCTTACCAACTACTGGAGCGGGAGCTGCCTGTACCGGAGCCGTTTTGTTCCAGGGGCCTGAAGATTTTTCTACGCCACCACCGCCACCTCCACCTTCTTCCCAGTGATCACCTGGATCTTCCCTCTTCTCAGTATCATCTTCTTCCTTTTCACTATTGGAAAAGCAAATAAATTCAGCTAGAGCCACACCAGAACCACTGCTCTGTTCTCTACGGGCCTGGAGAAGTCACCTGACCTCCTTCAAAGCCCGAAATGTTTTCCTTGTTAAGCTAAAGAAAAGAATAGATTTCATTTTACACAGCAAATTTCACTTGACTTCCTGTGGAAAAACAAAAGGATCTCTGTAATTCTCCTTTTTGCAAACTACCTCATAGTTGAGAAAACATACAACAGGACCCCAGCTAAAAAAGTTTAGCAAGTAAAGGGAGGAAGAGGCTGCACAGAAAAGAGTGATGAGGCTCAATTCCTGGGGCGAGCATCTTGATGCAATGGGTGAACCTGCTGCTCCTGACCCATCAGCCCATATTAGAGCACCAGTTCCAGTTCTGGCCGTTGCATTTCTGCTCCAGCCTCATGCTAATCAGCGAGTCTAAGAGAGGGAAGGTAGCTCAAAAGTTTGGGTCCCTGCACCCATGTGGGAGGCTTGGAGTTTCAAGCTTCCGACTGACTGCAATCTGGACCAGCTCCAGCCACGTGCCACTGAAGAACCAGCGGGTTTCCGTCACTTTATCTCACAGGCAACAACCAATTCTCTACAAATGCAATAAAGGTTTCCGGAGGTTGAACAATATTATATGGGGATGGTAATCCTATGGCACATCACGCTGCTCTCCAAACGGCTTCATGTTTTAACAGAAGAAAACAAGTGTGTCCAGAGTCAATATCAGCGCTACTAATCTCATCATGACCCATTCTACTAAAAGCTGTCCAGACATGGACAGACATGCATGCCTGTCAGCTGTTTTGACTACAGGGTACCCAAACTCAGTCTCTGGCTGGCCAGGCATTACAAATGCAAGATGTTCATTGCTAACACACCACTCCAGGACAGAGACGCGTGGATTCTGCTTTTCCAATACCAACTTTAAACTGACCAGAGTTACAATCTAAAAAAATCTTTGCTCATTTCTCTGGCTGATTATTTTTTAGACTTCATGTAAACTTGAATGTTCTGCTAAGTCAAGTCTGTTGTGGAAGGTCTACTCGCAGAGCCTACTAACCTTTCCCCGGAACTGGTTCATTTTTGCCAATGGTGATTGGTAGCGGTCTTCCCCATCTCCTGCCCCAACCAGCTGTTTCTCAGAGCTCTGTCCTTGGCCCTCCACTTTACACATTTTCTCCTTTGGGTATCTGAACCCACAGCCTTAATGTACAGACCAGATCCACAGCAATGCCCAACTCTTTCAAATCCTGAGAGCCATTCCTGGCTTCCATAGGTTATATATGGAGCTTTTCCTCCCATTTCTATAAAAACAAGATGTATTTTGCACAGATTATCTCCTTTAAGCAACTGGAAAGCACTGTCTTATGGACTGCCTACCAAGCAGAGAAAAATCAAGAGCTGAGGCCAAAAATAGCAATTATACGCTTCCACCTTAAATTTGCATTTATAGTAAGATTTTACTTATGGAGTCTATACTCCTGGCTTTGGCCCTGCCCAGAAATGGCTGCTGTAGATTCTGAGCGAGCCAAACCAAACAAAAAAATAAAAGCCGTGGAGAACAGAATAAAAAAGTAATGCACAGGCCTGGCACCGTGACCTAGCGTCTAAAGTACCTGCCTTGAATGCACCCCCGGGATCCCATATGGGCACTGGTTCTAATCCTGGCAGCTCCACTTCCCATCCAGCTCCCTGCTTGTAGCCTGGGAAAGCAGTCGAGGACAGCCCAAAGCCTTGGGACCCTGCACCCAGTGGGAGACCTGGTGGAGGTTCCTGGCTCCTGGCTTCAGATTGGCACAGCACCAGCCACTGTGGTCTCTCCTCCTTTCTCTATGTATCTGATTTTCCAATTAAAAAAAATTAAATCCTTAAAAAATTATATATTTTATAGGAAAAGCCAGAATGCATTACTTAATTTCTTAATGCATATTAGGAGCAGATTCTAAAGCAACTGAGGCCTAGACGAACAGCTTGATGCAGTATACCGGTCAGCAGGTGGAGACAGGACAGCACTTGGCTGCTCCAAGCCTCCGCTTGCTCTCATGTCAAACAAGGATGAAACAGACATATCGCACTAAGATCTGGTTCACACTATTTAACCACTGCTAGGATGGGTGGGAAGAGACAGAGATTTCGGGGAAAACAAACCTGGAAACACTTTTTGAGCGGATTTTAAAAACGGGTAAGAGATGGTATGATCCTGTTTTAGGTAACTTATTAAGTAAGACAAATGCCCAAGCAAAACGCACAGCACCCAATCTACCCGAGTCTAGCACTGACATTCAAACATCAGAACTACCTCCAGGGACTGTAAGTCCGCCTGGAAGCACTGCCAGCGCAGTCACTGCCATGTCATCTGCTAGGCCAGGGGCAAGCCTGGCACTGCCCTTGCCCGGGTGGGTGCACAGGCCCAGGCCCGCAAGGCGCTTTTCGCATACGTCACACCGTGAAGGCCTCCAGAGGGCCGTCATCACTGTTAACACTGCTGACTCGCAGAGCTGTTCACACAGAGCTCTTTGATTCTAAAATACATTCTCCCGTAACTGCTTAAATATTGATAACATGTAGAAGCTGCAACTATTAGTGTGCGGTAAGCAATCCTTCCCAAAACACACACACACACAGTAACAATCATTACCCCAAGCAGAAGGGGTTATGGGTTTCTCCTATTTTCATAATTTTTTTTTCAAATGTTCTAAAGGCAAGTACATTTTTTTTTCTAAAGAATCTTAAAGGAAAAAATTCCAAACTTGGTCTGACAAATCACTGTTACACTGTTAGGGTTTCCGTGTCCCCGACTGACCCGGGCAGCTAAGGAAACGATCCCAAGACTTGAACTGCGCGGTCAGAAGGCAAGCCTTGAAACACGCTTCCATCTGTGTGGCTACTGAAGTAGGGGCCCAATACCAGGACAGTATCCCTCACTGTCACCTCCATCCGGTCCCACCTGAAAGGGCCCTGCCAGGCACCATCCCCTCAAGGCCACACTAACGGAGCTGCCCCGTCTTGGCCTGCGAAGCTCCAGCACCAACCGGAAATAACCTTCAAACATCACAACTGTGTCCAGGGCCTGGTTCTCAAGTCTGCTCTAGAAGCTATGCCAGCGCAGCAACTGAAATGTTCTTCCCACGTATGTGACACAGGAAGAAAAAGGTGACTGACACAACTACACACAGCATCAGGAGCAATTTCCTTCACTGGAGACTCCACCATCTCCAAGCCTACAGAGGGAAACGCATAAATTCAAAAACCATCACAAATTAAAACATATACCTAGACGCCAGGGCCGGCATCCCATATGGGCACAACCACTTCTCCAGCCGCCTGCTTGTGACATGGGAAGGCGGTGGAGGATGGCTCAAAGCTTGGGACCCTGCACCCACGTAGGAGAACTGAAAAGAAGCTCCTGGCTCCTGACCAGCCCGGCTCTGGCCAAACAGCCATCGTGGGAATGAACCAGTGGATGGAAGCTCTATCGTTCTGTCCCTCCTCTTCACTGACCTGCTTTTTCAAAAAATAAATGACTCTTATAACCTGTGCAAAGGACTGAAAAACAATGGAAAAATAAGAAAATATGTTTTAGCCTGCTGTAATTGTATAATATTAGATAAACTTCTGAAACACCATCCAACAGATAAAGGGACTAAGACCACAGTACTAAAACAGCACAGAACATGGTTTACATAGTCTATTTTCTTTTTTTTTTTCCCCCAAAGATTTTTAATGGAAAGGCAGATCCACAGAGGAGAGATCTTCAATCCATTGGTCCAGTCCCCAAGTGGCCACAATGGCCAGAGCTGAGCCAATCTGAAGCCAGGAGTTTCCTCCGGGTCTCTCACATGGGTGCCGGATTCCAAGGATGTGGGTCGTCCTCTGCTACTTTCCCAGGCCACAAGCAGGGAGCTGGATGGGAAGTGGAGTGGAGCAGCCAGCACACAAACCAGGACCCTCATGGGATCCCACCACATGCAAGGCGAGGACTTTAGTCACTAGGCTACCACGCCATGCCCTATTATTTTCATATCTACTATTTCAGAAAGTGTAGGCTGCAGCAGCCAGGACTCAGAGAGGTAGCCAGAACTCCATCTGACTCTTCCCCTACGGATAACACGAATGGAACCAGAAACGGAATCAAACCAGGGCTCAAATGAACTCCACTGACACAGGTGTCCGAAGCAGCGACCTTAACTTGCTTTGCTAAACTGCCCAATCCTAGTTTGCTTTTAAATCATCAGCGTCGTGTAGGATCTTCTGCTACAATGCAACACCCATATTTCTAGTAATCACTACACTTTACAAAGGCATGCCATAAAAACCGTAAGAGCCAAAGTGGAACAAGGGGCACAACACACAAAAGCATCAATGAAGTAAAAACTGAGGCAAGAACTTTGGGTTCCTGCCCCTGCGTGGGAGACCCGGAAGAGATCCTGGCTCCTGGCTTTGGACCGGAGCAGCTCCAGCCATTGTGGTCACTTGGGGAGTGAATCATTGGATGGAAGATCTTTCTCTCTATCTCTCCTCCTCTCTGTATAACTGACTTTGCAATAAAAATAAACAAATATTAAAAAAAAAAACCTAAGGCAAGAACAGAAAAAAAAAAAAAAAAACCCTAAGGCAGGAGCCTAATTAAAAACATCTGTAAAGCTTTTTGAATGTTAAATGGTTTAAAAAACTACTAACAAAGCCAGAAGAAACACACTACAAACATTCCTTTTCTTCCAAACATGTATCGGGCTTTGAATCAAAGCAGTTTTAATACTATCCCCAAAAGGGCCTGGCAGCGTGGCCTCGCGGCTAGGCCTAGCAGCTCAAGTCCTCGCCTTGAACGCACCCGCGGGATCCCATATGGGCGTTGGTTCTAATCCCAGCAGCTCCACTTCCCATCCAGCTCCCTGCCTGTGGCCTAGGAAAGCAGTCGAGGACAGCCCAAAGCCTTGGGACCCTGCACCTGTGTGGGAGACCTGGAAGAAGTTCCTGGCCCCTGGCTTCGGGTCGGCGTAGCACCGGCCGTTGCGCTCATTTGGGGAGTGATGAATCATCGGACAGAAGATCTTCTTCTGTCTCTCCTCCTCTCTGTATATCTGACTTTCCAATACCAAATACGCTGTCACAAATAGAGTGCAGCGGCTCAACGCGCGAGGGATCAGAGCCCCTGAGCAAGTGCCCTTCCCGCCTTCAGACGCTCCTGAAATGCAGCAGGCCAGGCCCTGGGCGACCTGGTGTCTAGCTCCTGGATAGTCACTTAGGAGACTGTGTGAATGCTCTCTGCCTCTCAAACTAAAAAAGAAAATCCCAATTGAGATTGTTCTTTTGGCTGTGGAGGTAAGGCTGATGGGACACAGGGAGAGCTGCCTGCCAGCCTAGACTGTGGCTCAGAGAGCACCACACACCCAGGACCTGTACTCCTGCATTACGGCCCTGGGACTCTGCTGCCTCATACTTTAATTGTGTTCTTTACACTTCTAGAACGGGGTGAAAAGCCCATTTCATTTTTATTGGACTGTAGATTTAGAGAGGAGATACGGAAAGACCTTTCCTCCACTGGCTCACTCCCCAAGTGGCCACAACTGCCAGAGCTGAGCCAATCCAAAGCCAGGAGGAGTTTCTTTAGTATGGTTTATCAGGAGCCTATTCGCTCATCAAACACTACATAAAAATTTGTAAGCAGGCCTAACACGATGGTTCAATGGCTAACCCCTCATCTTACATGCGCTAGAACCACATACTGGTTCGAATCCTGACTGCTCCACTCCACATCCAACTCCCTGCTTGTGGTCTGGAAAAGCAGTCCAGGACGGCCTAAAGTCTTGGGATGCTGCATCCACGTGAGAGACCTGGAAGTTCCTGGTCTCTGGCTTCATAGACGCTCAGCTCTGGCCATTGCGGCTACTTGGGGAGTGAATAGCAGAGGGAAGAACTTTGCCTCTCCTCTCTGCAAATCTGGCTTTTTAAAGATTTATTTTATTTTTATTGGAAAGCCCGCTATACACAGAGGAGAGACAGAGAAAGATCCTCCATCCGATGATTCATTCTCCAAGTGAGCGCAACTACCGGAGCTATGCCAATCCAAAGCCAGGAGCCAGGAGCTTAATCCAGCCTTCCATGCGGGTGCAGGGTCCCAGCTTTGGGCCATCCTCGACTGCTTTCCCAGGCCACAAGCAGGGACCTGGATGGGAAGTAGAGCTGCTGGGATTAAAACCGGCGCCCACATGGGATCCCAATGTGTTCAAGGAGGGGACTTCAGCCGCTAGGCCACACCGCCGGGTGCAAAATAAGTAATTCTTTAAGAACACAATCTGAGTATTTCTGCCTGTGCCCCGAAATCCCTTCTCAACACTGAGAAGCAACCAAGAACAACGTCAAGACACGGAATGTTACCACACTTCATGCATGCAGTTTCCCGATGCAGGTGTCTGCACTGCAGCACCTGTACAACGCTGAAACGATCTGCTGGTGCCTACTGCAGGACCAGTGTTTCACAACCGTCAAGCCAAGCATCATGTCCTAACACATGGCAGTCACATGAATTCGTGCTACAATGAATCTAGTTTGTATTCGCAAAATACATACTATCATCTCCTCTTTTAGGTTTGAAGTCCTCATTTCTCAACAAGTTTCTCAGAAATCTCGGACTCCAGAGAACTTAAGTCTTGATTGAAACATGACTTAAAATTGTTAACCTCAAGAATTAAATATTACAGGCCCAGCGCAATAGCCTAGTGGCCAAGTCCTCACCTTGAACGCACCAGGATCCCATATGGGCACTGTTTCTAATCCCGGAAGCCCGGCTTCCCATCCAGCTCCCTGCTTGTGGCCTGGGAAAGCAGTTGAGGACAGCCCAAAGCTTTGGGACCCTGCACCCGCGTGGGAGACCAGGAAGAGGCTCCTGACTCCTGGCATTGGATTGGTGCAGCTCTGGCCATTGTGGCCACTTTGGGAGTTAATCAATAGACACAAGATCTTCCTCTTTGTATATCTGACTTGCAATAAAAATAAATCTTTTAAAAAAAATTAAATATTTCTAACTTTCTCTCCAAGTCCATTTTAAGCATTTGGGTTCCTTTACCACTACCAATGGCTTCCTTTTCTCAAATACTTGTCTAGGGACATGACATTGAGTAAGATCAATTCAGCTGGAAATTTCATGGCACTTAAATCTTGAATTTCTTGGTAAACAGGAGACAAGACCTTAATGCAGTGTTGCTGCTATTCATCTATTTAACCTTTTCTGAGGGGACCAGCATGTAACACGGCCTAGCACCTGCAGAACGTATATAATATCCACACTACAGCAACTCTAGCACGCAAGGCAAAGACTGCCAAGATGCGAATGAAAGTTACAGGCACACTTTATTCATCCAAGACCACCCTTGTCCCTTACACCAGAGCCCAGACTGCACAGCTCAGTGGGAAGACGCACACATTAAAGCAAACTGCTGAGCCTCACGTTTAGACGCCCGCTTCCCAAGCAATAATTACATGATGGATACTTGGCTCTGGCTTCTGACTCCCACTTCCGGATGCGGACCCTGGGAGGCAATGGTGGCCCTAGGCTTCTGTCATTCACAGATCGAGTTTCTAGCTCCTGGCTTTGCCCATTCCCAGGCAAGCACTGAGGAGAGAACCAGAGCTGGGAGCACACTCCTAAATAAAACAGACCACCGAAATTAACAAACTTTCAATTCGGCTCACTTGAACACTTTTCCCTTCGGAAAGCGCTGCCTCGGTCCAGAAACACTACTGTGCAGGGCGAGGCACCACTGGCAGAGCCCCGAACGGCAGGACCTCACGGCCCCTTCTTGTCTTTAAGAGATAATCAATTGATACTGCCTTTTCTTCCTTCCATTGGGAAATCAGATTTACAGAAACATAGAGAAAGCTCTTCTGTCTTTTAGTTCACTCTCTACATGGTCATAATGACCAGAGCTGCGATGAGCCAAAGCCAGGAGCTTCTTCCTGGTCTCCCATATGGGTACAGGATCCCAAGGGTTTGGGCCATCCTCGACTGCTTTCCCAGGCTACAAGCAGGGAGCTGGATGGGAAGTGGAGCACCCAGGATACAAACTGGAGCCCATATGGGATTGCGGTGCTTGCAAAGAGGGACTTTAGCCACTAGGGCTACTGTGCGGGTCCCACATCCCTTTCTTGAACCCCCTTTTTATAGGCCCAGTGAATCTCAGGATTAAGGAAGCGCGGCTATTTGATAGATATCTCTTCAAATTCAGGAAAGAGGCCAACATGGGCAGGAGAACAAATTCCCAGCCCAATCATTTGTACTTGACACTACTACAAAGGAATCCAGCAGGAGCTGCCTCTCAGGGGTGGCCTGCGTCCCAGGAGCCCGGGGCCTGCGGCGCTCAGATGCCTCTACATGACCTAGCCCCGGGAAAAGCACCAGGACACTGACACCTCAGGTGTCAGCAGTATTCAACAAACGTCACACACACTAACCCTGGCTTCTCAGTAAGAGACATGCAAAATCACAAATATTATCACTAGGGTGACCAAAAGGCCGGTTTTGGGGTAAGAAAAGTATTTCTCTTTTTTTCTTTAAAATATTTTTTCTACCATGCCATGAACTTTTTTTTTTTTTTTTACAAACTGCAAGCCTCTGGCAGGGCACAGCTTATCAAGGTTATGCCTTTCTTCTTAATCTTCAAACAACAAGAATCAGATACCAATTTTATTTACAAGCCGCTCAAATTAGGTCATTTTGAGATTGGATATAACGAACAACATTATTTTCAGATCCTCAAGGATCCTGGTATCCTGGTGGCTAAATCCTTGCCCTGCATGTACTAGGATCTCATCCGGGCAGTGATTCGTACTCCCTGCTTGTGCCCTGGGAAAGCAGCCCAGGACCGCCCAAAGCCTTGGGACCCCGCACCTGTGTGGGAGACCTGGAAGAAGCTCCTGGCTTCCGCTGGGCTCAGCTCTCTGGCCACTGCTGTCACTTGGAGAATGAGCCAACAGATGGAAGATCTTTCTCTGTCTCTCCTTCTCTCTAAATTTGAACTTGCAATAAAAATAAATAAATCTTCAAAAAAATAAATTCTCTAAATCAGTTAATTCAAGTTCTTAAGAATTACTCTTGCTGAAAGGCATTCCTATAAAGCTATGCATAAACTTTTCCACTGTTGGGGCGGGATTATAGGTATCTTTTACTTTTTAAGATTTTTTTTTTTAATTGGAAAGTCAGAGCTACGGTGTGAAGGGGTTACGTGTCCTTTAAGCAAGGCGCCACGAGGTGCCGAGGGGACCTGGCTCTGTACTGCACATGTTGGGGCTTCCCGAAGTGGGACACCTGTAGGTCTCACAGTGAAAACACACAAAACCTGCATTTGTCTGTAAGAATCCTCTACTTCCAATCCAAAACCCAGCCAGATTTCACTTTAAACAACAACGAAGTGAGGTCCACTCGCCCATACCCAAGCCGCCCAGTCACTTGGGACTAACCCATACCTTATTTGCATTGCCTGAACTCGAAGGCCGCTGTAGTCAACCTCTTTTTGTTCAAACTCTTTCCATTCATCTTCATCCTGTGCAAAGAAAACACCACGGGGGTGAAGCTGCCTGCCTGCAGCTCTTTACAAAAAAAAAAAAAAGTCCCGCTTCGGTGGGGGAGCCCTCTGCAAACGCGTAGGGGACACCCAGCGAGCTCGGCACGCGCGCCCCAGCCCCCCCAAAGACCAGAAGCAGCAGCACGCGGCCCGCTTCGGCCGAGCTGCTGGCCGCCGTGTCCTCGGGCCTGCCGGACGCTCCGCTCGGCCACCGGGGGGGCCGGAGGAGGCGGTCAGCACGGCCCCAGGGCGCTCCCCTCCCGGCCAGGCCGGCCAGCGCCCCGCGGGGGCCTCCCCGACGCGCGGAGGGCCTCGGCCCGGCCAACGCCCGCCCCGGCGCCCCAGCGCCCCGGCGGCCCAGCCCCGCGGGCGGCCCCGATCGCGAGGGGGGCCCTCCCTGCGCCGCGTCCCGGGGCCCCCGCCGGCCGGCATGCGGCCTTCCTCACCTTGGTCACGGCCTTGGCGGCGGCCCCGGCTCCCGCGGCCCCCACGCCCGCCGCGCCGCCGTCCGTCGGCCGGGCCCCAGCGCCCGCCCCGCAGCCCGCCGAGCCGCCGCTCCCGCCGCCGCCGCCGGCGCCCACGCCCGCCGCGCCCGCCGCCCCGGCCGCCCGGCCGCCCCGCTCCTTCTTCTTCTTCTTGTCCCTCTTGGCGAAGAAGTTGTCCAGGCTCCGCTCCTCCGTCTCGGCCATGGCCGCGGCTGCCTCGGCCCGGATGGGTGGGGCCCGCGGCGCTCTCCCGCCGCTTTAGGGCTCGAGGTCGGCTCGACGATCACGCGGCCCGGCGCGGCGCCGCTCCGACTCCGCGAGCTGACCGAGGCGCGAGCGGCTCTCCCTCCCGCCGGCCCTCCCCGACACGGCGCGCCGCGGCAGCAAGGTACGAGCCCGGCCTCTCCTCAGCCCCGGCGAAGCGCGGCGCGGGCCCGAGGCGGCGGCGCGAGCGGGAGCCGAGGGAGAGGGGGCGGGGAGGGAGGAGGAGCAGGGGGGAGGCCGCGCGCGCGCCGCTCTGGAGGCGGGGCAGCGCAGAGAGAGCCAATCGGATGCCGGCTCGGGGCCCTGAGGCGACAATCCGGGCGGAGGTGGAGGCGGGGCCGCGCAGAGAGCCAATCGGATGCCGGCGGGGGGCGCTTAGGCGACAATCTGGGCGGGGAGGGGCGGGCGTATGCAAAACACGTGACGTGTCCTGAGTGCGGCCTGCCTATAGGCCGAGGGCTCTGCCCTGAGGGCGGGATGCCTGGCGACGCGGGGCGCATGCGTAGAGTGCACGTGTGCGTTCGCTGGCCTGTTGCGACCCGCGGCCTTGCGGTGGGCTAAACTTAAGAGAAACCCGGAAGGGTTTCAACATGGCTGCACCTCTCTGCTCCGCGGAGATGAGTGAAGCGAGGTGGAGGAACAGGAAGCGAAAGGCAGGAGTGGTAGACAGGGTAGCCAGGGCAGCTCTCCAGAAAGAATAAGTATCATCATGGAGAGCACACGTGACGGACCCCGCGGGCGTCTGCGAAGAGTCGCCCTCGGCGCCGGTATGGAGCGACCGGGTCCGAGCCTTCCCGCTGCCCTTCCTCCCTGCCGCCTTCTGTCCTGTGTGGTCTTACTGAAAGTTCCTCTGAGGGGATCAGGGCCGAGGCGTAAAGCTCCCGGGGTACGGGCAGGGCTGTGTGCCCTGCTCCCACACACGTGGGCTTCATCCTAGCTTCCTGAGGTTCTTGTTCCGGGGATCCCTTCTTCATCATTACAGAGTGCTCTCCGTGAGTGGGCTGGAAGGTTAGGCCCATTTACTAAAAGATCTTTCATGAGATAGAAGAGACTTGCCCCCACATCAGTGTTACCGGCTAAAGAGTGAGCTGTCACAGACACTTAAGAAATGAGTTAAACATGTTGGTAGGGCCGCTAGAAACCTATTCCCCGTGCTTTTCCTTTAGAATCTCCCTGTTTCTACTCTGCATCACCATGGAGACTGCGCAGCTGAGTTCTGACTGTCACAGAAGGCAGGCAACAGCCTTGATGGACAACAAACTTGCGTAGTGCCCGAAGGTAAACTGTCCCCAGCCATTTGGGATGAGGCAATAGATAAGTTCATTTCTGTGACACCGTATATACTGGGATGCAGGCCTGTCACCACCGCCTTCCCTTAACATCTCTGGTCAATTAATCTCCTTAACCCGGCCCTCTTCTGTCCTACTTCCCTCTTTTTTTTTTCCCTGAAGTCCTTCCTCACTTTCTTCCCTCACTCTTTTTCTATTTAAAATGGTCTTTTACTTGTTTAAAGGGCAGAGAAGTGGAGAACCTCTGGCCCATGCCTCAAAGGTTAGAGCCCTGCCAGACAGGAACTATAACTCAATCTGGGTCTCCTATGGCTGGCCCCTGCCATCATTTGTTGCTTTCCATTCCAGGGTGTTGTATCAGCAAGAAGCTGGACTGGGGAACGCAGCTGGAAGTCAAAGCCCGATCCTGTAATATAGGCTGTGGGTGTCCCAAGTGGCCTGCTGCTCTCCCCTCGCTCTTCCCCCCAGCTCTCATCTATGAAGCACTTATTAGCTATATTCAAGAGAACTCACTTTATTCAGAGTCGGGTAAGTTGTGATTCCTGAATTCACCTTTATAATCTAGAAGAGAAGCTGTATATATAATAAATCATTTTTTAAAAGATTTATTTATTTTTATTACAAAGTCAGATACACAGGGAGGAGGAGAGACAGAGAGGAAAATCTTCCATCCGATGATTCCCTCCCCAAGTGAGCGCAACGGCCGGTGCTGTGCCGATCCTAAGCGGGAACCAGGAACCTCCTCCGGGTATCCCACACAGGTGCAGGGTCCCAAGGCTTTGGACCATCCTTGACTGCTTTCCCAGGCCACAAGCAGGGAGCTGGATGGGAAGTGGAGCTGCCTGGATTAGAACCGGCGCCCATATGGGATCCCGGTGCGTTCAAGGCGAGGACTTTAGCTGCAAGGTCACGCTGCCGGGTCTTCACCCCCACCTTTAAAGCCATGCAAACCTTCACTTTTTTTTAAGATTTATTTTATTTATATTGGAAAGGCAGATATGCAGAGAGGAGGAGAGACAGAGAAGAAGATCTTCTGTCAGTTGATTCACTCTTCAAAAGTGGCCACAATGGCCAGAGCTGGTCTGTTTCGAAGCCAGGAGCCTGGAGCCTCTTCTAGGTCTCCCACATGGGTGCAGGGTCCCAAAGCTTTGGGCCGTCCTCGACTTCTTTCCCAGGCCACAAGCAGGGAGCTGGATGGGAAGTGGAGCTGCCTGGATTAGAACCGGCGCCCATATGGGATCCCAGTGCATTCAAGATGAGGACTTTAGCCACTAGGCCACAGCGCCGGGCCCATAATAAGTCATTTGAGTAGCATATCCTCATAGGATCCCGTCAATACACCATGATCTTTTGAAGGAATTAATGACAAGAAAATGCAGTAACTCAGGGCTGACACCAGCAGAATTTTCCACTACCTTTTCCAGACGAAATGCTCTCAGAACTTGAGTGCGGGTAAGAAATTAAGATCAGGCCAGCAGAGACACCACTGCCTGTGGGAATGTCCAGGTCACTGTTTTGTGTGATGCTGCTGTCTTCCTGCTGGACGCCCCTGCTCTGAAATCAACGGCTGCCCTCCTCACCGGCTCCTCTTGTCCACGCTCCCCTGCCACCCTTGTCCTGTGTCTTGCCATTAGCCTGTCGCTGTCACCCATCCACACCCAGGCAGATCACTGAGTGTATCTCCCGCGACCCGTCGATGTGCTTGGATCAACCCCCACCTTTTTTTTTTTTTAAAGATGTATTTATTTTTACTACAAGGTCAGATATACAGAGAGGAGGAGAGACAGAGGAAGATCTTCTGCCCAATGATTCACTCCCCAAGTGACCGCAACGTCAGGTGATGCGCCAGTCCGAAGTCTGGAACCAGGAACCTCTTCCGGGTCTCCGATGCGGGTACAGGGTCCCAAGGCTTTTGGGCTGTCCTCGACTGCATTCCCAGACCACAAGCAGGGAGCTGGATGGCCTGTCAAGATTAGAACCTGCGCCCATATGGGATCCCAGTGCGTTCAAGGCGAGGACTTTAGCAGCTAGGCCACAGCGCCGGGCCCTCACCCCCCACCTTTAAAGCAAAGCAAACGTTTATTTATATTGGAAAGGCAGATATGCAGAGAGGAGGAGAGACAGAGAAGAAGATCTTCTGTCAGTTGATTCACTCTTCAAAAGTGGCCACAATGGCCAGAGCTGGACTGATTTGAAGCCAGGAGCCTGGAGCCTCTTCTAGGTCTCCCACTTGGGTACAGGGTCCTAAGGCTTTGGGCCGTCCTTGACTGCTTTCCCAGGCTACAAGCAGGGAGCTGGATGGGAAGTTGGGCCACAGGGATAGAACTGGCAGCCATATGGGATCTCAACTTGTGTAAGGCAAGGATTTTAGCCACTAGGCCACTGTGCCGGGCCTCAGACCTTCACTTCTTGCTGGATGTAAAATTGAATGGTGACGAGGACTCAGACCATTCCCAGGGCCATTTCAGCATGTCCTCAAAGGCTCTCAGCACTGGTTGAATGTGGGCGTTTCTCTCTGGAGCCTCTAAGCTACGGTCTGAAGAACAGCACTTATCTCCCACAATGAGAGCTGCTGAGCTGGTCCGGCATTCTGTGAGCTCCAGAGTCTGCAGAAGTGGTTGGGCCCCATCCCATTGTCCCTCTGTTTCTCTGTGCTGAGCTATTTGTTCCAAGTTCTGTTCTGCTGCCTGGGTTGGACACTGCACTCTTGCTCAGCTCAGAGCAGTGCTGCTCATAGGCCAGAGAGATCATCAGGGAACGGTGGGTACAATCTCTCTTCATTGTGGCTTCCTCTCAAACGCTAGGACACCCACTGGGCCACTGCAGGGGCTGCCCATGCTTCCCCCTGGAGAACAGCTACTTGGTTTTCCACTGAGAGGACTCTCTCTGACTTAGGTTCAGAAACCCAGAGACTTTTCTTTCATTCAGTGTGATATTTGATGCCTTCCTGCTTTCCTGGACCATGGATAACCCACTGGTGTCCAGGAAAGGGCAATATGTGTCTGGCATGATGGTGCAACTGTCCATCCTCTGCCTGCCTGCAAGTGTCAGGATCCCATATGGATGCTGATTCATGTTCCAGCTGTTCCATTTCCCATCCAGCTTCCTGCCTGTGGCTTTGGAAAGCTGTCAAGGATGGCCCAAAGCCTTGGGACCCTGCACCCGTGTGGGAGACCCAGAAGAAGCTCCTGGTTCCTAGCTCCTGACTTCTGACTTCTGATTGGTTCAACTCCAGCAATTGCAGCCACTTGGAGAGTGAACCATCAGGTGGAAGATCTTCCTCTCTGTCTCTCCTCTTCTGTATATCTGCCTTTCCAATAAAAATAAATAAATCTTTAAAAAAAAATCTCCTGGTTCATGGCTCTAGGTTGGCTTAGTCCCAGTGATTGTAGCAATTTCGGGAGTGAAAAAGCAGTCACTTCTTTTCTATGTAAATCTACCCTTCCGAATAAATAAATAAATCTACAAAAAAGGAAGAATGTGAGGCTGGTCCTCACTCAGATATCCAGTGCTGTGAGATGGGTGTGATTCAACGGGCCCCACCCTGACTTGGCAGGAAGAGCTCTCAGAATGTCTGCCGCCCTTGGCTCCCAAGCTACCTTCACCAAGGAGCCCACAATGACTAATCTGACTCACCAGGCTTACGGACATTAGGAAAAGGGAGTTGGGGAAGGATCAGTAGTCCAGTTACTGGAATGACATCAGCTACTAGTGACCACCTTGGTATGTGATCCTTTGGCCAACCATGAGTTGAACAGCTGGACTTAAGAACTTTTCCGTTCAGAAAAGCACCCTCAGACACTGACTTGGCTCTGAAGCGGGCTCGGCTCTCAGACAGATTCACCAGAGAAATGCCTCCCCTGGTGGCGTTTTTGGGGTCCATCATGTGAGTGGCGCGAAGCTGGACCTTGTGACAGGAATCATTTAGATCATAGAGTGCGAGAGGTATAATTGTGTTGGTAAGGTAGGGCATCCTGCTCCTGGCCCAGCTCCATTCCTGAACGCACTTCATGACCCAGTAAGTAGATGGGAACTTGTCTAGCATCCTCTGCTTCTGACTCAGAGACTACCCATCCCTGGTTTCCAGGTCAGTAGGTCAATAGCCTTGTCATCCTCCTGGGCTGAGGAGGACAGGGAAGTTGGGAGCTGGCAGGAGAGAGATGGCTCTCTCCTGTGTCTGCTTTGTCTCAGGTTCATGCTCCCCATCAAGTGCAGGCTTTCTGAAGTCAAACGTGGCTGGTGGTTGCAGATCTGACTCCCCAAGGAGGTTGTTTGGCTTTGCTGTTGTCTTCTGGCAAGTGGAGATGAGAGGGCCCTGCACGGATGATCAGTGGCTAAATCCTTGCCATTTGCATGCACTAGGATCCTATTTGGATGCCAGTTAGTGTCCTGGTGGCTCTGCTTCCCTTACAGCTCTCTGTTTGTGGCCTGGGAAAGTAGTAGAAGATGGCACCAAAGCCTTGGGACCTCACACCCATGTGGGAGAGCCAGAGGAGAGTCCTGGCTCCTGGATTCAGATGGACTCAGCCATTGCGGCTGCTTGAGGAGGAACTAACAGATGGAAGATCTTTCTCTGCCTCTCCTTCTCTCTGTAAATCTGCCTTCCCAATAAAAATAGGTAAATTAAAAAAGAAAAAGAAAGAAAAAGAGATGAGAGGCAGGCATTTTTGTGTCTGCAGTTATGCGGATTGAATGAGGGTAGGAATTTTTTTCTTTAAAGATTTATTTATTTTATTACAAAGTCAGATATACAGAGAGGAGGAGAGACAGAGAGGAAGATCTTCCGTCCGATGATTCCCTCCCCAAGTGAGCGCAATGGCCGCTGCTATGCTGATCCAAAGCCAGGATCCAGGAACCTCCTCCAGGTCTCCCACACAGGTGCAGGGTCCCAAGGCTTTGGGCCGTCCTTGACTGCTTTCCCAGACCACAAGCAGGGAGCTGGATGGGAAGTGGAGCTGCTGGGATTAGAACTGGCGCCCATATGGGATCCCAGTGCATGCAAGGCAAGGACTTTAGCTGCTAGGCCACGCTGCCGGTCCCCCGGGGGAAGGAATTTAACAGCACTCAGATCAATGTGCAGAGAAGGGAAAGCCCATTCTAATTGCAGTGAGTGTTAGGAATAATGGTGATAGTGGTGCATTTCCTAGTTGTAATGTTACAGGCAGTTTTGGTGACTCTCCTTCATCCTTCCAGCCATTCACTATTGAGATGTTGCCTTCTGGGAAAACGTCTATAGACTATTCCCTGTCTTTGTTGGTTGGGCCTAAATTATGATATACCAAGCTAAGCTATTTGCAATGCCAGGATCACCTATCAGAGCCAGTTAGAGTCCCTGCGGCTCTGCTTTCCATTTAGCTCCCTGCTGTTGAGTCTGGAAAAGCAGCAGAAAATAGCCCAAGTGCTTGGACCCTTGCCACCCTTGTACATTACCCGGATGTAGCTCAGAGCCCCTGGCTTTAACTTGGACCAGTCGTGGCCATCGTGGCCATTTGAGGAGTGAACTAGTAGATGGAAGATATCTCTCCCACCCATTCTCTGCCACTCTTTCCTTTAAATAAATAAATAAAAATTTTAAAAAATGGTTTAGTTTTACTGATTTGATTTATAGGCAAATCAGAAAAAGAGAGGAGAAATAAAAAGAAAGATCTTCCATCTGCTGATTCACTTCCCAAAGTGGCTGCCACAGCTGAAGCTGAGCTAATTCGAAGCCAGGAGCTTCCTCTGGGTGTTCCACATGGGCATGGGGTACCAAGGCTTTGAGCCATCCTTCTCTGTTTTCCCAGGCCACAAACACGGAGCTGGGAGGGAGGTGGAGGAGCCAGGATATGAACCAGCACCCATGTGGGATCCCAGTGCTTGAAAGGGGAGAGCTAGCCAACTGAGCCATTGGCCCAGGCCCAAATATATTTTTTTGAAAGAACGTATTTATTTATTTTTATTAGAAAGGCAGGTATGCATACAGAGAGGAGGAGAGAGAGAGAGAGAGGAAGATCTCATTGGATGGTTCACTCTGTAAGTGGTTACAACAGCTGGAGCTGAGCTGATCTGAAGCCAGGAGCTTCTTCCTGGTCTCCCATATGAGTGCAAAGTTCCAAGGCTTCCAGCCATCCTCAACTGCTTTCCCAGGTCACAAGCAGGGAGCTGGGTGGGAAGCAGGACCACCGGGCTTAAACCAGTGAATATATGGGATCCTAGTGCATGCAAGGCAAGGACTTTAGCCGCTAGGCTCCTGTGCCGAGCCCCAAATAAAGAAGTATTTTTAAAAGATTCAAAACTCAGTAGTGTAATTTTTTCAAGATTTTTTTAAATTGGAAAGTCAGATACACAAAGAAGAGAGACAGAGAAAGATCTGTCTGCTGATGTGCTTCCTAAGTAGCCGCAATGGCCGGAGCTGTGCCAATCCAAAGCCAGGAGCTTGAGGCCTCTTCTGAGTTTCCCATGCAGGTGCAGGGTCCCAAGGCTTTGGGCCATCCTCAAGTGCTTTCCCAGGTCACAGCCAGGGAGCTGGAAGGGAAGTGGGGCAGCCAGGAATAGAATCCCACATGGGATCCTGGCGCATGCAAGGCAAGAACGTTAGCTACTAAGCCACCATGCCAGGCCCAGTCCCTATCTGCTGCTGGCTGCAGATCTTTGTGTGCTAGGGGGAGAGCAGAAACCAAATGATTTTTTTCCTGGGGTTGCACCTGGGGCAGTATTTTCCTCTAAATATGAAATCAGTAGGATTGCTTGATAAACTCCAGCTCACACAGATCCAGGAGGTAGGGCCCTCCAAAACTTTCCAGGAGGAAGGAAGATCAGGGGACTCCTGGACTCAGCAGTCATGGCCTCAGCATCTTCCCCGGTGTCTTCACTGCTGCTGAGCCAGCTGTGGACCCCGGGAATGCCAATGCCCTGGTAGTCTTGGGCTGTGACATATTCCCTAAGCCTTAGGAAGAAGGGTTGAGGGGGTGAGCAGGTGCAAGTCAACCTGCTGCTCTGCCCCATCACAGGCTGACCCACACCCTACCCTTGGGCAGTTCCTGGCCCAAAAGGGAACTACTCTGGCATCACTCCCTCCTTTTCCTCCCATGATGAGAATCCATTTCCCCCACCACTCTCCCATTTACCTGATGAGACCATCACTCCTGTGTTTAAATCCATCCATCAGCTGCCCTCGGGACAAAATTCTTAGCAGGATGATAAAACCCAGCCCTCTGGGATAAGATTTGCAATATTTTCAAAATACTCAGACAGCTTTAAATTGTCCCAACTTACTTAAGCTTGATAGGATCTACACTAAGCTGTTCAATGTGATTAACTTACCTGGCTTGCATGGCCTGTGAATTCCAAAGAAACTGTTTTTCTCTAGCATTTCTTTGCCCTAAGGGAGCAGGCCAGCTCTCCACACTTAGGAGTCTGGGTAACCAGGTTCATCGTAGCCTATGAGTAGAGCAGGAACAGGTGAGTGGGCAGGAATGGTATAGATGAGATCCCTGATCGTACCAGTGCCCCTTGGAAGTCCTGCTGTATATGAAACTGGTGTGATTTGGGATCATCGCGGTGGCCTAGTGGCTAAAGTCCTCGCCTTGCAGACGCCCGGGATCCCATATGGGTGCCAGTTTGTTTCCCAGCAGCCCAGCTTCCCATCCAGCAGCCTGCTTGTGGCGGGGGAAGACAGTTGAGGACGGCCCAAAGCCTTGGGACCCTGTACCTACATGGAACACCCAGAAGAAGCTCCTGACTCCTGGCTCCTGGTTTTGGATCAGCTCAGCTCAGGCTGTTGTGGCCACTTGCAGAGTGCATCAGCAGATGGAAGATCTTCCTCTCTGTCTTTCCTCCTCTCTGTATATCTGACTTTCCAATAAAAATAAATTTTATAAAAAATGATGATGTTGGGCCCGGCGCAGTGGCTTAGCGGTTAAGGTCCTCGCCTTGCAAGCCCTGGATCCCATATGGGCGCTGGTTCTAATCCCGGCAGCCCCGCTTCCCTTCCAGCTCCCTGCCTGTGGCCCGGGAAAGCAGTTGAGGACGGCCCAAGGCTTTGGGACCCTGCACCCACGTGGGAGACCCAGAAGAGGCTCCTGGCTTCGGACCGGCATAGCATCGGCCGTTGCGCTCACTTGGGGAGTGAATCATCAGACAGAAGATCTTCCTCTCTGTCTCTCCTCTCTGTATATCCGCCTTTCCAATAAAAATAAAAATAAATCTTTAAAAAAAATGATGATGTTATTTTCAAACTCCTTTTAATAGACTAAAAGAAATATAAGTACAAAAAAAAGCATAATATGTAAGCTATACTTGGAATAATATATGGACATCTAAAAGGCAGGCTTTGGTAGGCAGCATGTCAGCACAGGGGGTTAAGATGCTACTTGCAACACTAGCATGCCAGTTCAAGTTCCAGCTGCTTTGCTTCTGATCCATCTCCCTGCTGATGCATCTGGGAAAGTAGCAGAAGAAGACACAGTACTTAGGTGCTTGCCGTCTGGGTGGGAGATCCAGCTGGAGTCCCGCGCACCAGGCTTAGCCTGTATCAGCTCTGGCCACTTGGGGAATGAGTAATTTTATTTTTCTCTCTGACTTCCAGCCAAATGAATAAATCTTCGAGGGGAAAGCTTTGAAAGCTTGGCGGCACCATGAAACATCACACATGACGTCTGACTCAGGGACATGCAAATATCCGCAAAATCGGAGAAAGCGTGGAGATACAGATCTTCTGTCTGGGTCCAGTGGACTAGAGGCTCGGTTTCCGTATCTCTCACCCCATCTCTGCAATCTTCTGTGACATCACAGACAATAGGAAATGGCCACAGTAAGGCTAGGTCCTCTGAAAAACTCTGGAACATGTCCGTAACGTGACCTTTGCCATGATCTTGGGTTCTTGGAAAGTCCCAGAAGAGGAGAGAGAGGGCTTCTCTGGTTCCAGGATGAGATCTTTCCTTTTACAGCTCCAGCGGTAAGCAGTGAGCTGACTGACCCACATTGTTTTCTTTAAACAAAGTAGAAGGATCTGTTCGCTTGGTTCCACTATTCTTTTTTTTTAAAGATTTATTTTTATTATTTTTTATTGGAAAGGCGGATATACAGAGAGGAGAGAGAGAGAGGAAGATCTTCCATCCGATGATTCATTCCCCAAGTGAGCCGCAACGGGCCGATACTATGCCGATCCGAAGCCAGGAGCCTCTTCCGGGTCTCCCACGCGGGTGCAGGGTCCCAAAGCTTTGGGCCGTCCTCAACTGCTTTCCCAGGCCACAGGCAGGGAGCTGGAAGGGAAGCGGGGCTGCCGGGTTAGAACCGGCGCCCATATGGGATCCCGGGTGTGCAAGGCGAGGACTTAACCACTTGCGCCACCGCGCCGGGCCCAGGTTCCACTATTCTTAATGCGGGGATATGGCTCTTACTTGGTGGCTGCCAAGTGGGATGCAGCTCTTACTGACTGGATAGGTTAGAGTGCATGATGTTTGCACTGACTGGGGAGTCATGATCCTACCATATACCATATGCTCTTAGTTGATGGGATGATGGTTACTAAACACAGCCGCTCCCCGCTTCCACACGTTGTGGAATGAGACATTCCACTGGTTGGTGCCGGGACTCCTGAACTTCCACGACTCTTCTTTCAGACTCATTTATTTGGGGGGGATAGATTTGGTCAATTCACTTTTTGAACTTCAGCTTTCTTACTTTTTTTTTTTTTAAGATTTATTTATTTTTATTGTAAAGTCAGATTTACAGAGACAGAGGGAAAGAACTTCCACCTGCTGGTTTACTCCCCAAGTGTAAACGGAGTTGATCCAAAGCCAGGACCCAGTAATGTCCTCTAGGTCTCCAACACGAGTGCAAAACCCCAAGGCTTTGACCCATGTTCGACTGCTTTCCCAGGCCACAGGCAGGGAGCTGGACAGTAAGTGGAGCAGCTGGAACATAAACTAGCGCCCAATGGGATCCCAGAGCATGCAAGATGAGTATTTAAGCTGCTAGGCCCAGCTTTTGGAGGTGTTTTTTTTTTTTTTTAAGATTTATTTATTTTTATTGGAAAGACAGAAATACAGACAGGAGGAGAGACAGAGAGGAAGATCTTCCATCCAGTGATTCACTCCCCAAGTGGCTGCAACGACCAATGCTGTGCTGATCCGAAACCAGGAGCCTCTTCTGGGTCTTCCACATGGGTGCAGGGTCCCAAAGCTTTGGACTGTCCTTGACTTCTTTCCCAGGCCACAAGCAGGGAGCTGGATGGGAGGTGGGGCTGCCAGGATTAGAACCAGCGTCCAAATGGGATCCTGGCACATTTAAGGCGAGGACTTTAGCCGCTAGGCCATGCTGCCAGGCCCAAGCTCATCTTTTCATGGTCCTGCCTGCTCTCTGCACTCCTGTTGGATTACGTTCCTCTGCTCTCGTGTTCCCCAGGGCAGGAAGAAGGCCTGCAGCAAGCTCGCTGGGAAAAAGGGGCTGCTGAAGGAAGGGTTCCTCCAAGATCAACGACTCACACTCCATAATGAGATCTCACCTTGGATTTCCCTGCAGAATAGCCTGCAGTCCAAGAGAGTCCCTCCCTGACTCCAGCGGAAGTGAGCCCTGCAACCCGTGCGCTGCCTCTGCACACAGCTGTCTGCTAGACAGCAGGGAGCCTTTCCTCAGGAGAAGGCTGCCTTAACAATCTAGATGAGCACCTGGGCCTTTGGGGAAATCAGGGAGACCCCAGAGAGCAGCTGGAACCTGAGAGGTGTGAGGACTCCCGAACCCCAGGGATTGATGGTTAAGGCTTGGAAAACAATTAGAGTGGGACTGACTCACCCAGCAGGTGGAGCCCAACTGTGTTCTCCAGGGACTGGAGCAGCACTCCCTCAGGGTGATTTTCAGGAAAGGAAAAAGCAGGTCCCAAACAGATCAGCATGATTGCTAGAGACAGCATAGATAGCATGCTATGTGGTTTGTTATCTGCTGGAGTATAGCAATCTGTGTAAGCTATCTAATTACTCCCCTATTAGTGAGCATTAATGGTATTAAGATTTAATGGGGGGGGAGGGGGCTTTGGCATGGCCTAGGCTAAAGTCCTCACCTTGAATGCACTGGGATCCCATATGGGCACCGGTTCTAGTCCCGGCAGCTCCACTTCCCATCCAGCTCCCTGCTTGTGACCTGGGAAAGCAGTTGAGGATGGCCCAAAGCCTTGGGACCCTGCGCCCGTGTGGGAGACCCAGAAGAGATTCCTGGATCCTGGCTCCGGATCGGCATAGCATAGGCCGTTGTGCTCACTTGGGGAGTGAATCATTGGATGGAAGATCTTCCTCTCTCTCTCTCTCTCTCCTTCTCTCTGCATATCTCACTTCTCTCTGTATATCTGTAATAAAATAAATAAGCCTTTAAAAAAATAGATTTAATGTCAGTTGCTTTCTCACACATTTCCTGTTGGTCAGGACTCCAGGCTCAGTTTAGATGAGCAATTCTGGTTAGGGGTCTCTCATGCAGTGGTGAGTGGGCTTCAGCAGGGACCGAGGGGTATGTTGGTTTCAAGGTGGCTTCCCCACATCGCTGTTGGGAGAAGGCCTCAATTCCTTACTTGCTGGCCATCTCACTCCATCCTCACCATAGGCCTAGAGTGATATTGCAAGCTGGTTCTCAAGGACTGGGTGGGTGGGTGGGTGGAGAGGCCCTCAGGTTTGACATCCCAGTGCTAAAGCCAGGGAAGTGCCGGATGGCTTCTGGATGAGTTGGTCAACCTGTGTATGCCTCTCCCTGGAGCTTCTCCCATGAGAGACACTAAGGCTGAAACCATAGACCTTGTATAGACTAATCGTGGAACTATCACGGTGTGAATCACTCATGCTGTGGATCTTGGTCCAGACTGGCAAAAGGCACCAGATGACAATGGCAGAGTATGACTGTCAGGAGATGAGGATGCCTGGGATGTTTTGGAGGGTACCACTGTGCCATAGAACCTATGGGCTCTCTGGCCCAGATCTGCTCACCAGGCTGGGTGTTGATGCCAGCCTTTGGCTGGGAGCTCAGCCGAGGCGGTCAGCAGGAGAGTCTTGGTTCCCACCCATGTGGGAAGAGGCGGACTCAAGGCAGGTGTTGCACAAGGAGGACAGCAGGAGTCTCTTGTCTCCTTGGGGTCTGACATCAGAAGCCAGGAGCCAGGAACTTCTTCTGGGTCTCCAACGTAGACGCAGGGTCCCAAGGCTCTGGGCCATCCTCGACTGCTTTCCCAGGCCACAAGCTGGGAGCTGGATGGGAAGTGGAGCTTCTGGGATTAGAACCGGCGCCCATATGGGATCCCAGCTCGTTCAAGGTGAGGACTTTAACCGCTAAGCCACGCCGCCAGGCCCCTAAATATTTATTTATTTTACGTGAAAGAGTTACAGAGAGAGAAGGCATGAGAAAGAGAGAGAGAATCTTGCACTGATTCATTCCCCAAATGGCTGCAATGGCTGGAGCTGAGCCAGCCTAAAGCCAGGAGCTTTGGAAGCAGAGGCCAGCAGCTTTTTATGGGTCTCCCATGTGGGTGCAGGAGCCCAAAACACTTGTGCCTTTCTCCACTGCTTTCCCAGGCACATGAGCAGAGATAGACTGGAAGCAGAGCAGCCAGGACTCGAACCAACACCCATTTGGGATATCAGTGCTATAGGTGGAGGCTTGGCCTGATAAGCTATGACATTGGCTTAGATTGCACTCTGTTGCTAAAACAGTGTCACAGTCCAGCCCAGATACAAGGCAGAATCCTACATACATATACAAGGGAATGGTGAGAGAGAGCAGGAATTGATATAAAATTCCAAGCTAGAGGGGGTATTCCAGGCATTCTGAAATTCATGAGTCCATAACCCTAGCTTTACTTTTTAAATTTTAAATGTAAAACAAAAAATCGTACAAGAAACTGGCATGTGCTTATTGTGGAAAAATGAGAAAAATCCCACCAACTGTCATGCCCCTTTCATAGATAATCATCATATAATTGTAGTACTCCAGAATCAAGATATGGAAAAGTAATCATCCTTCTCTAAAGCAGAGTAACTCTGCCCACATCATACAGTGTGAGCTGGGTAGAGTGGGTCGGTCACATATGTACCAGCTGGGGAAGGCCTTCTGTATCTTATTTAAATATCCTGTCTAACTGGTGAGAAAGGCATCGTTTTCATTTGGCGGGTGAGGAAGCTGAGCTGTCCAAAGCCTCAGCCTCTCCACCATTAAATCTCAAATCAATGCCCTGAGCCACTTCCTCCCTAGGTGAATAGGGAGACGCTGAGAACGCGTCCTCTGGGAGCTCAGCTGCTGTAATGGGGAACGTTCTTGCCCCGCAGAGGAGCCAGCTGTGGACGTTTCAATCAACAGCCTTCTCTGAGCAGACAGCTGACAGCCAGTTATCAGTCACTCGCACCATGAATGGGTTGGGTTGGAGTTCTCAGCCCCTCTAAATCCCCCCAGAGGACCACAGCCCCTCTGACATGGAGCAGACCTCACACTCTCAGTGAAGCCACGTCAATCCAGAGCAGGGAGAGTTAACAAGACAGCGGCTAGTTTAAGAGTCCCGAGTCTTGCCAGATTTGTTGATCCAGCAACGGGCCACTGAAATGGAAGGGAGCTGCCTGTGTTGACGACCAGCGCCAGCCGGGCCTGCAGAGGGGGTTTCCTCCTTGAGGCAGTGACCCAAGTCAGGGACCTCCAGGGATCAGTGCAGGAGGGTGGGTCACATAGGAATTTTCCTCGTAACCTTCCCTAGCTGGGAAAAAAACCTTCGTGAGTCACAAGACTGGGAGGACAAACTGGGTATGAGCTAACAGAAATCTGGGCAGGATTCCAGGAGTAAACAATGTTGATTTCTCAGCACAAGGGAAGCCTTGCCCAATGCGGTTCAAACTCACCTCAATACTCACTGCTTTCCACATGAATTGCTCGGACTGAGATTTTTTTCCAATTTCAAAAAAAAAGTACATCATTCTAAAGCAAATAATAGGCATTTCGCTTCCTGCCAATGCAGACCCCTGGGGGGCGTTGGATTCAGAGGCAACTGAGAGAGAGACTCTTAGTTCAGATAAAGCATTTTGTTAGTTTGGAGAGATTCTGATGGAGCGCTTCCTGGCAGGAAAGTCTGGGGCCACTTCCACATGGTGGCATGACTGGGTGAGGAAAATGACTGCGCGGGGGACACAGCATGGCATTTCATACGTCGTAGGCAGGGGGGATGGGAGAAGACAGCAGCCCCTCAGTTTGTGCGTGCATGTGACGTGTAGCACGGAGTCCTGCTCATGGCAAGTGTTGACCTTTTGCAGAGACAAGGTCAGGGTGATTCAGCATTCTAGACATTCCTGGATGGGAGTGTTGGCTTGACTTCAGCAGGGTGCTTTAGTCACTTCTGCTCTGTCCACCTAAGAGGGTGGGTAACAGTGATAACTCAAGTCAGTGGGGCCCCCGCTGCCCATACGCGAGCCCTGGGGTCGAGTCCCCTGCTCCTGGCTTTGCACCATCCCCTCCCCGCTGTGGGAATTTGGAAGCAAGCTGTTGGATGAGAACTTGGTCTCTCTGCCTCTCCAACAAATAAAAGCAGTAAGTAGCCCCAATTGGACACAGCCTAAACACGGCACGGTTCCTGAGGGGCACAAGCAGACCCTCGTTCCTGCTCAGTACAATCCCTGGACGGTAATAAGATGACCTTGAGGGAATTGCATGTGGCATGTGTGTCCCGTAGTAAAATCAGTCCTATTTCTCACAGAGCAAATGCGGAATCTCACAGAACTAGGGGAGGGGGCGGCACTGTGACTTCCTTGAGACCTCTATTAGTGTCAGAGCTCAAATGTCTCTTGTATGTCTCTTCAGTAGCTCGCCAGTCTCAGGACATCAGAAAAGCTTGGAAGAATGCAATACCTACAGATTTCAGAGTTTCATCCAAGAAGATTCCTGAGTGTACCAAGTGATCCTTCTGCACCTTCCGCCTCCTCTCAAAGCACCAAGAGACATGTGAGAAGTATTCTTTTTTTATTTTTTTTTAAGATTTATTTATTTATTGGAAAGTCAGATATACAGAGAGGAAAATCTTCCATCCGATGATTCACTCCCCAAGTGAGCGCAACGGCCGATGCTATGCCGGTCCGAAGCCAGGTTCCATGAACCTCTTCCAGGTCTCCCACACGGGTGCAGGGTCCCAAAGCCTTGGGCCATACTTGACTACTTTCCCAGGCCACAAGCAGGGAGCTGGATGGGAAGTGGCGCTGCTGGGATTAGAACCGGCACCCATATGGGATCCCGGTGCATTCAAGGTGAGAACTTTTGCTGCTAGGCCACACCGCCAGGCCTGAGGAATATTTTTCAAGGCAAGCTTCGGGGACCAACTAAGTCTTGGACCAAATAGGGTCTTCAGATTCTACTCAGGGGAAATCTAACAAAATCATCAGGAGCAAGCTAATTTTTCTTGACATTTCTTTAAAGGGCAGAATTACAGAGAAGGGAGAGGTAAAGTCGGAGAGAGAGAGAGAAATTCTGGGTCTGCTGCTTCACTCCCTCTAACGGCCATCATGGTCAGACCAAAGCCACGAGACGGGCGCTTCAACAGAGGGTCGCCCACGTGGCTGCAGAGGCCCAAACACTTGGGCCACCTTCTGCTGCTTCCCCAAGTATGTTAGCAGGGAGCTGGATTCGAAGTGGAGCAACCAGGACCTAAATTGGCCCCAGTAAGGATGCCAGCACTGCATGGGGTTGGCTTACCACTCTGCTGCAGCCTCACCCCATGCCACCAAGTAGGATTTACACAGTGCTCCTGTACCTGCACCTGCACAGCTGCACTTCCGCCCAGCAGGCTCTTTTCTTTTCTTTCCAGAGTTATTTATTTTTGTTGGAAAGGCAGATTTCCAGAGAGAAGGACATACAGAGAGAAAGAACTTTTGTCCGATGATTCACTCCCCAAGTGGCCACAATAGCTGGAACTGACCCAATCCAAAGCTGGGAGCCTGGAGCCTCTTCTGGGTTTCTCATGTGGGTGCAGGTCCCATGGCTTTGGGCTGTCTTCGACTGTGTTCCCAGGCTGCAAGAAGGGAGCTGGATGGGAAGCGGGGCTGCTGGGATTAGAACCAACGCCCATATGGGATCCTGGCTAGGCTACTGCATTGGGTCCATGTTCTTCTTTTTAATTAAAACAATCATTTCATCTACCTGAAAGGCAGAGCAACAGAGAGAGAGAGAGAGATCTTCCGACAATTGATTCACTCCTCAAACACCTGCAATAGCCAGCGCTGAGTCAGGCCAAGACCAAGAGCCAGTAACTCATCTTGGTCTCCTGTGTGAGTGGCAGCAGACACTTGAGCCATCATCCTTGCGAGTCTGTTTCTCTATTTTAGTGTAGTGGATTTCCAAGAAATGTAAAATTAGAAGAGAAGTTGATGAATAAATGCCCTCCCTCTTTTGTTCCTGTTTTAAAAAAAAAAATGTTGGCCCATTGTGATGGCTCAATTGGCTAATCCTCTGTGGCAAGCACCGACCAGCATCCCATACTGGCTCATGTTCTGACTGCTCCACTTCCCATCCAGCTCCCTGCTTATGGCCTGGGAGAGCAGTTGAGGATGGCTCAAGGCCTTCGGACCCTCCTGCACATGCGTGGGAGACTCAAAAGAAACTCCTGGCTCCTGGCTTTGTATTGGTTCAAACTCTGGCCGTTGTAGCCATTTGGGGAGTGAACCATCAGATGCAAGATCTTTCTCTCTGTCTCTCCTTATCTCTATAATTCTGCCTTTCCAGTAAAAGTAAATAAATCAAAAACAAAGCAAAACAAAAACCCCACATTGCCGAAGATGAGGAAAATTGGAATCCCTTATCTTGCTAGTGGGGCTGTGAAACAGGGAAGGCACTGGGGAAGAGTGTGGCAACTTTTGCTAGCATAAATACAGTATTATCATCTGACCCAGCAACTCCGCTGCTTGGTATGTATTTAAGGGACTCAACAGCAAAAGTTCAAACAAGAACTTGTATGCAAAACTTGTTCACGGCAGCACCATTCACGATAGCAAAAGATGGAAACGAGTCCAACACCCACTGATGAATTCACAAGTCAAATGTATTCTATTCCAGTGGTAGAGTATTACTTAGCCACATGTGCTTCAACACGAACAAACCTGGAAATCATTGCAGTAAGTGAGAGAAATTAGATGCAAAGGCCACACAGTTTAGCAGTCCCTTTGTATGAAATGCACAGAGGTCAACCCAAAGCCACCGAGAGCCAATGACTGATTGCTGGGCCTCGTGCAGAGAGTCAGGCATGAAGTTAAGGATGTGGGGTTTCTTTTTGGAGTGGTGACGTACTCCGGAACTGGTGATACTGGTTGTACATGTTGTGCGTGTAGTCAGTTTCAGTAAATGGCCAATTTGAAACTGCTGAGATTTTATTTAAGAGGCAGACAGCCAGGAGAGTGTTCACATTTGCTGGTTCCTTCCCAGATGCTCCCGGTGGCCTGCCGAGCTGGGCCAAGGCTAAAGCTAGGCCTTGGGAATGCAATCCAGCTCTCCCGTGGAGGTGGTTGGAACGATCAAGGCCTAGATTGGAACGAATGCGCTTTTGCCAGGTTCTTGCCTGCTAGAGAAGCAGCCTAGGAATAGGTCCAACTACAGACAAGGTGACAACGTTTATTTAAAATATGAGGAAGTCACATACACACCTGTGCCCTGTTCAGGGGTAGAGTGGGCCAGGAATGGTGGGGAAGGGATGTTTTCTCTGCTAGCTCATGTGTGTCCCCCAGAAGAGACAGAGAAAAATGCCTCCCCCATTGCCAGGCTTCTTAGGAGCCTAGGAAGGGGAGTGATTACTGAACACTGCCCCCAGGTCCCAGGTGAGGGGAAGTGCAGCCTGGGGCCAAGGGGTCAAGTCAAGTGCTACTGGTTGGTTGTGTGACCTTAGACCTCTAGGTTTATCTTCCCATCTGTAGAACAGGAAGCCAGTCTTGCAAGTCCCTTTCTCCTTCTCTTTTTTTCCTTCATCTTTCTTCTCGCTTTCTCCTTCAGTATATTTTTCCATTTTCTGAAACTTCAGCTTCATCTATTCGTTTCCCCCAGACAAGATCTAAACATTTTTACTATGCAACTTCCTCATAGTGGCTCCAGGAGCACCGGTGTTTTTCTCAGTAGCAGACACCAGGAGAGATTCATTCCATGTCAGCCAGGGTATTCTGTGCTCTGCAGGTGGAGCAGGGCAGCTTCCAAAGGGACTGGGACTCGTCGGTGTAGATAGGTGGGGTCTGGAGTTACAAGCTGCTCAGCTTGCAAACCACACAGGCTTCCTGTGAGCCACGCGGTACACCGGCCTCACCAAGCACTTTAACCATCATTTTGTGGGCAAGGGCTCCAATGGTAGGATTATAGAATGATGTGGAGGGATGTTAATATAAGTGTGCAATCCTGGCCTGATTGAACCCTGACTTGCTTTGAACTCAGAGCTGTGATTCTGCAGTTGTCCACCTAACTTTTCTTTCTGTATATAATTTCCAACAAGGTAGTAATGGTGGTTAAAAATGTGCACTTATTTCCATCTTATTCTTTTTTTTTAAAGATTTATTTTAATTTTTATTGGAAAGGCAGATATACAGAGAGGAGAGACAGAGAGGAGAGACAGAGAGAGAGGAAGATCTTCCGTCCGACGATTCACTCCTCAAGTGAATCATCGCCGATCCAGAGCCAGGATCCAGGAACCTCTTCTGGGTCTCCCACACAGGCGCAGGGTCCCAAAGCCTTGGGCCGTCCTCAACTGCCTTCCCAGGCCACAAGCAGGGAGCTGGATGGGAAGTGGATCTGCCGGGACTAGAACGGCCGATGCTATGCCGATCCGAAGCCAGGAGCCTCTTCCGGGTCTCCCACGCGGGTGTAGGGTCCCAAAGCCTTGGGCCGTCCTCCACTGCTTTCCCAGGCCACAGGCAGGGAGCTGGATGGAAAGTGGGGCTGCCAGAATTAGAACCGGCGCCCATATGGGATCCGGGGCGTGCAAGGCGAGGACCTTAACCACTGCACCATCGCGCTGGGCCCTATTCTTTTTTTTTTTTTTTTTAATTATTTACTTTTATTAGAAAGATTTACCTAGAGAAGGAAGGACAGAGAGAAAGAGCTTCCATCTGCTGGTTGACTCCCCAAGTGGTCACAATGACTGGAGCTGAGCTGATCTGAAGCCAGGAGCCAGGAGCTTTTTCCAGGTCTCCCATGTTGATGTTTGGTCCCAAGGCTTTGGACCATTCTATGCTGCTTTCCAAGGTCACAGGCAGGGAGTTGGATAGGAAGTGGAGCTGCCGGGATTAGAACTGGTGCCCATATGGGATCCCAGCGCGTTGAAGGTGAGGACTTTAGCTGCTAGGCCACAGCGCCGGGCCCATCTGCTTCACTTTTCAAACGGCTACACAGGTCTGGGCTGCATCAGGCAAAATCTAGGAACCCAGAAATCCATTCTGATCTCCCTGCGGTTGGCAGGGGCCAGCATACTTGCTCCCTCCTCTGCTGGGAGTTGGATCAAAAGTGAGAAGCTGGAGGTTAAATTGGCACTCCCAGGTGTGACGTGGGTGGTTCGGGTAACATTGGGACCCATTTCATCCTCATGACCTACCCCCCATGTTTGGGATGTTGCTCCCCAGTGGCTGGGGACTTTGCAGGACTGTCTCACACAATGGAGAATGACTTGATTGCTGACTTCAGTGCTGAGTTCCAATGACAACATTTCAGAGATGCACACTGAGGTGTCTACGGGTGAAATGACTCAGAACAGTGTGGGGTAGGGAAGCAAGTGGCGATCTGGGCTGTCAGTGGGTTGGGTAAGGAGCTGGGCTCAGATACACTCTATTTCTATTCAGATACATTGGAAATTTGAACAAAGCAATTTAAAAAATATTTATTCTGGGCCCAGCACCACTGCCTAGCAGCTAAAGTCCTCCCCTTGAACGCACTGGGATCCCATATGGTGGTGGTTCTAATCCCAGGAGCCCCATTTTCCATTCAGCTCCCTGCTTGTGGTCTGGCAAAGCAGTCAAGGACGACCCAAAGCCTTGGGACCCTGCACCTTTGTGGGAGACCCTGAAAGAGGATCTGGGTTTCTGGCTTCAGAATGGCGCAGCACCGGCCGTTGCACTCACTTAGGGAGTGAATCATCTGATGGAAGATATTTCCCTCTGTCTCTTCTCCTGTCTCTTTCTATATATCTGACTTTGCAGTAAAAATAAATAAATCTTTAAAAATTTATTTCTACTGGAAAAGCAGATTTGCAGAGGAGAAACAGAAAGATCTTCCTCTGCTGGTTCACTCCTCAAATGGCTGCAGTGGCTGGAGCTGAGTCAGTCAGCAGCCAGGGGCCAGGCGCTTCTTCCAGGTCTGGCATGTGGGTATTGGCTCCCACGGCTTTGGACCATCCTTCACTGCTTTCCCAAATCGTAAGCAGGGAGTTGAATGGCAAGTGGAGAGACCGGGGCAGGATGTGGCATCCATATGGGATGCTGGTTCTTGCAAGTTGAAGATTTGCCATTTGGGCCCGGTGCGATGGCACAGTGGTTAAGGTCCTTGCCTTGCACGCCCACGATCCCATATGGGCGCCGGTTCTAATCTAGGCAGCCCCACTTCCCATCCAGCTCCCTGCCTGTGGCCTGAGAAAGCAGTCAAGGACGGCCCAAAGCTTTGGGACCCTGCACCCACGTGGGAGACCCGGAAGAGGCTCCTGACTTCGGCTCAGCTCAGCTCCAGCCTTTGCGGCTGCCAGAAGAGTGAATCATCGGACGGAAGATCTTCCTCTCTGTCTCTCCTCTCTGTATATCTGCCTTTCCAATAAAAATAAAATTAAATCTTTAAAAAAAAAAAAAAAAGAAGAAGATTTGCCAATTGAGCTGTTATACTGGCCCCAGAAGGAAGTTTTTGTTTTGTATGCATCTATTTTATTTTTCATGTTATTTATATAGTTGAGAGGCATGCATGCCCATGTAGCCTTTGATTAGGCTAGGGAGGGTCAGCAGTAGATGCAGGTGGGTGGGACTCACTTTCAGATTTGCCCCACCCCTCCTTTGTCCTCACGGGAGAAGGGGAAAGGTGTCACTCCTTGCTGCCTAGCAGGATCAGCACCCAGGGGTGGGGGTGGTCTTTTGATGATGCGAGTGTGGGGCAGTGTTCATGAGTGGTTTTGATAGTTTTGAGAAGTGGTTGGTTTCATTGCTCCAGGGTTGAGAACATCTTTCCAAGGGCAGCTGGTTCACAGGCCCAGCAGAATCCAACCTGTTTTATTTTCCATCCTCTGATGAAGCAAATGACACCCCCTGCTGGCCTAAATGAGCTTGCCATCATTTCCCATCCTGCGTATCTGGAAATGCTGTCCACTGCAGAGGCATCTGCAACTGAGCAGGCCCAGTTCTGATGCACAGACTCCAAGGTTGGACCATCCATCCTGTGATTTTCTCCTGTAGCCAGGGTCTGAGTCCAGTAGTCCGGGCGGGGAGTCTCCCAGGAAGCCTTGCCTGGGTATGACCTCAGGTTGGGCTCTTATGTGTGCCAGCCAGGCAGTGCAGGGTCAGGTGTGATCCGTCACATGCACCAGCCAATGATGTACCGGTGGGATGCAGCTGCTTGGTCAGTTCTGCCTCAGCCCCCAAAGCAACAGGTTCTGCGGCTTACCTCAGCTAGCCCTCCATAGACCTGATCCTCATACATACCAGGGAGTGCGTGACCTAGTTAGAGTGACCCTTAATATCCCTCATCAGGCCCACCCCTAACCCTGGTTTTTGCACATGCCAGCCTCTGCTGCAGCCTCCCTTGGGCCCATCCCACATTCCATCCAGCTCCTGAGCACACCCACGGGTTGTGGTGCTTAGCTCAGCTTGACCCACCCCCAGATTTAGCCCTCATGTACGCTGCCTCCTGGCTCTCCTTGGCTTACCCACAGCTGTAGTTCTTGTGCTCACCAGTGGTAGTAGGTACAGGCTAGCAGGAGTGTGCCCACAGTTGCCCCTGTCAGGCATGTTCCCAACCCTGCATGTTATACCTGCCAGGTGGCGATGTGATCCAAGGTGACATGACTCATATCCAGTACCAGCACTTGCCACCTGGTGCTGTGGCCTAGCTCAACTGCCCTGCACCTATTCTAGCTCTCAGGCGTGTCAGTGGGTTCAGCAGCCTAACCCAGCCTGACCCACCCTCAGATCAGCCCGTCCTCTGTCCAGCTCTCATGCTCACCAGTGGGAACAGGAGCCCAGCAATGGAGTCCCCAGAGTTTCCCTACCAGGCTAGCTCCCAACCCTGGGTCTGGCATGTACTAGCAGGTGCTGTGGCTGAATCTGAAATGGCCCTACCCCAGTTTCCACATTCACCAGCAGGTGCTCGAGCCTGGTTCAACCCAGCCCAACCCCAGTCCCAGCTCTTATCAGTACTTGCAGAAGCCTACCCAAGCCTAGCCCACTTCAGCCCTCATGTGAACTGGTGGGTGTTGTAGTCCAACCTGGCCTGGCCTGCCATCTGTCCTGGCTCTCACTCATGCCAGTACCCATTCTAGCTGTCACCAATGGGAGCTACAGCCTAGCCCAGCCTTGCCCACACCCATTCTGACTCTTGCAAGCATCAATAGATGCTGGGACACAGCCTACTTTGGTCTGCCTTCAGAACTAGCCCATATGTATGCCAGTGGGTGCTGCAGTCCAGCCTGGTTTGTCTAGCCCCTCAGTGAGAGCTGCTGCCCAGCAGAGGAGTCCTCAGAGTTCCCCTACTACACCTGTTCCCAGTCCTAGTTCTTGTGAATGCTGGAAGGTGCTTCAACCCAGCCTGACATGGCCCATCTGCAGTCTCAGCTCTCGCTGGCAAGTGTTACAGCGTGGCTATTAAGGCATGGTCCACACCCTGTCTTGGTTCTTGTGCAATGGGTGCTAAACCTGACTCAGCCAGCTAGTCTTCAG